ATACCAAAAAGTGCATATCAGAATTGCTTCAAGGATTGAAAAAAACGCTGACACAAGTATTTTATCCGGCGGGGACTACTTTGAAAAGGACAAAATAGAAATTGATGAATAAATAAATATTTTTTGAGAAAAATTAAAATTAACCTTATTTTTTTATCAGACGGCATACTCACAACTACATCATCTTATTTCTATTAGAGGATCTGTCAATGAAACCGTTACCAAATAAAACTATCGAATGTGTATATAAATCATCAAACTCCAAACCTACTATTAATTTGTATAAACCAAAACACTCGAACCACCAGTTCACATAGCGGTCGATTAAGTGAGTAGAAGAAACCACCCACCTCAACCGACCGGCTACCGTCCGATTTGTTCACAGTGTTGAAAAAATTGTTGTTCAATGAATTCAATAGCAAATAAATAAAAATTTCAAAGATCAATTTTATACAAATTAGTAATAATCGTAATACCTAAAGTGGGTCAGAAAACCCACACCCTAAATCAGTACGACCAATCAACCTTACATTCTTCCTGTTAAAAGGACTTGAGAGGATACTGGACGGATATATCAGGATGGTGGCATTATATGCCACCTTGTAGTGAAAATCTCCCAATCCTTTGACAACAAGGAGATTGTGGTTGCTGTATTTCTCGGTATTGAAGGAGCATTTGACAATGCACTACCTAAATCTATATGATCATCTCTGGCTAGGAAAGGTTTAGAATTGACCATAACTGGCTGAATCTATGCCATGCTGTTAAACAGAACTGCAATGTAGGTCTCCCCTTCTGTGGTCTCTCCTGATGGATAGTCTGCTTGATGCCCTCGACAGAAGAAAAGTAGTTCTGCAAGCTTATGCAGATGACCTTCTCATCTTGGCAAGGTCCACGTTGGAAAGGATAGCTTGTAATATCCTTCAAAGCACGATGGACGTTGTTCACAGTTGGTGCCTGAGGGAGCAGATGTCTGTCGTCAGTCAACCCCAGCAAAACTGTGATAATCCCCTTCACCAGGAGGAGAAAATTGGTCGATCTAACACCACTTTCCCTCAATGGTGAGGTCATTCCATTTGGAACGGAGGTGAAATATTTCGGCATTGTTCTTGATAAAAAAACTCACCTGGAACGCTCACTTGGAAAAAGTTTTACACAAAGCCAGACTGCCCCTATGGATATGTCGAAGGATTTGTGGTAACACTTGGGATTTAGGTCCCAAACAAATCCATGGGAATTATTAGATAATTGTCAGACTAATGATCATTTATGTTGCAATTGCCTGATGGCCTAAAGCTTTACAGAAAACGGCCCAGGCGAAACTCTCTGGCTTATAGAGACAGGATTGTTTGGCTATCAGTGGTGCCATCAGTGTCACACCATCAGCGACCATGGATATCCTTCTAGATCTACCTCCTCTCCACATTTTTCTAGAGAGGCTGTTGGTTGACCTTGGAAGTCACAGCATTCTGAAAATGACTTCTGACTTTATGCCTTCAACTATCAACTGCAAACTGCCTTATAAAGTACTGTTCCCGAGTAGAGAGAACTGGATTCTCCGGGAGAAGGAAATATTAAGAGCATATAGTTAGTTCTTTCGGTTCCGGTGCAGGTGTTTTCAGTTGCAGACCCACGGCAGAGATATCACCCTGCCTAGGAACCTATGTGACTATATTTCAAGCGGAAATTTACGCTATTGAATTGTGTGCGAAGAGATTGGAAAAATCCAACCTCATACACCAGTCAATAAAAATATTCTCGAACAGTCATGCGGCGTTGGAAGCTTTTGGCTCCCACCGAGCAAATTAGTAAAGTAAATTAGTAGCAACGACTCTCCTCGATAGAAAGACCTAACAGATTGTCTCTGGTCTGGATTCCTGGCCATACTGGCCTGAAAGGCAATGAGGCTGCTGACTCCCTTGCAAAGGAGGGTGCTGCAAACAGCTTCATCGAACCTGAACCGGTTATTGGCATCGCTTTAGGCTTTGCCAAACAAATATTGAACACCTGGATGGCAAGAAGATTTATGGACTTCTCGCAGAATCTTCCAGGATTGGCTCACTCCAAGGCGTTTATTCACCATTCGAAGCTTGATATCACAGTTATTGGACTACAGTAGAGATGAACTACAATGTCTAACAGGCCTTCTCACAGGTCACTGTCATTTGAATCACCATATGCAGATACTCGGGCTGTTGGAAGACAGTGTGTGTCGCCTCTGTTTGGAAAATGATGAAACAGTAGAGCACATACTTTGTACCTGTCCCGCTGGGGACCGAATCAGGTTTTTAGAGTTCGGCAGAACCGTTCTCTTACTATCTAACCTGAAAGACCACTCACCATATTAACTAATCAGCTTCGTTAAGAAGTTGGGTGTATTTGGTCGAGTGTGAATAGGTGTGAGTCACAATAAACCCTTGCGTGTTGCGGTGGAGGGCCGAATAGACCCACTCACTTTGGACCTAACCTAACACCAGACAAATAAAATGTTCATCAGTCAGTAATTTCAAAGATAATAGAAATCGATTTATCAAAGTGAACATTGTACTAACTTGTGAGAAACCAGCTTTAGATTGGGAAGGTGAACCTGGCTATTTTAAATTTCAACGTTTGAATAAGTCTAAAGGAATAAATATGACATTTTCATCCACCCTGCTTTTTTGGTTTTAGATTTGACTAGCCAGTCTCCCAAACTGACTTGTAACCGGCTATCATAAAATTTATATTTTGTAGGGTTGTTAGTTTCAACTTTCTTTTGAGGGGGAGGGCACAGTAATTTCGTTTTCAGACTCTGAGGTATTCTGCACCTAAGATATAGGTGTAGGCAGTTTAGTTTATTCATTTGTAAGGTTTCTTTGAATATTTCTTTCATTTTCCTGGAAATTGTTATCATAAAGTCCTATGTCAAATATTAATTGAATGTAACTTCCAATTATATTTAATCATCTATCCATTTTCAATTTATGTAAATCAAATGGGTGCATGCAAATAGAAGAATTTCAGTAAAAATAACTACATTCGTCTTTTCGGTCATTCACGTATCAGACCCGTCATAAATAAAAATAATATAAACAATAATAACAGTCCACAGTATAAACATATATTGGACACTTAAGACAGGCCATATATAGAAAATAACAAACGTATATATACATAAATATACATATAAGTAAATTGATATTTAACTAAGGTAAAAGAAATGCAGTGTACGCAATAAATATCAACCCCTATTAGTTAGTAGCTCCTTTATTGGTTTTTTGAATGGTATGATATGCATCTCTTTATCTTGAGGCAACGTATTGAATAACATTAGGTATGCCATTATAAACAAATGATTCTTTGAATTTCGATGTTCTAGGTTTTCCAACTTTGGAATTAAAAAATTTCCTTTACATGAAAGCTGCACACAGTACTTCAAAATTACATATGTTTCATGTAGACACTGCTATTAACAGCCTATCTGCCATTCACTCCCCTCTACATTCCCAACTAATATATATTAAGATGTCACGTTACTCAATTCACCTAGGAAGCTTTAAAATTGTAACATTCCATTCTTCATTTTATATTGTTTGCGAGACAATCTGAACACAATTGGCCTTTTTGCCAATTTTGAATTGTAGATTGTAACATACCAAATATTTAAATTTCTGTTTTATATTTTCAAAGATCTGGGATTCCTCTAATCAGTATGCAGTGGTATTACAAATAAATCATAATCAGAATGCTGACACCCATTCAAAGTCCATATTGTTTATTTGGATTATTTTTGTTCATGTTAAGGTTAGGTATACAAATAGATGTCAACTAGTAATTAACGTAGAGTGAGCGGTGAGTAATGTCTGAAGGGGCTGACGGAACAGGTGGTAGCATTGGCTGAACTTTGAACCGATTCTATGTGTGAAGGATGAAATTTTGAAATGGTGTTTTATGTGCCTGGCTTCAGATAGAGAACATGTAGTGGTGATATTAGTAAAATTTTTGAGAATCATCTATAAGAATAAGTTACATCTTTTGAGGTATTTATAGATATGATGCCCCACGTTGGTCACTATATTCTGGTACCGTTTCCTTACTCGTTTCTTGATTTAGAGCAAGAAAGCGATACATGTGTCCAGTTAGAATGACTAGTGTACAGGTCGGTTCTTGTTTTTTTTTTAATGGAAAATCAATCACAAATGCTGAAAGGGGTTACCAAATTGAAAAGTCTTATTCGGAATTTGTTATACACTCCTCTAAAAAGATCCATTTGATTCTTGAGATCCAGGATTCAGCAGTAGCCACATAAGACCTATGTTTTACAGTATAGCCAGACACATCCAAGACGATCTCTTCGTTGTGTATAATGTATTCCTCTTTTTATGCAATTAGTGGTTCTTACACTTTGATATTTTTGTGCTTGTATGCTTTTTATGCTTGTACGCTCTTCATAATTTTGTGCTCTTATGATTTTTATGATTCCAATGATTTTGTCTGACAAAACTCAAAAAGTTGGAATTTATTCAGATGGATGATCCTCAGAAATTTTACTTAAATTATTACTATGTGACCCCTATATGAAGAATAGATCTTTTCAAAATTTCATCCTTCACACATAGAATTGGTATCAGTTCAAAGTCAGGCAATGTTATCACCTGTTCTGTTGCGTCCCTTCAGACATACACACCGATTCTAAGAACCACATTACTAAAAGTAGATATATGTCTGTATTTCACTTCTCACTCTATGTTAATCACTATGAAAAACAACTCTATGACTGAACAATAGGTGTCAGTATTCTGATTATGATTTATTTGGAGTATTACTGCAGACCGCTCAAAAGAATCCTAGATCTGTGAAAATATAAATTTAAATAACTGGTACAATCTACAATTCAAAGTTGGCAAAAATAGTTTATTTGTGTTCAGATCGCCTAGCAAACAATATAAAATGAAAGTGGAAAAATGAAATGTTACAAGATAAATCTGGTCTCGTTCTTCCAGTTTTGATAGAATACATACCATCGATCTCATCTTCATCTGGTTTCACCAATTCCTCTCCCTTTTTAGATATAATTGTAATACCGGATTTGACAGCCAGTCCTGTATATAGCAGTCTTGATAAATACTGTAGTTGTTTCAAAGAGATTCTCACTTTAGCCAGTAAGTTATATCTATTGTCAATTAAAATCTGGATTTGTTTTCCTTTCTGAATTTGTTCTTCTGTATTCATAGCTAATTGCTGTTTTTCTGCAATATATCTATAAACAAAAAATTAATTTTAAAGTGTACAGCATCTAATGGCTAAATGAATAATTCATTAATATTTTCATCAAATTCCTCAGAAAATATAAACGTGGCTTGGGGAGACAAAAACCAAGTAGAAATTAATGCAACGAAAACCAGGGTATCACTGTCGAAGAGGATGAATGTGTCTAAACCGGACATCATAATATCAAGCCACTCAATTCTGCTACATGCATTACTTAATTTGTTGGATATCGAAATGGACAATCATTTTACTAGACTAGCAAACGCAGTTTCTCAGGAAACTTGCGCTAGCAAGTTGTACACAATTTAACAATAAATAAACGCTTAATGCAGGTCAAATAGGACCTTCTTTTGAATATTGCTCACAAAAAAACCAAAAAGAGTTCCGCTCCTAAGCATTCCCAAAAGCTGCCATATTCTATCCAGAGAGGAGACATATGCTTTATTAGATGATTGATGATGATTTTTTTACCCTCTACTTCAAAGTTATTCCTGTATCAGGGGTTGCCACCCCTTCTCGGGGGGTAAAGAATGTTTCATTGAAAATAAAACCGGTCAATAAAGTTGTTTCGTGAAAAATGAGAAAGAAAACTCTGTTTTTTTACCGGTTTTATTTGTATCTAGTGTTGTTACTGCACATGATTTGAAAATGTCCTTATAGGACGAAACCACAGTAGAGAAGTAAACACCAGTAAGTTCATATTTGGGTCAAGATTCCCCACCTCGAATTTTATGCGCGGCCGAACTACAGCGCAACCGACTGAATTTGAGGCGTTTACCAAGCGAGCCAAATTGAGGCATGGAATATTATTACAGAGTAAGTCGTTGTAAGTGGTGGTTTTATATTTTTGAAAAATTTGTGTCTAGTTTCAAAATGAGCAAGTGTCAAACTGTGGGTTGCTGTGATTTGCAGGGTGATGTCGGCATTAATTTTTTCGATTTCCAATTGACGGAAAAATGTATGTTTTTCTATTATTTATTATGTAAGATTGAAGTAATGAACATATAACGAAAATCATAAAATAAATTGTTATAGACCATACCTGTATAGTGAAATCATTAATATGCAGACTTTTTATTATGAATTTAATTTGATGAAATTGAACTTTACGAATAGTATATGCCCCCAGTTCCACTGGAAATCCACAAAGGAAAATAATTGTTGAACCACATCAAGTTTTGATTTGTATCTGTAGGAAAACAATTACTTCCACTGAAATATTTGCAAAACCAAAGTATCAAATGTATATTCAAATAACCTTTTTTTTTGGGGCCTACTTTCCATTTACATGTTCCAGATAATCTACTATGAATAGCAAATGTCTTTTCTTAGATTCTGTCATCAACAAAAAAAAGTAAAATTTCATTCGATTGACACACTTCATAATTAGCAAACTAGGCAACCCAAAACTAAAAAATCTGTATTTTATATTAAAGTTTTGATTTACAACAACCAACCCAATAATATAAAAAAATATATTTCAGAAAAACGATTCAAAACAAAATGAAATTCTACAAATGCCTTAGTAGTCATGGCAAAAGGCATACATTCGAACTGGAAACAGCCTTTGCATACTTTTTTACCAATTCATCCACATCAATACTGGATATAAAAGGTATTGTGATTGAAGCTGTTAGGCAATTATCAAAAATTGGATTGAGAGTTAGGGGTATCATTTCAGATTTAGTAATTTTTATAAACTTGCCAGAAAAGAGCTCGATGTGACTGTAGAGCAGCCATATTTCTTTGTTGATGAGAAAAAAATATTTTGCATCTGCTGAAATGTAACAGAAATCATTTTTTCCATGACTTTTTGAAATTTGATGAATATACAACGAACAAAATTCATCTTGAACAACTTTACAACTTGGATAAGGAAAAGCAATATAGACTAACACCCAAACTTACTGATTCTCGTTTATTTCCAAGTAGCCAGTCAAGTTTTCAGTCATTCGGTAGCTACAGCGATGAATACCTATGCCAGTTTCAATCAGATACCATCAGCAGCAATAGGAACGGCTACATTCATTGAAAAAATCGATGAAGTGTTTGATATTTTAAATTCAATTAGATTTGACGGTGTTAAAGCTTTCAATAAACATTTTTTTAGAACATCAAAACAAATTGATTTTCTAAGGCACCAGTCAATCTAATAATAACACTGATGATCTTCAAACAAGACTCAATCTCTGACGGAAGCAAGAAACTCTTTCGAAGGTTCGAAATAGATGAACATTTCAATCTATCAGACCACGCTTATAATATTCACTGTGGTTCTGGCGTTGAATTTGGTCATTATTACGCCTTGGTCAAAGACGAAACGGACTGATTTAAGGTTGACGATAGTCATGTAACGAAGTGTTCTGACGATGTATTGAATCTATTGGAGAGCCTCTGGAGACCCTCTTCATTTTGTTCTATGAGAGAAGAGAGAGTACATTGGCAAATCAAGATCTTCAGACGATGTGGTGCTGCAGGTTTTTCCGGGTTTTCCTGCAGCTGAAAAAGCAAATGCGCCACTGGAATCAATAAAGTCGCCCCGAAGCGCCAATTGATTTTTATTGTTGTTTTTATTTTTATCGTTGTTTTATTATTTTTTAGCAAATTAACTGTTATATCAAAAAAAGGAAAAAAACACGACTGGACAAATGAGGGGTGGCAGATAACAATTTCGGCATTTCTGCAACTTTCGGAAAACCTACATAGTGAATCCTACATATTAACGAGGAATATAAATCAAGACTATGTGGAAAAATATTTTGGTTAACTTAGAAATACTTGTGGAAATGCCAGAAACCCAACTCCTATTCATATTACCAGAGCTTTCAAAAAACATTTACTCTTTTACTCTTCAGTTTCACACAGGCAGAAGGACCTAACTGTCTAGAAGATACTAGTGAGATTCTATCTAATATTACAGATGCAGACATAAATAGAATGAAGATTCTTGTGGAAATTCCAAAAAATCCCTATAAACCTTTGAGATCAGAGACAAATGATTATGGAACTCTAGCCACTCCAGAAGGCAACAGCTTGGGCTATGTTTGTGGATATCTTTTAAGAAAATGTTTAAAAAAACATTCATGAGAAATATGTACAAATTTTGCCACAGCGGCTAGTACGGCACTGAATGAAACAAATGTAGGTATATAGTCATTTCAAGGCATATAGTAATACAGTAGCCAAACAGTTTGGAAGTTTATATATGCCTCCAGATTCATTTTTACAATGTATCATTCATCTAGAGACAGAATTTCTTAATCATTTCAACAATTTATGTGCCACTGATGGTGATAATTTTTCTTTGGATTATTTATTTTATCTTTTCACAAGGATAAGAATTTATTATACTTTGAAATTTACCAATTGAAATTTGAAAACAAATGTTAAAAAAAAATCAAAAAATCATCATTCTGAAAAACCTATCAAATATATTAGCATCAATTTTTGACCTAAATTTATAATCTTACTATATAAAACATACGTTTATTTCACCACCTTGTCTTATTTTTTATGAATTCCTAAACAGTTCACAATCATATGAGACATTTATTGGGAGCTCCTCGTAGCAATGATGAAGTCAGATCATGGTCACATATTTTTTGATCGAACCTCGTGCAGAGGTGCACAACAGCTCTTAGCCTACACTCTCCTGCCCCGCCACATGCCAGCAAAAAATAAAATCTCTACCCGAACCATCAAAGAGACCGACGGGAGTGAATTTACTTCTGTTCACTTATGTACGGTGACGAAACTGCAATAAAAACATTAGTTACGAATAGATGTGGTAAAAAAAAACATAGAAAAGTTTTATTTCTCATTTTTCATGATGATCTCCTTCCGTGTCAATAAACCAACGTTTTCAGACGGTTTTTTGCGAATAACTCGAAAAGTGAGAATATTATCGAAAAAATCATTATGATGGCTGTATACCCAATACAAACGGAGTAATAGCTTGTTGAAGGTTAGTTCTCATTAAAAGTTAAAATTGAAAATTTCAACGTGAGGTAAACAAAAAGCTTCTGAGGGAAAATTCATAGAAACTTTTTTTGGAGTGCTTTAAAAGACTAAGCGAGTTGGTCCCAATTTTTTCCGTCAACAGAAAACGTGAAAATCACCCCTTAATAGTAAGGCGTTAGACATTCAAATAATAATTGAAGTTTTTGTTGAAGTGTTTATTGTAATCAAGAGAAATAAAGTTAAGTTTGATTATACAGTAAAGTCAATTATTGGTTAACCCACGGGGAAAACATAACAATATTCTAGAATTCATTATTCTGAACCACCCTAATCGAAAATAATCGTTACCACTCTACATTTCACTTCATTTATGTACTTGTAATATGCTGATTTTGAAAAGATCTGAGCTTGAAGTAAAAAGAGCATATTTGTAATTAGGTGAAAAATTGTCTTTTCTTGGAAATGATTCAAAAACTAATAGATATGGCTTTAATGTGTATCCGTCATCTCCATAATACGTGTCTATATAGTTTTCCATTTATTTTAAAGAAAAGGTAATTTTTTGCAAAATTACAAAATGCTCATGTCACTTTAAGCTTATTAAAAAAAATAAGCTCCGTAAACCGGTCAAACTTCTAGAATATGTCACATACAAGTACATTAAAATAAAGTAAATTGTAAAGTAGTAACGACTCTTTGCAGTTGGGTTTTTATTTATGGGGTAATTTTCACACATTTTTTGTCATAAAAAAATAGAAACCAACTCGCTTAGTTTTGAGGATAGGGATTTTAATGAAAAATAAAAGCCATTCCATTCGGTTATTCGGTCAGACAAAGAACCATTAGTAACCGCCTAGACGAGCACAAGTACACACAGCACACAGCATTGAAAAGCGCGAAAAGTACGCGTGAACCCGCCATTACTGAAAGTGCGCAAAAAATCAGCACTATAAATGACACAGCAGAAATGAGAGCTTCAGGTTCAGTTGACACGTCATGAAGAGTACTTAGACCACGCCACTGAAGATGACTGCCGCAGTTGCAGTCGAAACGTTTGGAGATTATAACCAAAACCCGGAAACCAACCAAAACATACCGGATAACTAGCACTTATCCGGTCGAATACCGGAATTAAAAAAAAATAGATAATAAATTGCTTTATTTTGTTATATATCACTTGAGAAATTTACAATCAATTATAAGAAAATAAATCTACAACTTGGAAAATGAATTAGTACTTTTCTTATTATACATTAACGATGCAACATTTATCAATATAGAAGGAAAATTTATCCTATTCGCCGATGATACCACAATATTGAGGCATAATAAAACTTTATGTAATTTCCACGAGATAAAAAAATAAAAAACTGGCGTGACTCCAATCTGCTGTCATTGAATGTTTCCAAAACAAACCTAATATCATTCTGCTGCTTTATTGACATCATACCATTAACAACAATGGACGCATACAAGATGACTGAAAACAGACCTAGTTCTAAAAATTTTCAGGGGTAATAAGTAACAATGATTTCAAATTCGCCGGTCACATTGTAACCCTCAATAAAAAACTAGCTTCAGGGTGTTTTGCAGTAACAACAACTTATACGTAACTTTGTTTGTCTGACGTTAAATCGACTTGCTTCTGACTCAATTGCAGGCTGTTTTCACTATTCAGAAAAAAGCTATAATGCACAAAAAAATACTGTCAACCGGGGTTATATCGGACGATATTATTAATTATCTGTCTGTATTTCTTTTATTATACGAAATTAACGCTAACTAATGCATTCTATAATAAGAAGTTAACCTAGTAAACATATTTAAATAAAAAAATATTTTAAAAATTGTCACGATTATATTTATTTATTTTTTTAAAGTGCGTCCGATATAACCCCGGTTTTGGGGGAATGTCGGAAGATTCCATTTTTACATTGAAAAAGAGCGCGTTGAGCCTGGTATCCGGTATAGATTTGGTTAAAAACCATTATCGGACAATTGAAAAAAAATTTGACCATGTAGGGTTCAGGATACAGGGTGATGTAGTAAAAATAAAAGTAAAAATCGATATAATGGAAATAAACGTCTTTATTCATAAAACAAAATCTTGTAGGAACGTCAAAAATTAAAACAGAAAAACTTCAAACATTAGATAAAAAACGAAAAATAACATTCTGAAAACGCAAGTAGGTAGGTATACCTACTTGATACCTTAACTCTGTAACTGCAGACCTTCAAACACAAAAATAACGCGATGGATTTTAGGCGCAGTTAAAACACTGTGGATCTGTTTAAGTTTGATCTTGTCTTCAACGTCCGGAAAAACAAAGGAATCTTTATGACCCTCATAGGATCTGAGGCAATTCACATCAATATACCTTTTTGCAATCTTTTCAATTTGCGCAACGAATTCTTTGGTCGTTTCTTTCTTGGTCCCTTCATTGTACAAAAACTTATCTATAGCAAAACAGCCTTCTTGTAATGTATCTCAGGAAGTTTAACGTTAGGTACTTCCAACGAGGATTCATCGTTCGGCACTTTAGACGAGGAGTCGTCGTTAACACTATCGTTTTCTAAAAAGATCACAGAGTTTGTAGTATCATTATTGGCATTTTGTTGAGACGTTGATGCGTTTTCATCAATGATATCTGCTTGAGAGATAGATACCGTTGACGTACCACCATTCACTTCGCATAGGTCTTCAAGACCCACCGATTTGCCAGCGGGGACGTTAATCTTCGACTTACGTTTGGGTCTAGTCGTGGTTTGATCCAAACGAACAACAATCGCGTTCATCATTTCTGTAAATGACGCTCTCATTGCATCATCTGTGCCTCCTGCTGGTTGTTTCCGAATCCTTTTCAAAACTTGTTCTGGATCGAATGGGATTATGCCGGATGCTTGGAAACCAGACCGTATATCATTCGAAATGCTATCCATCGATTTTTCCAGAAGCTTCTTCAGCAGCGAAGGAAATACAGATTTTGGCACAACTCCTCTATGGGTCCGTTTCCATTCGGTCAGAATTTCTCGCCACACCCGTTTTAGAGGTGCAAATACTGCAACGTCCAGAGGCTGACATAGGTGTGTCGAATTCTTCCGCAAAAAAACAAACCGAATATTGTTTTCTGTGCAACTTTTGATAATGCGGCAGGAAAGATGGCTTGCCAGGTTGTTGCAAATAAGAACCTTCTTGCCCTCCTTCGCGCATGCTTCTCTCCACGAGGAATAAAAACTAGTTTTTTATCGGGATCATCTGATAGGTTTGTTTCATCTATATTAACAATATTTTCAGGTGAAACCCCCTGGATTGTCCCGTTCAAGTGCATAAAGTATTCTTCAATCGTATCTTCTGTGATTTCAGCTTTCACTCGTTTAATATTTTCACAATTACGGAGTGATAATTCCTTGTGTCCTTGTATATTTACGCCCTTACTGTTCAAATAATGGTGCACGAAGTCCTTGATTGTTTGCCTCTCAAAAGGATATCCGAATTTTCCTGCAGTAGTCATGGCATTTACTATCCAATGCTCTTCAGTCACTGACAAAATTGGGGGCCTCCTGAGTTTGTCAGAATGCTCACCTCTGTAAATATCGTAAAGGGTGATTTTTGGTACCCCGTGCATTTCTGCTGCTTGTTTGAATGAATATCCACCATCTAATACGGCCTTCAATGCTCTTTCCATACTTTCTTGGAAATAATTGCGCCGATAAGGCGTTCCCAGTTTATGAAGGTGTTTTCATGGCATATCCGATATTACCCCTGAAAAACACACTTTCAGTTAATTTCGATTATATGCAAAAAAGAAGGACGCAAAATGAACTTTGATGTTATGGGGGTCTTTATAAGATTAAAAACAAATATTAATCCCATTGCACCATGTAGCTATCATGCACAGGGTTCACACGCCAGAGGACACTATTTGGCTGTCTCAATTAAAAAAAAAGTGACTCTACTAATTAATTTTTTGTGAGCTTACCTTGATTTTCTGATCGATCGCGAAACACATGTACGACTGGTAGGTTATCCGTTAATCTAGGGATATTTTTGTTTAGTAACCGAACTGTCACCCAACTTCTGTAGCGCGCTCAATTTGAAATACAACCACATCGTCCAATATAACCCCTGCCATCCGATATAACCCCGGTTGACGGTAACTAGTGACCAAGAAATCAGAAGATTTTAGATTATTGGGATATCTTAAAAACTCTAATTTATAACATATTGTTTGATTAAAAAGATCTAGTAATATAAGAATTTACAGTTTCAAATGTTATTACATAATCACTATTACATATCATTAAATTCCATTGAGTATTTCTCAAAAAATAAGTGTCAGAACATTATATATGAGATTTACTTGAAATTGAAAGGACTAATTGAAATATTTGCTGAAGATTGCATAGTTATTTCATAATAATAAATCTTTTCTTCATACATCAGAGTATCGAAATGGTTGATTTGTCTTAAAATTAGTTGGAAATTCGCAAAGCCGTTTTTTATTGATTGGTGATCAATATTATGTGTAGTCTGCTTTTAAATGAATTTGTTGAAAATATTCCAAAAATTGTATCACTCACTGGTGTGTGGTATCAATCATTGTATTTGCTAGTTCTGAGTGTATAATAGCAGCATGAGCCGTCTTTTTCTTCAAATCTTCCCGATTTTTTTCGCATTTCTCGACAAATTCTGTGAGCCTATTTTTCTGTCGAAGTTGCTCTTTAATGCTAGAATATTCATTTTTGAATTACGAATTTCTGTGTAAGTAATTATTACCAAGGGTAAATCGAATCGATAGAGGGGGTGAAGATTGCATCTTTTAGCATAATCAGTGTATTCTCAATTGCCTCTATTTCGCCTTGTAACAAGTTAAAACTAGGAGATTCTTCTAGTTCCACTATTCCTAAGTTTATGTCACTCTGAAAATAAGCATTATAATAATAATAATAACTTCGTTTTCGGATCATTTATTTTGGGTGATCAGCAGAACGGAATTGTACTCTTATAACACAAGTTATAGGTACCGATATTTTGATAAAATTTATCATCTTCAAAGAAAGGCTACAAAAGTTGTTTGATATTGTACTATCATCATATAATATATCATATAATAATGATAATATTTATTCATCTATGTTGCATAGAAAGTAGAATCAACATCTTGAAGGTAATGATGAATATATGAATAAATTGCAAGTCCACTGAGGGTTTAACGCTGTGTGTGGTTAAATTAACAAATACGAAAAATAAAATATTGTTACATATCACAATTACTTACATGAAAACAATTTGTTGTAATAGTAAAAAAATATTATTGTCATACATTCCGGTACTAATAGACAAAATCAAAGTGTTTCAAATAGTTAAAAAAAAACACATACACAGCTCACAGAAGTTCATACTTGTTTGTGAGGATAGCAAATATTAAAGTTTTACACATTATACATAATAATTAAAAAGATTGACCGAAAATAACAATTTTATTAAACAAAAAACTGAAATTACACAGAAATAACATACAAGCAACAACCAAAAAAAAAATTGAATTATTAATAAAAGCAGAAAATAAAAAAATATTATTAACAGAAAATGAAAACTAAAAATTATAAGAATCCAAACCAAGTTACGTCACGACGTTTTCATTATTAGTATCCACAATCATCTTCGGGTGATGACTGGACTATTTCCTCCGAGAGATGACTATTTATGAGTCATTCGAGTACTTTCACTTATGTCAAGGTCTTTCGTCCCTCTATTACTTCTGTAATTTTTTCGAAATTGGTCCATTCGTTATTGGGAAATTAAATGTTGAACGTTTTATTTAAGAAAAAACAGAAAATTCGCTGTCGCTCATTTCATTGAGGAAATCAACAAAAGTAATATCAATGGCAACACAATCAACGGATAAAGGGTTCCAAATGACATCCGTCCATCTAGTTCCATATAATAATACAGTCTACTTTCGAAAGCGTTCCTTACATTATTGACTATGTCCGGAGTCAGAAATCGGCATTCCCGAACAATTTACTGTCGCAGGTCTTCTAGATTTGTAGAATTTATTTAATAAGTACTAAACGTTTTGAAATGGACGTCACTGTTAGTGTTTTCTGCACTACTACTTTTTGTTGCATCTAGTTGTCGCAGAACAAAAAGTGGATAGTTGGCCACTGTCACTTCGTCACGAATTATTATTGTCATCTTTGTTCACTGTGTTCCAACATGGTTTATTCTACTGAAGAAAGAATAGAAATTGTTGCAACCAATTATCGAAATATAATGAATGAGCTTAAAACTACTGCAAGTATTTATAATAGAAATCATTCGGACCAAGGCCGTAGCCAGGGGGGGATCAAGGGGATTGATCCTCCTCCGAACAATGTGAGGAATACTAAATAAGGGCGCGAAAATGTGAGTATTACGGCAGCTCAAAGTGAGTAATTTTGACATCTTACATTGGCAACACTGCCAATGTAGTGTCTGTCTTACGTGATCCAATGCGAGTACGGAGATATACGCGAAGTAATAGTGCAGTATGTGGAATTATAGTGTTGCGAAATAGTGAAGTGAAAGTGAGTAATGATATGATTTTTTAATATGAATTAAAACGATTTGATGCCTAATAGTAGACAATTCACTGGTATTCATTCTCTTTAAAATCTTTATTGAAGTGAATATTTTTGTACAAATGGAATTATTGGCTCCTTTTTATAATTGTTAATTTGTTACAGGTCGATCAACAATCGAAATGGCAAAAAGGACGCAAGAAAATACATTATTCAAATATTTATTTAAAAAATCCTAACTTGATGCTGATAGTGAAGCCAGTGAAGGTTCTACTGAAAATCAGTGTTCAAGTGATTTCGACAGCGATATTGCTACAAGTAGTTCTAGTACTTCTGGTGCCGTTCCTGGGACTGTGGATAATGTTCCTCGGCATTTTTAGATGTGGGATACTATATGGGATCAAACATAAAAATTGATGATAATTTGAAGTACAGATTGTTGAAATATCCTTGGATGCCAGAAAAGACATTTAAGTTTCCAGTAAGTGACAATAAAAGAAAGCTAAAATTTCAAATTCAATGGATTGAACGCTTCTCGTGGTTGGTTTACACGAGTACAGGGCAACAAGGTGCTTTATGCAAATACTGTGTATTATTTGCCAGAGATTGCGCAGGAAAAGGCTCTCATCAGCAATTGAAATCCTTAGTTACTAAGCCACCCACTAAATAAAGATGCTATACATGATTTCAAGCATCACAGTGAAAGTCAGTATCACAAATCTTCTGTATTATTGGCTGATAATTTTATGAAGGTGTATAATAAATCTCAACCAAATATAACGAGTTAGATTGATAGCAGATACTTAGCGCAAATAGCCGAAAACCGGAAACGGTTCATTCCGATTATTGAAACAATTGACGTCAGGAATTGGCTTTGAGAGGTACGTGCGACTCAGGTCCTATAAAAATCAATGATCCTGAGCCAGAAACAAATGATGGAAACTTTCGTGCTATCGTACGGATGAGAAGCAGATGTGGAGACTCAAATCTAATGAAGCACATGGAAAATATGACGTTGAACGCTACCTACCTAAGCCCGATCATACAAAATGAACTTATTCCATTTTTTGGTGAAATAGTCAAAAAAATTGTGCAAGAATTCAATACCGCGACATTTTTTTGAATCCTTGTTGACGAAACTACTGATGTTTCACAACAAGAACAAATGTCAATTTGTGTGAGATATGCCGAGCCAAAAGATAATGTGTTTATCTTGCTTGAAGATTTTTTAACTTTTGTAACAGTTGAGGATACAAAAGGAAAGTATTTAGCTAATGCAATTTTATCTGAATTGAAATCTTTGGGAGTAGATTGCGAATACTCAATAGGGCAAGGATATGATGCTATGAAGCTATTGTTGATACACTAGACGACTTAAGCACTGACATGGATTGTGAAACATCGTCAAAGACTAATTCTTTTCTGAGATCAGTCATTTCAAGTGATTTTGTTATGTTGCTTAGGAATGTTGTTCCCATACACACTGACACTATTCCATTTGCGATTTGGCAGCAGCTTTACAACATGTCGATTTAATTATGAAGACTATTGAAGATATTTGCCAAAATATTGATTCAAACTTTGCTAAAATTTTCCAGAATGCACAGAATTTGCTCTCTAATGTAAACGAAGAGATTAAAATTCCGCGAATAACGTCACGCCAAGAGCATAGGGCAAACTACAACACAAAAGATACTGAAACTTATTTTAAAATTACTATAATGATTCCACTTTTGGATGATTTCATTGATCAGCATCAGTCGAGATTCCAAAATCATAAAGCCACATTATCATCTCTCAACTTTTTAATTCTTTCTGTGTGTTGCAAAGAACAAATCAATAATAAATATCAAGAATATTCCTTTGAGTTCTATAAAAAATATTTAGAATTGGACTTTGTGAATGCTGAATTAGACATGTGGCGGATAAAATGGCTGAAAGAATCTGAACTAGATCGACCAACATGTGCTATAGAAGCTCTCGGAGAATGCATCCAGTTCTCATTTCCAAACATTCACAAACTTTTAAAGATCTTGGCGACTCAAAACTTATTCAAGAAACTCCACAAGCCAGGAACGACTAAATGGTTTGGCGTTAATGTCAATCCACCGTAGAATTGACATCGACACCGAGGAGGTAATTGATTTGTTCGCTGCAAAAGAAGCTAGAAAACTAAATTTGATTTTGTGAAAAATGTTGATATTTCTGTAATGGTTTTCTAATAAGTATATATGATCATGTAACACCATTTTCTTTCTTTCGTTTATTTTTATATTTCATGTTTTCAGTTAATGGATAAGTTACGAACTTCAGGTTCTGTTCACAACAAAAAACATGAAGTATCCCGTCCTGTCAGAAATGACGGAGTTGAAGTTGCAGTTTTAGGACATGTACAATTGGATAATCGACAATCTATCAGACAAGTACTTAGAGCATCTGGTGTATCAGTTACTAGTGTTTTTCGGATTTTGAAAGCCTACAATTTCCATCCTTTCAATATGAGGCTAGTTTAGGAATCAAACGAGGATGATCCTGATCGTCGACTTCAGTTTTGAGAGGTATTGAGAGAGAAATTGACCAATAACCCAGTGAATAGACATAATTTTCGTTACTGGAGCGATGTAAATCCTCTTTTCGTGATGGAAACACATTCAGAAACTCCACATGAATTGAATGTCTGAGCCTGTATGGCAATCATATTGTTGGACCATTCTTCATTGAAGGTACTCTCAATGGAGACACATAGATACTTATATATATATTACAAGACTGTGTAGATCCTATGATTACACAAACTTTAGAAAATTATGGCAATTTGCACCCCCACATTTTGATTTTCGGGTGAGACAGTTTTTGGACGAACATTTTCCAATGCGTTGGATCGGCAGAAGGGGTCCAGCTAGATCACCTGATCTCACACTGATGGATTTCTTTCTGTGGAGACACCTGAAGTCGAAAGTGTACTAAGTCTACAAATCTAGAAGACCTGCGACAGAGAATTGTTCGGGAATGCCGTTTGCTGACTCCGGATATCTTGAATAATGTACGGAGCGCTTTCGAGAGTAGACTGTATTATTGTATAGAACTAGGTGGAAGTCATTTTGATCAATTTATCTGTTGATTTTGTTTCCACTGATATTATTTGTTGTTGATTTCCTCATTAAAATGAACGACAGTGAATTTTCTGTTTTTTCTTAAATAAAAAGTTCAACATTTAATTTCTCAATAACGAATGAACCAATTTCGAAAAAAATTACAAAGGTTATAGAGGGACAAAATATCTTTCAAATGAAGTATCACTCGTCCCCCCATGCCATTGAAAAAAATAGAACGGTAGTTGCTGACCGCAGAGGGTGAAGTTTCGGGTATGATTTTCGTATCAGAATTAGTCCCCCTAGAAATAAAAATTGACGTTTTGTTTGAAATTTTTGATTACATGTCCGTTTCTGACTTACAGGGGAGGTCAAGTTTTCGCGAAAACTTGACCTCCCCTGTAGTTGGGAATTTTGTAAAATTGTCACTTCAAAATTTGTGGACTGTTCAACTGTTCTCTTACTTGGGAGAAATTAAACTTTTTTGAAGTTTTCAAACAACTCAGAATTTCCAAGTATAGGATCTCCAAGTTATGCATGTTGAGAAATCCCAACCTTGTCCTGGTTCTTTCCCTTTCCTTATTACCTCTCCCTTTCTTTTCTCTCATTTTTTTTATTTTTATTCATTTTTTAACTATTACTTTTCTCTATCGTCACTTTCAAACTTCTTCCCAAGTCGAAAAAGCAGGGGGGGAGGTTCCCCCCCTGCTTTTTCATTACATCATTACAATTACATTACATTATTACAATTATTTATTGTTATTCCGCCGTGAATGTGGCCGCTATTAATTTAAAATACAGGTGTATTTTAAACAATTAGGTACCTACCTGCTGTCAAATACGTAATGATTAGTTTAAATTGGAGGGAGTAAAAAAAGTGTTTTTTGTGTGATTCAATGATTATATGAAAGTAGTTGTTTCGAGAGAGCTTTCTCTTCCAGATTATGTCTGAAAGTTACTGGAAGTTGCTAACTTTCGACCTATAAGAGCTAGGAAAGCAGTGAAAATATTTTAGTGAAAAGTAGAAACTATAAATCTAAAATAACTTTAATTTTACCTGTAATATTTTTATTTTATTTTCCTTATTTCATGTACCTATTCTATATATCCAACAGTTTCACTAGCTATTGTAAACTTATAGTAATAAATGTCAGATCTGGTTCATGGAATCTACATGTATACATGTAGATACACGGTATCATCAATTTGAAAAGGTATCACTATCTATATTTCGACTCTATAGAAAATCTGAAAATATACAAAACACGTCAAACTTAAGGGCGACATTTTGTAGTTTTGGAGTGGACACAACCCCTGAATTCTTAAATGAAAAATGGGGTTGAGTGATACCTCATTTCATAGGTCGTTCAGCTACTTTTTTAAAAAGACCACATACTAGACTCGAATTGGTTTTTATGCATCTTGGTTCCTGTATTATGTTCCAATAGTTACCTGTAGAGCATACTTTTCGGTAGGCTGAGCAGGTCGCTTTACAAGTTGACGTTCATGAAGTTGAAAATTTCAATAAGTCATCCCTGTTAACACACCATACAAACCAAAATATACGTGGGAATCGTAAAAATCTCATTTTATGTTCATCTCCAAAAAATTCATAAAAAAAGTGCATTCATCTTGGACCTGGCTGAATTAATCGAAATAAGATATATCAACTAGGATCATAGTTAGGCGTAATGCAATTTAAACGTGTCGAAATTATATTGATGCAACTGGGTCTCATAATCAAACTCACATCACGTCTTAACAAATTCTTCAAATTTTGTGAAAAACTCTTGACATTCTCCGACACCACTGTCAAATCCTTCTTGCGTCGCACCATATCTTTTTTGACGATCGTCTCAAGGAATTGGTATTCTTGCCTTCTATCATCCAAGTATTCTGTTCCCAACTGACCCATTCTAGTAGCTTTTATCATACATTTTCCCTGGCTCAATCCATCATTGCGTATTGACACCAAAATAGCATCAAAATACAGTGCATCCTGAAAGCAGAAAGTATCATTCTTCAAACTCAAATCACTATACAAATTCAAGTATCAGTTATCAGAAGAAATGAAACTCAGGTTAGTTAAAGCTCTTATTTACCCCCATATCGAGTATTGTTGTTGGGTGTATTACAATTTTTGTCGCAATATAACAAGCAGAAGTTACAATGCTTGCATGCGATTCGTATGCTGTATACCGTATGGTGAACATGTCACACTATTTTTGTTAAAAATGAAGAAGCTGAATGTGACGTACTGAGTCCAATATTTGATAATTTTTTTTTGTTTAAGTTGTTTCAAACTAAAACAACTAGTTATTTATATAGTTTATTAAGCAGGCATTTTGACATACATAGGTATGATCAATTTAAGAATTAACTCATTCAACATACCTAGGCACCGTACTTCCAAATTTCAAGGATGTTTTTCTTATATAGTCCCTTCTTATCTGAATGAAATTTTATCCCTTTTAAATCATAATATTCATCAATTTAAGACAGAAATAAAATCACAGATGCTTACTGCTCAGTGCTAATTTCAAAAATTTTAAATTCAATGTATGGTAGTGCAATAAAATTATTAAATTGACCAAAATAATGTTAAGAATATTAATAGTTATAAGCAACTATATGAATAATTTTGTTTTCTTCTCTATCATTGTTATGATAGTAAATAAGTATTTATATAATTATTTTCTTACACTCACTGTATATTTTTTGGGAGGGGTGGAAGATAGTCTTTAGCTAACCTTTTTCCTTTTATGTATAAATGTATTTTTTATGCATAATAAACATTATTTTTTTAAAAAAAATTTGTTGAAATATGTTATGGAATCGGCCGATAGGTAGGGGAAGGATGGATAATGTGGCCCTGGCAGGTAAAGTGGCCACCTGTTTCCGGACGAACCAATATGAGCTATCTGTCAAAGATATTGAAATAATTCATTGGTTGACGCCATATTGCCTCGGTAAACTCCGGCCGGGTCAGTGCTCATCTTCAGATTTAATGGTGAAATAATTGTGTTTTGTGGTATCTGAGGTGAGTGATTTGAACGTATTTAAAAAGTAATGTCATCAGTTTCACAGAAGGACAATGCATGATTTTATCGATTTGGTGGATTAATTGAGCTATTCATTTCGCTGCAAAGTAGATTAGTATAACCTCATTTGTCATTTCTAGTATATTTCATTTCACCTCATGCTAAATCGGGTAAAATGGCCCACCTATAGGTAAGGTAAAGTGACCTGGTGGACCACTTTATCTCCTTAATGCTTATTTCCAGAGGCAATGGATGAAGCTATACAAGCTGTACGAAAAGGTGAAATGGGCTTCTTGAAAGCAAGCAACACTTTCAGTATTCTTCGAACGACGCTCAAACGGCGTGTATAAGGAAAAAACAAAGACGCCTCGTCGTCCAATTTTCAGTCCAAATCAAAAGGAAAAATTGGTGCAACATATTTTGGAACAGGAAAACGTTGAACCAGGACGTTAATATGAGTACCCAGATAACACCAGCTGCAGTTACACCACCGACATTTGATCCTTACTTAAACCCACAACCCAAAACGTCTTTCGCAATATCGCCTTGCAACATATTTTCGATTCCCAAACCATTTCCTGAGACTAGAAATGTGAATAGAAAGAGAGGGCGTACGGTAGTTTTAACCAGCAGCCCATACAAAAATGAGTTGCAAGAAGAATCAATACACCAGGAACAAAAGAAAGCTACAAAGAGAGTGAAAAAAGCTACTATCGAACCATCCCCAACTGAAACTGCCAATAAACTTAAAACTAAAATAAAAAAACGTAGCACGAACTTTGCTAAAATACAGGGTGTAACTGAATAAGTGTAAAACATTTAAGGAGATGATTCCTCATCGAACAAAAGATAGGATCTATCATATAAAGAAACGTCATTGGAGCATCCTTTGTTAAGATACAGCCCCTTAAAGGGGTTACATACAATGTGTATAACAATTTTTTTCACAAGCACTGAAAAAGTTACAATATTGAAATTAACCTGACGTTTTGTACTACCAAAAAGATCCTTAGCCAGTAATTTATTTGGTTTAAGAGTGTAAGGGGTGAGAAACGCAACCCCTAAAATTTATTTCCAATGTAACTTTTTGTCTTATTATTTGTTTACACCCTCTATAATGACACAGATGATGATCCTGAATACTTTCATTGTGGCGAAGTTTGGTCTAAATCAAAACATGAAGATGGTTGGATACAGTGTTCCACTTGTAAACGACGGGCCCATGAAGCGTGGTCGAGTTGTGATGACAACGATGGCAACTTTCATAGTGAATTTTGTTCCTAAGAATATTTTTTATTAGGCACGATTATGAATGAACAAATACAAATGAATAGGTTGTTACTTGTATTCTACAGATTAGTAACTAAAAGTTGATTTTATTTATTATTAATGAATAATTGAGAAGAAGTTAACAAAGACTTGATTTTTGGCAATTAATATAAAAAGCTGATGTTGATAAATGAATAAAGACTATTTATGATAAGTGAACGTAAGTATATTTAGATTAAGAAAAATAAAAGATTGTTAATTGTTGCGAATTAATATGTAGAATTACATTACAATACAATACAATAAAACCTGTTGTTCAAGTTAAATATTTTTTCCATGCAAAATATCAACAAATCTTAATGAAAATAACATATATGTATCGTTTATTTAGCACAAGCTAATGCATAATTTTGATGTTTTATTTGAAGTAGACCACTTTACCCGTTTATGAATATGTATATGCCATTTTACCCGACCAGGATAGGTAAAGTGGTCAATTTCCCATTTCGACTTTAATCTTAAATTATGCTAAAATTTTCAGAATATTGGTCTGTGAACAATATAATATCGAAATTTAATAAGTACACGGATAATAATAAACAAACGAACTGTAAAAAGGTTGACATTTATTCGGTTGGCGTGGGTTGAAAGCTTAGGGTGGCCACTTTACCCTACCTTCCCCTAATTGATGAAAATCCATAACGTATTCAACACTTATTACCAGCTCAATACTATGTAACGTTGAATAAAGTCAATGTGAAGTATCAGATAACTTGTTAATAATCCTGTGCGAATTATTTTTTCATTTTTTCAAAATAACTCTTATTCAAAGTACAGGATTATAACATCACTGATAATTTAATATTTTTCAGTTTTACCAAAAACGGAACACTTGTTTCGCTATACAATAGCTTCTTCAGGCGTGTCTATACAAAAATAGGTAAAACTGTTCTATGGAAAGTGCTTCTTGAATACGAAATCATCAACACAACAAAGCTTATTTTCATTTTCTATCTAGCTCCTATTTATAATTCGTAAGTTCAAGGTATTATCAGTATGAATGAGAGAAGTTTGGTGGAGCCTTCAATTAACTTCAATTATGTAATTTTTCACATATAGGTGAATTTTGTCAGATTTTTAGAGATTCTGGAATAAAACTGTAATACAAACCTTTGTCGACTGTTTGAAAAATAACGGAAACTAGTGTGGCTGAGTTATGATTTATTGAAAAACATCTCATGATTTAACAACCACTTTTTGTAAGAAATTATAATCTCAGAGAAAAATAATCCTTAATATTGCGAAAATCAGGAAGGAAATACTCTAAAATCGACAAGAAAATAATGCGCCAAATGCAAAGAAAGATTTTGGAGCATCAATGTGTTATATTGTGTTTTTTCAGAACTTTATTCAAATATTCGGTTGTTTCAGAAGTTTTGTCCGTTTATATGAGTCTACTTTAAAGTGTAATATCTCGGTGAATACATATTCAATTCAATCGAAATAAGCGACATTTGAATCAGTGCAGTTTTGGTAACGTAACAAAAGTCGATTACGTTCGTCAAAATTAAAATTTTGTTGCTTGATTCCGAGCAACAAAAAACGGCTTTCGTCGACTTCATCAACGGTCCTGATTGGCGAAGGTTCTACCAGTGAGAAAGTTATCGAATTGCTTGTAAAAATGGTAGTCGGTTGGCGAGATATCTGAGGGGTATGTAAGGTGAGGCAGAACTTCGACGCTTAACTCGTTTACTTTTCGGACGCCGATTTTGAAACGTGCGGACCGGCGTTGTCGTGTAGTAGGATCGGACCTGTTCTATTCTCCAGTACCGGCTGTTACTGACGCAATTTTTGGCGCATTTTGTCGATTTCACCAGCCGCTGACCACCTTGTTGGATTTTCGCCTTTAGGAAGTGCCTGGGTGACTTATTGGTGTCCAGCCACTGTCCTGAACGTCCCCTCTAGTCATAGAGTTCATCACATGTGACGACTCAGTTCAAAAAAGAATCATTATGGTTGCGGAAAAGCAAAGAACAGACTTCGAAACGTGACAAATTCTGTCGATCGTTCAAATCGTTGAGCACCCACTTTTCAAGCTTTTTGACCTTTCCAAAACGTTTGAAACCATCAAAATACCAAATAAGAGCCGACGCCCAGTTCTTCCGTATCAGTCTCCACCATGGTCCTTAAATCCTCATCCTGGATTATTGTAGATCGACCACTTGGGGGCTCATCTTCGAAGCTGAAATTTCCGGAACGAAATTTCGCAAATTAACGTCGAACAGTGCGTTCATTAACACTGTCATTGCCAACTACATGGTTAATTTTTTGAGCTGTTTTGGCAGCGCTTTGGTTCAGTTTGAATTTGTAGAGAAAAATTGGCCGAAAATCATCATCATCATAAGCTAAAGAGAGACAATAAATTAAAATTTGGAACAAAACGAACACCATCAATGTATAGTAATACAGTCTACAAAATTCTCTATCGATCAGCATACCTATACCACGACAAAGTATAATAAATATTTATTGAGATATGGAGCTACAAAAACACATGACAAAACTTGTTGAAATAAATCATTTAATAGTAACGATAAGATTCAAATCTCAAATTATCTTAAATTGAAAGGATATATTTTCATATCAAAATTTGTGATATTACATTTTGCAATAGATATTATTGAATCATAGTTGAGATTTGTGCATAAATAAGATTCAAAAATCCACTTATTTATATTGAGAACCTTTGATTATATATATTTCTGGTCGTGAAGATATGTACATTATATTTATTATTTTCATTGTTTCAAAATTTCTAAAATTTTGTGTTTAGTTTTCTCCTCCGATAAAATTGCATAACTTCATTGACATTTTACTAAAGAAAAATAACATTTCAATATGTTCAAGACATATTTTCTTATGAACTGCTCTTGCTCCAACTGAATTATTTATTTAATATATTTTAGCGAAAAGTTCCCATATGTGAGGCAATACAGTTTAAAAAACATATTCATGTCATAATAATAGAACCAAATTTAAAATCATACCCTTTTCATAATTGCTATCATTTCCTTGTATGAATTCCGAATATATATTGCAGCTTCTTTTTTTAGTATAGCATCTTGCACTTTACCCGTTATCAAATGAGCTTGCCTTTCGGATGGTAACATTGTTTGCCAAGTTAATCCATCATATTTCAGTCTGTCCTCATATAAAGCATATTTCAGCTGAAAATATTAACAAAATAGTTCCGAGAAACATGACATCCATATTTATTTTTTGTACCTTGAATTCAATCAACTTATCAGACTTCAGTTTCATTCTATATTTCAAACGATCTCTTGTTTTCCTCTTTGTGAAATTAACCTGATGTACCATATCTATAACTTTCTAAAATTCATTGAAAATAAACTGAGCTCAATTCGTAAAAAAAATATTTTCATTATTTACCTGTGGCTGGGCGTTTTGAAATGCTAGTTGCATTTCTCGATGTTCGGCTAACGTATTCCGTAGTTTTTGCTTGTCTCCTCTGATAGCATTATCCAAGTCCCTCCTGTTATTTTCTATATCCTTCTGTAAAGCCTTCAACTCCTTAATTTGTTTTTTCTTTGCAATAACATTGTCCATCTCAATTATTTTCTTATCCCTAGCTAAAAACAATTCATCGTCATCATATTCCAATTGCAACAAATATGAAAATAAGTTTGAAAATTCATCTCTGATTTCAGCCCCTTCATGGAAGGGGTTCAAAGGATTACTTACTGTATAAATTTATTAAACCCTTGTATTGGGTAATTTTATCTTTTGTGGTCCATTTTGTTGACGTCATACCATGCAATTTTACTTTATTTGCCGACAGCATATTTGTGCTATTCATTTTTGGGAATTAATTGCATTGAATAATGAAAATAAAATACAAGTAGATTGAAGTTCAAAATGAATTTGACTTTTGAATCTGTCAACAGAGCATGTTGACTGCAACTACCTTTTTACTTTGATTATTGGTGAATAAACAAAAAAATTAAATGGAAGAGTGGAATGATGAGTTTTACAAAGAGTACATTGGTGTACTCTTTGGTTCCACGATATTGGAGATATATCTGTCTCATTTTTTGTTGGTCACTAAAGAAAATGAGATACTATTTGAGAGAAAATCGTTGAAGTATGCCAAAAAATAATTATACAAAAATATTTAAAATACTAAAAGTGTGGATTCAAATTGATGGAAATCGAATGTTTTTTGACTCTTGAGTTATTTCATAATGAAGTCGAAGCTGTCCCGGGTTTGTTGACCGTAATTTTTCAGGTTTTTACTCGACATTTCGTCTACAACTGCGGAATATGTCAAAGGTGTTACAAAACACTATCTCAGATTATTGATCTGCTTCGTGATAGGTTCTCAATCGAAGTACTAAAACATAGTTGATAGATCAGTAGCTGTCAACTTTTACTGGGACGTACCACTAGCTTCATGAAAAACGATCATATCCAAGATATTCTGATATTCCAGGAAGGCTAACAGTTTCCAAAGGAATCGAACCCTCGATTCATGAAGAAATTAATTCAGAAATTCAAAAGTATTAGAAAATTTATAGCAAATGAAATGAAATGAGAATTATTATTATTTAAAGATTCATTATTTAGGATTCACTACCGCCTGTGATTGTTGTCCATGAATTCTTCAACAAATTACAGTACAGAATAATCCAACTTTGCCATTACACTATTATGAACTTTCATTTGGTAGGGGAAGGGAGAGTAAGATGGCGAACGTAACAGTTATTAATTAATATTTTTTACAAGGTACTTCTTGGAAGCAAAATTACTTTTGAGTAGCCTTGATAGAAGCTTAAGGCATAAGATTAGGGTTTTTCCGTAACTTTAAGCAGGGCCGTAGCGAAAAGAAAAACCGGGGGGGGGAGGGAATCCAAATTTTCCCAACCCCACCAGCGAAATTTCCCAACTTTCGAAGAAATGAAAGCCGAGGGATTAGTTACTACTATAATATATTAATTTTCTTACATAGCTATCCAAAGATTGGCTGAATGCTTATGCCCCTTAGGGTATGCACAAACAAAAATAAATTTTGGTGATTATAAAAATAATATTGGGAATTATTTTACTTTGGACCAAGGTCCTTGGTCTTCCACCATATCCACAATGTATAGGAATATTCAATACAAATGAAAGGAAACAACACTTAAATAATATTGTGCTTATTGTTTCCTACTATTATTTTTTCTATCTTCACGGCCCGAAATTTCCCAACTTTTCCAAGTCGGAAAAACAGCGAAAAGTTGGGAATTTTATAAAATTTTCACTTCAAAATTTGTGGACTGTTCAGGACTGTTTTCTTACTTGGGAGAAATTAAACTTTTCTGAAGATTTCAAACAACTCAGAATTCTCTTCTAGTTAAGTATGCATGTTGGGAAACCCCAACCTTCTCTTGGTTCTTTCCCCTTTCTTATTACCTCTCCTTTTCTTTTCTCTCATTTTTTTAAATGTTTATTCATTTTTTGACTATTATTTTTTCCTATCTTCATGGCCCAAAATTTTGCAACTTTTCCTAATTTTTTTCCAAGTCGAAAAAGCAGTGGGGGAAGCTCCACCCCCATCCCCTCCATGGTGACGGCCCTGACTCTAAGTCTATTGGAAATTATTGTTACTTCAATTTTTTCAGTCCACTGTACCAGCGGCGGCTCGTCAGAGGAGGCTAGGGAGGCTTAGCCTCCCCATAAAATTTGAGACTATTCATCGCAATAAATTAAAAGATATTGACAAATAATTATGATTATTTTTTTCTAAAAATGCTTGGGTATCATTACTCTACCATTAATTTTTAATATAAATACTTAATATGCCCGAAAAAACACTATCACTCACTAGTAGTACGTACCACACTGTATCCTGCTTCAACAAAACTCAAACACACCGCTCATGAACGAATAACGAATAAACCATCAACCCGAAATAATAAATGCCATACGTCGCAAGGGAACCAAGCCTCCGACCGCTTTAAAAACACAGGCTCCACGAGACCGATCCAACCAGCGACATACGTCCCGATTTTTACTTTTAGTTGCAGAAATTATAGCTTTAGAGGAGGCTAGCCTCCAGTCGGTTTCCGTTAGTGTACGACTGCGTTTGTTTCTTATTTATTTATTCGGACGGGATGCCGTGACGGACCGGGACTGAAAAATATTTCGGTAAATCGTTTTAGTGTTTCTTGATAATATTTGTTATTTGTGTATAAAACAGGCAGTATTGTATTATAGCAGTGCTTTTTGGTAATTTTTAAAAGTGTTTTCTTTCAATTTCAAGGTGTTTTCAGGTTTTCACTTTTCGGTAAGTTTTTTTTTCATTTATTATGGATAAGTTGGACGAAATTAAATATCTGACGATATTATCGATTGGTTGCTGACAAATAATTTCAAGTCTTTATCTTATGATAATAAACTTTACATTCTTAAAACTCTGGGAAGGCCTCAACCAAATTTGATTTCAATTAAAGCGTCAGATAATCGACAAAATCGAGGATTTAATATTATTTGGTACGATGAATGCGATTGGTTAACCGGCTCCATTAAACGAGAACAACTTTTTTGTTGGTCCTGTGTTTTATTTTTCGTACAAACCGAAACCAAACGTGGTCTAACATAGGATACTCCGATTTAAAAAATTTACCTCGTTCTACAGAAAGACATTTCAAATCTAAAGAGCATATATTTTCGTCTTTTAAATTAAAATTATTTAGCAAACAAAATATAGCAACAGCTTTAGATATCTACAGCTCAAAAAAAAAGCCATAATTTCTTTAAGGAAAATCGGTCGAATTTGAAAAGACTCATCATGTTAAATAGTTGTAAAAGTATTTTTATTTTGATATAAAAAACAATTTAGTGTTTAATTGGAAACGTTAAAAGTTATAACGATTTTATTTTTTGCAAAAATTTAGATTAGGTCGATAAATAAATAAAATTGATGTCATACATTTTATTGCTAAATACACCAATATTTCTTTTATAATGTACATGTTTTCATTTTATAACAATTGAGTAACGCCCACGTTTCACTCGATTACAATAAAAAACAATTTTTCAAGGGTTGCGAAAACCTATCAGCAGCAGGAAATGGGTTACGCTGACACCTATGCTAATTAGTTTTGTTGCAGCGCGTTCGTGTTGGGTTTACGGACGATAGCATTTGCTGTGAACGTCTGGGACTAGGATACCCTCGTCTTCCAGTATTTCGTGAATTTTAGAATCACCTCTAATTATTGCTGCTCGTATTAACGACTGCCGACCTCGGATACCCACGTGACACACACATCATCTACAACATACTTGTCACAAATGAAACAAAAAGTAATGTTTTCACTCATTTTCACAGAGCAAAGTTTTGATGTCTGTACTCGCCGAAACTCACATAGCATCTGAAAAATGTGCGTTTCCTGAAGAATAGAGCAGATGACTGAATCAGCCCTTTTGTTCAAACAATGCCAAACATTGCCGGAGAAAGTGACAATAGGACCGACAAACTTACCGTTAGCACCACTGCGCTGTTCACACAGCGCTATTTTACACATATCTTTGAAACGGTAAGTTGTTTCAAAAAAAGTTAGAATAAAAGTTGTTTATAAAATTTTAAAAAACATTTTTTCTATTTGTATCGTAGCTGAAAAATGAAAATTTCAGAACAAAAAAGTGGAAAAACACTTTTTTTTTAAATTTTAGCACCACCTACTGCGCACATTTTTTGTTGTACAAGATAGCACCAATGACATTAATTGTAGATAACGATGCCTTCTACATTTTTTGTTGGATACATTTTTTTGTAAGATGCATAGTTTTCGAGAAAAATGCATTTCAAAATATTTTTGAGTTTTTTCAAAAACCGTCACAGGTGGCAGGTGGCCATCGCTAGGTAAGCTTTCTTTCATCATTCTCTAACAACTCACCAAGTTCCATCCATCGGGTAATTTTTCAGCCATTATTTGGAAGATTGACTGTACTATGTCCATTCTCCTCATCTCAAGGGTTGGAAATGACTTTTTATCATATGTTAATCTCTTCATCTAAAAAATTAGTAATAATTCCTCGGACAATGCCCTTGCAAGTTACGTAATTATATGGTATATACACTTTGTGTCCCCTATTTTTAATAGTTTCGTTATTAACAAAATTATTTGCATCGATTCTACTACTGAATTCTATGCCAATTTTATTGATACCTTTATTTTTATTCGAATGATATTATTTAAATTTAAGTCAAAAATCTCATTCGTTATTTTCAAGTCCAATCTTATTTCCAGATTGTTGTGTAGAAATATTAAATTCTATGGAACGCCGTTTTACTTTTTATTGTCACAAATATTCATTCCTCAATTTATTCAACTAACAATGTATTTGTTTAAATTTAATTGATTCATGCATTTGTTCGACACATTAAAAATGTGAATAAATAAAATATGGTTCAGTTTTCATTTCTATTTATTTTTACTTGTGAAAGGTAGAGGGAATTATAAAATCTATAATGTCCCAAGGGAGTTATGACCCTCTTTATTGATAGCGTAACTATGACGATATAAGCTTATAATATCCCGGTCATAAATAAAATATATTTTCTACCTCTTTTTCGTTGCTGTCCCCCCACCGCTTTGAAAAAGAAATTATCTTCTGGCTGCTTTGCAATAAATGTTGTATCCCGTCTGATCATCTGCATCATCAACTGCCTTCTTTTCAATCTTAAAAACTTATGTAATAGAATAAACACCATTCTGGGGTTCTAGCAGTCCAGGTGCTGTTAGAAAGTGTACTCGTGTTACAAAAACGAGTTCCAAAAAGTTTTTATAAACTTTCGAGATTCATGTCCACAATTCTTCAAAAAAATAATGACATCGTTTTAAATTTTCATTTCGGAGGCTATGAGCTTGCTTCAAAAATTGGAAATAAATTTGAGAACCCCAACAAAATTAGGAATACTCGTCAAGAAAAAGTCTTACTTTTCCACTACCTGGTTTATCGCTAATGAAACAATAAGTTCATAAATCAAAGCAAACAATTCATTTATTCACGGATTCAAGACCCATTTCACTCCATTCAATTTTGAAATTAAAAAATAGATACACACGATGCCCAATACAAAAGTGCAGATAGAATCAAAAAATTGTACAACCAATAATCAAATACAGATTAAATGTTCTATTAGAAAGACGTTCGCAGAAACTACATATTCCACCCTAAATCAAGCTGCCTCTGAAACTGAGACTGGTGCAGAAGTACAGAAATCGAGGTCCTTTTTGTTTGCCGCTTTTATAGTTTGCGGTAGGAAGGAATAAAGGTACTATAATTTGTTCTACAGTGTGGTTGAGAAAATGTTGTATTTCTAGTTAATTTAGGGAATAGGCTGAAAATCCGATCTTGGATAGCAATGAGGGACAATAAACATTTCCATTATTAATTTAAAAAAATATCTTCATCTTCGGTATCCATTCTGTTACGGAGTGCTTCAAGATCTATGAGAGTATGTAGTTATCAGGAGTAATTCTGGATTTCAATGCGACCAATCTTAGGAATGTGGCTTGCATAGGATGGGTTCCATACAAGGAAGGAAGCCGAGCATTTTGAGAGACTTATTAACAGAGGCTGACATGTGGGGCTGAAATGAAAGTGAGGTGTCTAGGAGTTAACCCAAGTCTTTTATTTCTGTAACATTACTGAGTGGAACTTGATTCATAGTATAAGAGAACGTTAAGGGGATATGTTTACGACTAAAAATTATAGAATGGTATTTACGTGTTTTAATTTCCATACCATTGTCAAAACACCAGCTGAATAGTTGGTTCAGCTAGCTCTGAGTTCTACACAGTCGTCCGTTGAATAGATTTTTTTTTAACTTTCAAATCATCCCAAGGGGGAATCATATGCCAAATGAAGTTAGTAATTCAGAAAGTCCTGCCATGGTTCTCCTGGCGGGAATACTTTTTACTTCAATGTTAGGACTTTCCATGATATTTATCTATCGACGATTTTATTAATTCGATAGGATTGGAGATCATCCCCTGAAAAAATATAACGCCGGCCGCCGCAAATCTATTGTGACTTGGACAAAATCGCGTTCAACTCTACTTGCACGTCGCGATTGTTCTAGATGCTGCGTCGCTTTGATAGAATTCTAGCGACTTCCCTATCAATTTCGAAAGAATTTGATTACCATATGTAAACACTACCAACACGCATATCAAGGAAGTCTAGTTGACAGTGCCGTACGAAGTGATCTAATAAGGCGATAGACATTTGAATATATATTCAACACAACAAAAAAATATTTTTTGAATGTTTCCTACACTAAATTAGTCAATTTCTACTAATTTTGGGGTGATAAAAACGAAAATAACAATGAAAAATTTTTATTAGCTCTGGTTTTTGAGATACACAGTACTTAATCTTAAAGAGTAGTTATACTATACGTGAAAAGTGAAAGTACATAAAACAATATTGTTATGTTTCTTTTAGAATATTTTAAGTACAAAATTAATAAAAAAAAACATTATTCTTAGTGTTTTGACAAATAAAAGAAGTTTGTACCACCAAATTTCAATTAAGTCCATCCGATTCATTGTAAGATCGCTGTCGTTTAGCTTGTCTTTTATAAAACACTTCTGGAGCATCCCTACACATAGACCAGCAGTAGTCTGCAAGCATTGCTTCATTCCAACGGCCCTGATATCTCTGTTCCATTAAGGCAATGTCTTGATGGAATCTTTCTCCATGTTCGTCACTCACAGCTCCACAGTTTTGTGGGAAGAAATTAAGATGAGAGTGAAGAAAATGAATTTTTAAGGACATGTTGCATCCAAGTTGGTGGTAAGCTTGAAGAAGCTCTTTAACCAATGCTGTGAAGTTATCATCTCTTTTGTTACCTAAAAACCCATGTACAACCCCCTTAAAGGCTTCCCAGGCTCTTTCTTTATTGCCTGTTAAAATCATGTCAAAAGCAGGATCATTTACGATTTCACGGATTTGAGGCCCAATAAAGATGCCTTCCTTGACTTTAGCATCACTCAACCTGGGAAACTTTGCTCTCAAGTACTTAAAAGCTTGTCCTTCCTGGTCCATGGCCTTCACAAAGTTTTTCATTAGTCCCAACTTAATAAGTAATGGGGGAAGGAGAACATCCTTAGGATCTACAAGAGGCTCGTAAACTGCATTTTTCTCATTAGGATTTAGGTCTCGTGTAGGCCAGTTCATTTTTTTATAGTGAGATTTTCTATCCCGACTGTCCCACAGACACAAAAAACAACAGTACTTGGTGAACCCTAATTGCATTCCTAGGAGTGTAGCAATGACTTTCAGATCACCACAGATGTGCCACTTGTGTTGTTCATATTTGATTGATTGGAGAAGTGTTTTCATATTTATATACGTTTCCTTCATGTGAACTGCATGACCTATAGGAATAGAGGGTAGCTGATTTCCATTATGCAGAAGTACAGCTTTTAAGCTTAGTTTTGAAGAGTCTATAAACAGTCTCCATTCAGATGGAGTGTGATCCAAATTCAAGCAGTCCATCAAACCATTAACATCAGAACAAACTACGAGGTTTTCTTTTTTCTCAAAAAAAGGAAGCAAATTTTTTTGACGCTGTCTGTACTGAGATATTTTCACATCATGTTTTAGAAGATTCCACTGTTGTAGTCTTGACCCTAACAGCTCAGCCTTTTCCTTAGACAAGCGAAGATCTCTTATAAGGTCACTCAACTCTGCTTGACTAATTCTGTGCGGATCACTAGACCTATTGCTTACCTCAAAATCAGGGTCATAGGATGTAGAAGGATGGGTTGCTCCTTCTAAACAGTCTTCATCACCTTCCTCTAAAATTTCATAGTTTTGGGGTGGAGAAGGGACTGGCAAATTGTCTGAGTGTGGTACAGGCCGAAGAGCAGATGGGAGATTAGGGTATTTAACCGTTCCTCTTTTCTTCATAGATAAACCTTGCTTAATGGGAGGAGTTAAGCAGAAATAACAGTCGTCTGTATGATTGGTAGGCTCACGCCAAACCATACGTACTGCAAAAGCCATTGCCCGGTTTTTATTTTTCAGCCACTCTCGCAATATGACGGAACAAGAATTGCAACATATATGAGGAGCCCATGATTTATCTTGGTCCCCAACTTTCACACCAAAATAATATTCATAGGTGTCTTAACGATAGGTGTCATTTTACGTTTCTGAGCCTTAAATGTTATTTCACCACATATATAGCAAAAGCTATCGACAGAATTCACACACTTTCGAGGCATTTCAGATCAGCACTTAAATTAATTTAAAAATCAACTTCACACGATAATTTCAATAGCAACCACGTGCGTACAATTGACAAACTCACATAGGTTATGTTTACTACTTAAGAACAGCTGATGAGAGGGGTGTTATGTAAACAAACATGTGTACCAACTGTTGGTGATGAAATATTTCATTTGTTGAAAACTCAATATACATATATATAATATAATGATACTATATCTTGAAAACAAGAGCTAATATATAATTTTTATGGTCACTTTCGGTTTTAACACGTGGAAATACATTAAAATCATCTAATTTCAACCCCGAAACAAAAACTTTGTTGTGTTATATTTACCTTCCTTCCACATTTCACCATGGAGCTCAACCTAGCATTCGTTCCATTCATAGATATATTTGGTAATGCTTTCCACAGGATAGTTCTTTTGTATTGACGAACTGATTGAAAAAACTTTCGTACCTTATTTACTCTGTTTTCTGTTCATGAGTACCATGTAATTTTTCCCACATTTTTTAATGTATTATTCATGTTGATGAGTTGCCGAACTTGTTAGCTCAAACTGGAAAAGTATCAAATTCTGTGCAAGTTCAATTTTCACTACAGTTTGTAAATTTTTCCGACATTCATCCAATTCCTTATCAATTGTGCAGGACACTGAAATTGACCATTATTTGCATATAGCTGAATTTCTATCCGGAATTTCTAGTCAACCCAGTTAGACTCACCGTGTACTCTATCGATTATTACGGCTCTTTAAATGTTCATTTCTTTGATGATCAATTGCTTACTGTCAAATAAAACTTCGATTCAATCAAAATGTTTTGCTGCAAAAATGGGTTTACCAGATGCGGTCAATCTGGTAAACCAAAGTACAGATTTATTCAGTTTTCTAGTCTTCAGAAAACGTATTAGAGATGTCAGGTCTAAATAAAATAAATTATTGGTTTTTTCCTTAAAGTATAATAAATAATAGCATATTATCACATCAATTACAGGATATATAATGTTCAACAAACATTTCAATGTTCTGTATATTGGACATTGTGTCTGTTATGAATGATCCTTTGCCAGGTAATAAACTGAGCTGCAAGCTGATGAATTCCTTAGATGAAGGTTCTTCAAGAATGCTCTTCAGATTGGGATCCCTTATCGATAATCTGCAAAATAAGAGTACAATTAAAAAAAAAACACAGCTTTTATAAGGATATTGAATATGACCTACAAATGTTTATAATCCAAAGACCATCATTTCATAAAATGAAAAATTTTGAATGCTCTTGCTTTATATTCTGAAATGATTTTCTTCTGTATTTATGGCTGTTAGGTATTTTAGTCAAGTGTCTACCCCTGACGTTGCAAAATTGATCTAAATTGATATAAGTAATTTCTTCTAGATGTCAACTCCAGAAAACACTAAATTAATTCTCATTGATATATTTGAATATTAGTTTATCATTGATTAGATCGACTTGTTGAACTTTAAATAATGAGAACACCTATTACAAGACATGTTTTTAAGTACCGTTTTTAAATTACACCTAGTTTGTAAATGTTTAAAATGCTGCCGCCGATTGAGAATGCCACCGACTGTGAAGCACGAGTTATTCGTTTTTTCAGTGCTGAAGGCTTGAAAACAGCTGAAATTCACCACCAAATCTGTTAAATGAATGGTAAAAACATTAGAACTGGATGAATGGTTAGGGAGGGGTTAGGGCGTACAGAGATGGCCGCACAAATATTCAGGATAAGGAACGAAGTGGGCGATCATCTGTCATTACCGACAATTTGATTTAAGAAGTGTACTGTGAAGTGAGACAGGATGAGTTTTTGAGCTATATATAGGCGATGTACAATGGGTAGGCTACTGTGTACCAACATCGAAGTAGAAATTCATGGTATGGCAACATTCATCATTTCCTAAGCAAGTGAGTCAATTTCTATTCAGAAAATCATATACAATTTGTTCTGGGACAGAAGATAATATTTCTTGTTGTTTTTTGCTTCGTGGTGGCGCAAGCATATTATGTGACACAAAAATTGCGCCCTCCAATTAAAAACGACAGGCGTGGATTGCTGAGCATAAGTGTTGTTTTGATGCCTGTCCGACTTGCTGTCTCTTCATTTCAGAACGGTACTCACTTCAAAAACGTGCCTCATAATTACTTATGAACCTCAAAATAGTATTTTCTGCTATAATTACACAATGACAAACAATAATAAACTCAATGGAGGAATATCTAGTGTATGCTGGAATCTTCGAAGTTACTTTAATTTTTTGCCTCTTTTCAGTGTATTACTATATGATGTCTTTAAATGATTTTCGGACAATTTTTCTCTGCAAATTCAAAGTTAGTCAAGGCACTACCGAAACAGCCCTAAAAATTACCCAGGCATTTATTTGGCAATGATAGTGTTAATGAACACACTTTTCGATGAGCCCTGAAGTGGTCCCTGTCCAGGACAGGGATTTGAGAACCCTGGTGGAGACTGACCCATCACAAATGGTGCATAGGATGGCGTAAGAACTGGGCGTCAACTCCCATGCGGTTTTTGATGGTTTAAAAACATATTAGAAAGGTGAAAAATCTCGAAAAGTGAGTGTCCCGCGATTTTAACGATCGACAGAAATCGTCACGTTTCAAGGTCTGTTCTTCTTTGCTTTTGCGCAACCAAAACAATCCTTTTTTTGGTTCGGATCGTCACGTGTTATGAAAAGTGGATCTTTTATGACAACAGGAGACATTCAGAACAGTGGTCCCAAAAGCAAAAATCCACCAAAAAAGACCGTGGTTACTGTATGGTGGTCAACAGAAGAGGTCCGATCCTACTCCATGACAAAGCTCGTCCGCACGTTTCATAAATCAAAGTAGTTGAGGGTCGAAGTTTTGCCTCACCCGCCATACTCCCCAGATCCCTCGCCAACCGGCTACCATCTTTTCAAGCTGTTTTAAAAAAAATCTGGCAAAACAGCCTTGGTCAACTTCACCAAATACCGAGTACCCAATTTTTGTGTTACATACAACCTAATACATCAGTCAAAAAAATCAATAGCATTCCATTCAATTCCAATATACTTACATATTTAACAAGATAATAGCTATATAACTCCAAACGACTGGTTTGAATACTATGTTGTCAGCTTGCAACCTAAAGGTTTTCACTAAACCTTGGAGATCTGATTGTACTGCTGTAAAATTCCTCACTCTCAAAGCTTCCAGTAAGTTCTGCATCCTGAAATATTGAACATTACAAGGTTGTGCTTCTCAATGAAAGAACGAATCAATATATAATTTGTCTAATTTACTGAACTATTTCAATAGCTCCTGTATTAATAACCTCAATGTTCAATGACCACGTTTACACGGTATCTCAAAACAGATGTTACTGAAACCAACATGACTGCCTATATAAACACCAAACCAGTTTATAATAATGCCAAATCGGATTAGCTTTATAAAACCAGATTTATCTAATCCTGTAAACACCTACTTTGAACGGTATAATAATTTAATGACATGGAAATTATCTAAGCCATAAGGTGAAGTTTCTTTCAAAAAGATATGTAATCAAATGGGATAAAATAAGACCTCGCTGTCTGGTTGACTTATTATGAAAAAGGTAACTGGTGAATGAAATTAGAGGGGAATGAAAGAAATGGCTACTTGAAAATGACCAAACATGTTTCAAAAATTATAATATAGAAATGTTTATTTTATTTGATTTCCTTCCGCCCCTCCCCCTGATATATGGCATCACTAATATAAATGTTGAAATAATATGGTCCCAGACAGAAAGTATTCGTTTCAAAGAAACAAAACTTCAACTCTCTCACAATGCAAATGCTAAATTTACAAACAGGTGGTCTAATGTGTTATATTGGTTGTAAGGAACTGGTTTTATAATAATAATAATATCATTTATTGCCCAACAGGTAACACCCAATTACAGGACATAATTAAATACATCAGTACTGATAATACATAAAATAAATTAACAAATCCTGTTCATTCTTGACATGCTATATGAATATAACATAACAATGATATATAACATTGAAGAGAAAACAAAAGAAAAAAAACTAAAACAAAAGAAAAAACTGATAGCATAACTATTCATTGCGCTACTTGGTAAGAGTGATTATAATAACTGACTCTCTCACAATACAAAAAAGAAAAAACAGTTTTGATATCACTTTAAGATTTCCATTGCAACTTTTTTTATATGATTCGCCGAGCAAGTATTAATATCGCAAAAGCTGCATATCGAGTTGTAGTTTTCACACATATATTTAATTGGAGAATGCAATATTATGTTTGTTCGTGCTGCAGAGCAGTAAAATGTGAGATTTAGCTGTGACTGAGGTCTTGGCACCCTAAAGTTCAGTTCTGACAGGAGCAAATGGCAGTCTACTTGGCTGTGCAGTAGTTTATGCAAAAAGGTTATTGAAGCACATCTCCTTTTTTCTAAATAGGTTAATTGAAAGTGATTGAGAAGACTATAGTGGTCAGAACCCCTAGCTGGATAAATTCCAGTGTTTTTGAAGTACAAGAATTTCAAAAATTTTCTTTGAACTTTTTCAATTGAGTACTCATGACAGAAATAGGAGCTCCAAATAATTGAGCAGTATTCAGGCTTGGATCTGACATGAGAAATATAATATCTTCAAGGCGTTTATGTTTGTGAAGTTTTGACAATTTCGTGTGATAAATCCTAACATTTTATTGGCTTCGGAAACTTTTTTGTTTATGTGATTGGCAAATGCCATTTTAAAGTCAAAAAATACACCTAAATCCTTAGTCTCCACACAACGGGTTAGCAAACTACCTTGAATATTGTATGGATGTTCAATATGTCTATGTTTTCTAGTATATGACATGACTTTACATTTACCTATATTCAGATGTTGGTTATTCATTTCACACCAAGCCTGCACATTATCTATATCTTCCTGAAGTGTTATGCAATCATTCACATTTTGGATAGAATTCAGTATTTTCAGATCATTAGCAAAAAAAAGTTTCATAGAATTTATTTGTGTGCTTAAATCATTGATAAATATCAAAAACAACAGCGGTCCCAAATTCGATCCTTGGGGTATGCCAGACTTAGCAATTATTGTATTTGATTTGTATCCGTTGTAACAAACTATTTGGTTACGGTTAAAAAGGTATGATTCAAAAAAGCCTAGTAGCTTATTACTAAGGCCAATAAGGTCCAGTTTCGAATGTAAGATGCTATATGTCAAAGGCCTTTGAGAAATCTGTGTATATCACGTCCACCTGTCCTTGATTATCCAATGTTGAGCACACATAGTGGGAAAACAGTGCTAGATTTGATTCAGTGCTGCGGTGGTTCATGAAACCATGTTGAAATTCACTTATTTGGCTGTGTGTTGACAAGTAAATGTGCTTTATAAAGGTATATGAGCCATGTAAATTCTTCCAGAAAATGGTTGTTAGAACCTAGATAGTTATAAAAACGGTTTTGAATGCTCGTGTGAATGTGGTCAATGCAAACTTGAGATTTTCTAATCCATCTAACATGAAATGACAAACGGTGGTAATAATAATGATATTAATCCTAAGAATTTTCTAAATTAGGATAAATAAGAATGCATTGAGTTGAACATTAAAATAAAATTTGAGTAAAAGTTGACTACATGGTAAAATCATTGATTAAAATTTTTATAAACCATAAGGAAAATTAATGAATTGAATAACATTCATATTTTCTTAAATGAATCAAAGGCCCATTGCTAGTTGTTTCAAATATGTATTGAAGTTGTAATGAATTACAATAGGTTATGAGCTCAGAACATTTGAAAAAGTATTTCAAGTACTCACTCAAGTATTTACTCAGAAAGTAAAAAAAATGGGGGAAACTAAATGTGAATTGAATCAATAAACAAAAATAAGCTGAACACATATAAACTTCAAGCTGAAGTGGTTCTAGTTAAAAACGATCTACGGGGTCACGTCAATGGAACAAATGTTAACTCAAAGCACCCTGCACACCATGAAAGCTGCAAAGAAATGGAAAATCAATGATAGAATGGCTCGATCTGACCTGATCCTATCAATTGGTCCTACTGATCTGAAACAACCAGGATCTTTTGAATCCTGTCAGAACCTTTACGAAACGTCATTTATAATATTGACAGTACCAACAATTTTGACAAGCACTCTTGAAATAAAGAATCCTAGTGAATTTCGGCATTCTATCTATAGAGGCACCAAGCGCACACCAAAAGTGACAATGTCGAGTTATCACTGCCATTTTTATCTCGGAAATGAATTGACATTGTCAAAAATGTTATAATTTATAAGTGATTATATAAGTGATTATCGACGAACAGCACGGATTTAGTGAAGGTAAATCTACCAACACTAATCTACTGTTGTACACCCAGTATATTTTGAATGCTCTGGAAAATAAACAACAAGTGGACGTAATTTACACCGATTTTTCCAAAGGATTTATCTCTCACGAGATATCTGTTACCTCAGGAGTACCTCAAGGGAGTCACTTGGGACCTTTTCTCTTCAATATCTTTGTAAATGATATCAAAGAAAAAATTACTCACTGTGAAATACTGATGTTTGCAGATGATCTAAAATTTTTTAGAGCAATTGATTCGTTGCAGGATTGTGCGAAAATTCAAATGGACCTTAAATCTTTTTCTGATTGGTGTAAGATGAATTATATGGATGTCAATGTGGCAAAATGTAAAAGTATTTCCTTTTCAAAGTCATTAAACCTTTATACAGCTGGTTATAGTATTGCAGGGAAGAAGTTGGAACGTGTACAATCTAATCTATACGAGATCTGGGTGTTATGATGGATGACAAGATGGACTTTCATTCACAGTATGAACACATATCTAACAAAGCGATGAAAATGTTAGGATTCATATGCAGATCAACAAAAGATTTTACCAACATTTTTTCTATCAAAATACTATACTTTGCATTGGTTAGATCAGTGATTGAGTATTGCACTTGTTTCTGGTCTCCAACATACTTCAATTACAGTTATGATATTGAGAAAGTTCAGAATAAATTTCTTAGATATGTTGCCTACAAAATGAACATTATGGAAAAACATGGGGACTAAAACCAGACATGGTATATTGGCTATACACGATGGTGGATAAACCCATGATAACATACGCATCTCTGGTCTGGTGGCCAAAGGTGAAGCAGGCGACCGCCATCAATAAACTAAGCAAGGTGCAAAGACTTGCATGTTTGGGAATGGCGGGAGCAATGAGAACTACCCCAACAGTTGCAGTGGAAGCACTCCTGAATCTACCACCTTTACACTTTGTGATAATGGGGGAGGCCAGGATGGGCTAATTCAGACTGGAAAACTCACCGAACTACAGAAGATCGGACCAAACAGAAATTTCGGAACAAATGAAGGAGCACATATTGAATATGTGCACAGACCCCATGACACCGAAATACACCTTTAACACAAACTTCACGGCCAAAATCATAAGCCGTGAAGAGTGGAAGACCATTAGTCATCCCGAAAACATGTTTGGAAAAAACACCTGGTATATAGATGGATTGAAGACCAAACCTAGAACGAGAGCTGGAATATACCGAGCGGATAGAAATCTAAACTACAGCTATCCGCTAGGACTATACACATCCGTATTTCAGACGGAAGTGTATGCTATCTTGCAGTTTGCAAGGCTTACTAAATTGAGACCTCAAAGAAATGAGCGGATCAATATTTTTACAGATAGCAAGAGCGCACTAGGGGCTCTGACAAACCCGAAGGTGACATCAAAACTGGTCTGGGAATGTCATGAAGAACTGAATGAACTTGCAAACAGGAACAAATTAACTTTGTACTGGGTGCCAGGGCATTCAGGAATCACAGGTAATGATAAAGCTGATGAATGCGCTAGACGCAGATCATCAACTTCATATATAGGTCCTGAACCAGCTCTGGGGGTATCAAAATCACAGGTACGAAACCAGATTAGGATATGGACCAATAAGAAGCACACAGAGTACTGGACAAAAGTACCTGGCAACAAACAGTAGAATCTTCATTGGGGAACCGTCCGAGAAAAGAACCGAAGAACTACTTCAATATAGTAGGGATTGGCTCTGAATAATTACAGGGTTACTAACCGGTCATTGTCCGATCAGAGAACACCTGAATAAAATGGGGCTGTACAACGGAGACCTCAACTGCAGATTATGCAACGAAGGGATAGAAACAGCTCTACACATCTTATGCGAATGTGAGGCACTGAATCACAGGAGGCAGGCTATATATGGACGTATGAAATTACGTCCAGAAGAATATGACGAACATCCAACACGGAACCTGTACAAACTAGTACAGGGAACGAGACTGATGGAATGGGTGTCATGAGAAGATGGGAGAACGAACGCAATAAGCCCAAGAGGCTGCAGTGTTTCCTGGAGATTTATAAGACTATTTTTTTAATAACAATTTTATTTAAATTTTCTCTATGTAGGTTGATTTATTAGATATGTAGATACTAGAATAGTTAACTTTCTAAGGTTAATATATTGTATAAAAATTGAGGGTTACCCGTTGAATAAATAAATAAATAATGGTTAATAAAATGAACATCTGAACAATTACTTGTAACTTTGGGGGTTGACGCATATGGTTTGATTGTTCATTATGCCTCAAACTGACATTTATTGAATGTGTGAATGTTTTCATTTTTCATTCACAAGTTTTTGAAACTTCATGATTTACTGTCCTCAAAACTGGAAATATAATTGCATTACAGATTTTGTTCAACACCAACAAAAATTTCTCACGTTGATTAACGATAAGTTTCAACAACCTCTACTATCTTTTATGGAAGTTTATCACAGATCGACTAACTTAATTTCATTTTCTTCATTGAATTCTTTAGTTTTCTCAAGTTAACTTTCATAAGGTAATGTCATCAATGATTTAACTCATTCGTGACGTAAGGTCGTGATTTTCTTCATTTTGTAATGTTATCAAGATTGGTGCTGAAAGGGCAACGGGGAAGCAAACTGTCAATTTGTTGTACATAGATGGCGCTAAGTGTTTGTCATCAAAAGATACATTGGTTATATGGAAACATTTGTGATTTTTCGTTTTTATTCAGAGAAATGGGTCGTTGTGCTTCTTTCCGGTGCAAAGAAATGGGAGTTTATATGTTTCCTGAAGATACTGTTATGAGAAGAAAATGGGAAAAATCTTTGAGGACAGTAAAGTTCAAATGTACTGATCATTCTATGTGGTGAACATTTCAAAGATTCTGATATTGAGACTACTTCAAAGACAACTGGTAAGTAGCATTCATTCTACTTACTTATATGTGATATTAATTTTATAAAATTTTATAGGATTTTCCCTCCAAAGAAATTTTTTTGAAAAATCAGCTGTACCTTCCATATTTCGCTGTACTTCGAATTCTATCAGTCCACGGATGTTGAGATTAGAAAAAAAAAATGCTAAACGTGATTTGAAGCCAGCTAGTAGTGAATCATCTGAAATTTTCGAAGATAAAGATAACCAGCTTCCTCTCAATGATAAGTATCCAATAAATAAATTTATTATATTGACTGCTCAACCACCACTATATTCCATTTGATTTTCAGATATAAATTATGTAGACCTCCAACAAGAAATTGCCTCAGAAGTTACTTTCCACACCGAGGAAGATAATCCTGATAAGGAAAGCCACCTAATCAGCTAGTCCACACAAACACCAACTTTATTCAGATTATTTTCCAATGATGAATTTCTAATGAACAAAAAATCTGTTCTTTATTATACAGATCTCTCTTGAGGGATATTCTCGAAATTAAAATGTCTATCATAAGCCTCTAATCTGAAAACAAAATTGAACCTTAAAACTTGCATGTTTTTGAGGTTAGAATAATGTTCATTGATTATTAGTGAAAAAAACACAAAATATGTGGTTTTTTTCATTAATATATTTCTTAGGAGCAAATTGAATGCAAAAAACTGTCTTTATAATGAGAGAGTTGTTCAAAATTGTTGCAAAATTATGAACCTTTCCACTAGATCAGCTTTCTTCCCTCCTAGGGTTGCACCTCTCTTCTGCAACTCCTCCTTCAACTGAGCGATACGCCATGTAGAATACATTTTGAATGGCAAGCAATTTAAATAAGAAACTTTCAAATAAATCAATAAATAACGGTTGAAACTTTGACAGCTAATGACCAATGTGACAAACACTCAGCGCACTCTGCCGGATGAGTTTCCCGTAATCATCCCCATAGGGCAAGTGTCTTATTCCGAAACATCGATGTCCACCATTGAAAATGACACTGTTCCATGTAAGTGAAAAATTTCCTCTTTCATATACAATATTGTGTAGCAATCCTGTGAATGATATCTGAATCAATTCTATAAAGAATGTTTGAAGTACAAACTGAATCGGAAAAAGTGTTTTTTGCATAATTCAAAGTTCGTATAAAAGGTGTTGTTTCAAAAGTATTTTTTCTTTCGTGTAATTCAATGTTTATATAAAAGTAGCTGTTTCTCAGAGTGCGTTTTTTTCCTTTTGGTGTCTTGAAAGTTACTTCTTTGCATAATCTACACATCTTTGTAAAGAGTTCATTTTTGAATCAATCGATTTATTCCATCTTTGGAAGATTCTCAGATTTTTATATGAAGATGATAAGTAGAAAGCCAAAACTTTTCATTCCCAAAAATTAATATCTCATAAAAATATACCCCTTTCGATATTTTAGCTTAAATGGTGTGCACAATAATCAATAATAATTTACATTTGGTAACCCACTTATGAAAGTCATGTGCAAAATATTGAAAGGGTGCAAAACATATTTCTTCGAATTTTAGCAATGAAGTTAACACAACATTCAAAGGACTATTCATTAGATAATTTACAGAAGCTCAGTAGTCACAGATTGGAAACCGACTTGAAAATCTTATTACAAATATTGCACTCTTCAATAAATTGTCCCACACTATCAGCCAAAATTTGTTTATGTGTTTCTACTAGGAATAGAAGACAATCAGAAACAGTTACCTAGACTTCCATCAATGTAAGTATGGCGAACACCCCTCGGTAGAATAAAAATTATTCAGAAATCTCTTTTATACTGCATTCATTCTACACGTAAACAAAGTTGCAGAATTCAATTCTCATATTATCTTTTAACGTGAGCACAAAGTTGGGTGAAAATACCTGGTGAAAATACCAGGGTTTTCTATGCATCCTAGATTTGGCATTCCACACTACTCCAGAAGAAGTACTTGAAACAGAATGAAAAGAAGCAACTGGTAGAGGAATCGAAGATTATGAAAATGACCGGCATGGTCATTCCAGTATCAGACAGCCAAAAACAGCAATAATATTGTTGTAGGACCAGGAAATTTACTCAACAAGGTTAAGTAATCCTGAATGCGCCCTAGAGGGGGGAAGATGGATTGATATCAAGAGTCTAACTTAAAGGAAATTGGTTTTCTACAAAAACCCTGATATTTCTTTTCTGAAAGTTGTGTGTATGTTTAAGACAGTTTAATCAACTCATTTTTAGCGGTTGACTGTGTAGAGAGAAAAATGAATGTACCAGAAAAATGTAATACTCACGATTTGTTAACAGCACTCAAAAATATTTTTCTCCTCAACGCCTTTTGAGAACTGATGTCCACTAAAGGTAAAACTGCTGGAGGCTCTTCCTCATTATTCGAGGTATCCTTATTTACTTTGGTAGGAAAATTTGTATCATCTTTCTCGTATAATACTCCACCATAGAAACATTTAACTTTAAGGCGGAGATCCTTACTTTCCTCTTTCAACTTCTGGAAGTCTGGAATAGGTTTTAACTTCGATCCATTTACAATAGCTTCATCAAACTTTTGATCAGCCATTTCTTGCAAATGTAATCTTTTACATATATCCATGTATTTGATTTGTTGGTCCCTTTGCAGATCTGCAATCTTCAATTCATCAAAATATTCACTCAACTTTTTCTCATTCAGTATCTCTTTTATTTTATTCTCGCCATATATAAATACATACGTCTCTAGTGTTAACCATTCTTTAACAACTTTTTTAATTATCTCTTCAGGATCGAATTTTGATGAAGATTTTGAACTTTTCTTCTTAGGCTTTCTGGAATGTACTTTCGCTGGAGGTTCAGAGTTATTTTTTATATTATTTGAGTCTGATTTTAAATCAACATTTTCTTCATTCTCAATAATAACTGGCAGAGCAGATGTTAACCTCTCGACATTATATGATAGTGGTTTTTCACTTTTTGCTATAGTTACTGTCTCTTCTTCCTCTTCTAACTGCTCTGTATTTTCGTTGATAGTCTGCATGGTTTTTATCAGTTTTGTTACCTTTTTATGCAAACCTAAAAACCGATATATGTTATGACTTAATTTCCATTTGCAATAATTTTAGAAAATATTTCCAATGAAAATAAAATATGTATACAAAAATTTTAGAATATACTTCCAATCAAAATAAAATATGTAGTAATAATAAATATACTTCATTGTCTAAAGAGTCATTCTTATTGTTAGAGCTAAGAAAAACGGTAGTATTTTGAATAAAAAAACAAAACATGGTCATGGTCATTATTCAATTATTGTATAAAGAAAAAATATTGGCATCGATTTATATACTTGAAACAACATAAATATTATATACCAACACAAAATTTAAATTAATTTAAAGTATAATAATAATGATAGGGTCCAATAATAAGAAAATCTCAAGTTTACTTTCCTCAACCCTTGTTCCTCAATTGTTTTCTGAATGATTATACATCTTAAAACCAGATACACAACTGAATTTTGAATTAAGGTAAATGTGGGTATAGCAAGGTATCAGTGTGTTTCAACAGTTTTGTCCATTTTAATGTCCAGTGTTTTTGTAGCTCTATATAATAATAATAATAATAAATGGTCTTTATTTTACGTTAGGGGACTTCCTACAATGGATCATTGACTTTCTTACAGATCGTAGGATGTTCGTCAAGATTAAAGATATGAAATCAGACTATCACGATATACGTTCTGGAGTTCCTCAAGGCTCTGTGTTAGGTCCGCTGATCTTTCTGTTGTTTGTAAATGATGCCTACTTATTTCACCAGTAATGAACATGCTCTCACTCTTTTCGCAGATGACACGTCTTTAGCTGTATCAGCAGAGAGTCAGGAGGAATTAAAATCAAAAACAGAGGAATTTATATCACTGTTCTTAAATTGGTGTGAAAGGAACAATCTGATTGTAAACTTGACCAAAACAAAATATATCTATTTTAATTTAAAAAACGATCTGAAAAAGCAATCGCTTGCCTTACTAATCAATGGAATGACACTGGCATGCACAAGTTGTACAAAATTCCTTGGCGTTCATGTAGACAACTGTTTGAAGTGGTCTGACCATATCACAGTTTTGTAAAAAAATCAATCAAGGGTATTATGCAATCTCAAAAATTGAGAATTGTATGCCTTTACGTGCCATTTTAGATGTATATTACAGTCTGGTCTATAGTCATCTAAGTTATAATGCGATCCTATGGGGAAATAGTGTTGACAAAGTAGGGTTTTCATTGCTCAAAAAAAAGTTGTTAGGAAATTACTAGGCATCCCTTGGAGGGAATCATGCAAGACATTTTTCATTAGTCATCAAATTTTAACCTTTCCCTGCATCTTTATTTTTTAAATACTTTTATATGTTCGCGAATGTATAACAGACTGTACTAAGAACTCATTCTATCATAGCTACCCAACTTGATATACAGAGGAGTTGAGCATTTCTAAACATAAAATGCGAACATTCTCCCAAATATATGGGAATAAAATTATTCAATCGGTTACCAGACCATTTCAAACAGATGAACACTGTAGCATTTAAAAAAGCAGTTAAAACATTGCTTCTTTTTAAGGCCTACTATAGTATTGGCGAATTTCTCTCGGACCATCTCGACTGAATGGGTTCATGCGGCTTTGGCATGACATATTCAATTTTTATAACTACAATTGTTTTAAATTTTGTAATTCTGACTTTTGTTGTATAAATTTTTATTGTATTATTTTTATCTACTGATCTACAATTTTATCGATTGATGTGATTTTTATGTGCTTAATACTGACCTATCCTATACGTTTGTCAACGTCTTTGAGGATGAATAAATATTATTATTATTATTATGTTTGGATCACTGTTGGCTGAGCAATTCAGTTTTAAGTTTACTTTTGAATAGCGGTAGTGATGAATTTTTACTGAATGAATTATACATTGTTACAGCAAGATACGTGAAGGATCGTTCATAGATAGTGCTATTACAATAGTAATATAATATATGTTATTTATTTAAGATCCAAATAAAAATGAGAAGTACAAATTGAAAGGTTAAATAAATAACGAGATGCTCGATAAGTAAGCGAAAACTTGTTTCGAGATACAAATTTGGTGTAAATGGGCATATACTTCATACATTAAAGTAGTTAAACAAAAACATAGAATGAATAACATTATTCGACTGGTATGTTTGATATGCAAATATCAAACTTTTAAACAGTTCAGTTCAAAACAATATATCAATAATCTATATACCTGTTTGCTAACAGTGATACATCTGTATTTAAAAGGTTTTCAATTTTCATTTTCCTTCGATTATTTCAGACATTTTCAGAATGTATTTTTAAATTCTTTCTTGAAAGTAAAAATGTTTTTGATGTCGGTTATTAATTTGGGAATAAAATTATATAACTTAGACGCAATGTATCTGTATGTGACCTTTGACCAAACGATTTTGCCATGTAAGGTACTATATGTTGATTTTTCTGGCGAGTTTCGTAATGGTGAGTGCCTGATTCCGTAAAGTATGATATTTCAAACCAGTTTTCAGATAGTACGGTTGCCTTGGATCAATAATATAACTTTCACTAAAAAGCTGGTCTGAAGGATATCTGTTGTTTTTTGATAGCATTATTCTCAGAAATCTTTTTTGAATGGTTTCAAGAGGCTTAAGGTGCGTTCTCAGTGCATCGCCCCATCCCAAAATACCATATCTCAAATGACTTTCTACCAAGGCGTGGTACAAGGTTTTCAGCTGGTCATATTTCAGTCTTTTTGTCAAATATTTGAATCTGTATAGTATTGTCTGTAGTTTTTTAATAATATACGTGATATGGTGATTCCACTTCAAATGACAATCAGAGAAGACGCCCAAATATTTGATTTTTTCTACTGGTTGAATTTTGATGGGTTGACCTCTAAATTGTTAAGGAAAATGTGTTTTGATTTGTTGCACGTGAATGTCATGTAATTCATTTTTTCTAAATTTACTGTAAGGAGTTTGTGTTCTAACCAGGTTTTAATATGACTAAAGCCTTTTTCTGCTTTTTCCTTAAGAGAAATCCAGCTCTCGTCTTCATATCATATGACTGTGTCATCAGCAAATTCTATAATATCACCACCCCTCTCTAGCGCAAATAAACCATTTATATATATACTAAAAAGAATAGGACCTAGAACGGTTCCTTGTGGTACCTACACCATACTCGGAATTTTCTTCGGTACTCAGTATGTTGTCAATTCTTACTATTTGCTTTCTCTTTGAGATATAACTTTCGAACAATTTCAGTGAATTTCCTCGGACGCCAATGTCTTCTAGAGAATGCAAGAGTAAGGGATGGCTTACAGTGTCGAAAGTTTTCGACAGATCTATGAATAGGCATAAACATGCTTTATTCTCACTAACAGCACTGTTGTTTTTTTTTTTGGTTAGTTCATGAATTGCGTCTTCTGTGGATGTATTTTTTTTGAAGCCAAATTGGTGATTTGAGATAATACGGTATTGTTCAAGATAGAATATCAATCTGTTTTTTAATAACTTTTCGAAAAGTTTGGACAGGTGAGTTATTAATGATAGGTATAGATCTATAGTTGTCGACCTTAGATTTATCGCCTTTTTTTGTATAGGTATGAAAACAGAGTTTTTGAAGGCGGTTAGCCATAAACCAATTTCAATACAAGAATTGAATATGTACGCGAGTGGTTCGACTATTTGGGAAATTATTGCTTTGAGTGTTTCTGATTTGATATTATCTAATCCGATAGATTTTTTTATTTTTCAATTCTTTTATGAGGTATGTTAATTCTCTTTCATTCGTTGGAGACAGGATCATAGAGTTGGGAATTTATGTACGATTCAATTTATACTTTGGATCACGAGTAATTTTGTCAGCGAGCGTCTTAGCAAATTTAGAATTAAATTCATTTGAAATGTCATGTTTATCTATTATTATTTCGTCTGCATCATTTTTTAATGATTCAATTTTGTGTTTCTTTTTTTCTGAGCCAGTTAATTGTTTTACTACGCCCCAAAGTTTTTTGCTGTCTGCAGAGTTAATACCTATTTGCAGCTTGTAATAATCATATTTGGTTTTTTGTATTAAAGACGTTGGTTTATTTCTATATCTGTTGTATTGTGTCCTAATTTCAGTGTCATCTGGATTCTTTTTTGTTGCTTTGAATAATTCGTTTTTTGTGTGAATTGATTTTACTAATGCGTTCGTTATCCAAGGCGCAATTTTATTGTTTTTTCTTTGTTTTTTTTATTGTTGTGCAGCCATCTATCTATCATGAAGTCCATGATATTCCTTTCAGGCGTTCCTTGAGTTTCTTTATGATATATTCATTTGGTTTTACAGATTTTGGTGAGGAAGCAAAAATGATTTGTAGTAAGGTTGTTAAGTGATCACTAATGTCGGTTTTAATGACAAGGGGTACAATATTTCTGTTGTTTCTGAGTTTGCCTTCAGGAAAATGTGATCTATACATGATTCACGACTGTGTTGAACTTTTGTTGGACAGTTTATTGTCGAAAGGAAGCCAAATTCATTCAGAATATTAGCGTATTCCAGAATGTTTTCATTGTCCTCTATGAGATCAACATTCAAATCACCGACAAATATATATAAGTTGTTGTCATTTTGGGAGATGTTGGCTGTTAGATAGTTTTGAAGTTCTCTATTGAATTTTTTTATATCTGATGAAGGTAATCGATAAAATGCTTAAACAACGATTGTATTTCTTTCATCCTGTTTGATCTTTATCTCTAGAATGTTCATGTCACATATTTTGGCAATATTATCAAACTGAAATTCACATTTAATATAAGCTAAAACTCCATCGTTTTGATTATATGATCCCTTCTTGTAAACAATGTTGTAACCTTTCATACTATACATATTTGGATCTGGAATCTGCCAAGTTTCTGTGAGGACAATGCAGTCAATAGTAGAATCTAAGTTGTTTAAGAGAATTTTCATCTCGTCTATATTTTTTTTAATGCTTCGAATATTGTTATGTAGTAGCTGAAAGTTTGTGTTCTTAGTGTTAATTTTTAATATTTCCTGACATTCTGTGCTGTTTTCTAGACAGTATGTTTGTACAGGCTGTATTTCAAAATCTCTTATGTATTGATCCATTGAAAAACTATATCTGAATGTTTAATGAAATTATTTGTGCCTTTATGTCTTAGTCAGTGAAAGAATAGTAAGAACGATTATTATTACAAATGTGGTGAGAACACCGGAGATTATATATTAGAAATGAATAGAAATAAATATATTTGTGTGTTTATGATGTGAAAATCTTAAAGTTATAGTAAATATACACTTATCTGCTCGGATTTTTCCGGGAGTTTGGCTTCCCTAGAGTAATTTCTTTGAAAGTCTTATTACTTGTTCCTTTTCTCGGCGGGGTATTCTGAATATGGTTTTCTGAAGATCTTTGTTCTGTGCTAGTTGTTGTTTCCAAAGGTACTGGTAGCAAGGATGTGAAACGTTCTGGTGTATTGTTTTTATGGAGTATATAATGTTTTTGCGTTGGTGTGCTTAGGTCAATTTGTGTTTTTGAATGACCGATTTTAGTTTCTTCCCCCTGATTCTCGAGATCTGCAGGTGTAAGTATATGATTGTTTAGGTGAAGTCTATTTTTTTAATGAAACAGGTATTTTTGGGATCTTGGTTTGCGATAGCAAGGTGTTTTCTGAAGATCTTACTCTCGGTCCGTTGTTTTTCAGTGAGGTCGTTGGCAATGCTTATTGGAGAGCCTTTCAAGTTCTTTTTGTTCTTGAGAATCTCCAGTTTTATTAGGTATAACACAAATTCAACCTTCACAGGAGAGTTGTGGTCTCTACCAGGTCTGTATATATCATTAATATCGTTTTCCACCAATTTAATATTTAGAATATTCCTAAATAATTCGATCATACACTTTGTTGTTACGAGATTGCTCTTGTCCTTCCCATCCAAATATTATATGTAATGTTATTTTTTTCTTTTCTCTCTAGTAATTCGATTTTTTCTGTAATTCTTCGTTTTCTTTTTCGACTTTGATCAAACGGTGATTGATTTCCTCAATTTTAAGTGTGAGTTTGACCTCTACAGCTTGTATTGTTAATTTCAAATCCTTCTTTCCTTTAATGATTTCCGTGAGGAGTTGTTCATTTGAGATCTCTCCGTTAGACATTCCTTCAAGTTTATGGTAACCTTTAGTTTTATTCTATCGAGGGGTCAACGACCGCTTCACTAACACTTAAGACTCAATATTTAAGGCAGACCGACGAGAGTAGGTAAGAATATCCACTTGTCTTGAAGGGTTTGAAGAATATAATATAATTGTTTACAATGTGCCTGGTATAAACGCAGGGGGTATGGTTTCACTTCAGCTTGTTAATTTTAAATTTTATTCATTTTTTACTAATTCGTAGATTGAATTTGATTTCGGTGCTCATCAGGCTATTCACTGCACTTTCACTGTTGTTTTAATGTTAATTTTTAAATTTTCGCCCGTAAAAAAAACACTAAACTAGTAGTTTATCTTGGAGTTCCGCCAGCACACGTGTACACTACAGCACTAGTTATGATTCGGAATGTCAAAATTATGATTGAATCTAAGGTTTCTTGAGTGTATCTGATGTGTCTAGGAAGGGATTTATTTACCAAATAAGTGGGTTGTTGTTTTTTAATAAGTTTGTGAATGAAACAGGCGAAATGCAATTCTCTTCTGTTTTGCATTTTTAACCAATTCAGTTGATTCTCAATAAATAATAATGCTGTTGTGTTGTGGTATATACTGATTGATAGAGAATTTTATGCTGTTATAATTTTTTTAAATTTCAATCTTTTACCTCTTTTCTGCTTATTATATGATGTCGTTGAGCGATTTTCAGCCAATTTTTGTCTACAAATTCAAACTGAACCAAAGCGCTGCCAAAACAGCTCAAAAAATTAACCATGTAGTTGGCAATGACAGTGTTAATGAACACACTCTTCGACTTTAGTTTGCGAAATTTCGTTTCTGAGATTTTAGACTCGAAGATGAGCCCCAAAGTGGTCGACCTACAATATTCTACAAGGAATGAAGGTCCCTGGCGGAGATTGACCCATCACAAACGGTGCGTTGGATGACGGAAAGACTGGGCGTCAGCTCCCATACGGTTTGATGGTTTAAAGCATATTGGAAAGGTCAAAATGCTCGAAAAGTGGGTGCCCCACAATTTGAATGATTGGCAGAAATTGTCACGTGTCGAAGTCTGTTTTTTTGCTTTTGCGCAACTGAAATGTTCCTTTTTTTGGATCAGATTATCACGTGTGATGAAACGTGGATCATCCACAACAACAGGAGACGTTCAGGACAGTGGTTGAACACCGATGGGCTATGCAGGCACTTCCCAAAGGCGAAACCCCCAAAAAAAAGGCCATGGTTACTTTATGGTGGTCAGCAGCTGGTGTAGTAACTTTCTGCAACATAGCCAAACCATCACAACAGAGTCCTACTGTTAGGAAATCGACGGAATGTTGCGGAAATTACGTCAGCATCAGGCACTGGTCAACAAAAGAGGCCCAATCCTGCTCCACAACAAAGTTGTGTCTCATCCTCCATATTCCCCAAACCACTCGCCAACCAACTATACAATCTTTTCAAATACTTCGATAACTTTCTTACAATTATTAGACTGACGGAATATTTCGATTTTTGTAATGTTGGCAAAAGGGCACCGATTCAAATGACGCTGAATTTGATCAAATTGAATTAGATTCAGATTCTTTATTAACCATTTGTAGCCAAGCTGTGCTTGGATATGGCAAGCCATAATACACTTAATAGCACATTATTGTTATGCAAAACAATTTTTTAAAAAATTAGAAATTCAATAAATTATTTTGAAATTACAATATTCATACAAGGACATACTTACAAACAAGTATTAAAATAAATAGGTATTTTTGCAATAGTTCACAACTTCTTCAAGGCTGTAGAACGCTCATTGTCAGCATTTTTTAATTTTTTTTCTTGAAGAGAGGGTGCGATAATTCTTTTACATTAGTCGATATATAATTGTATAGTGTAAGTCCATTATGTTCTGGTGATTTTGTATAATACGTGTGATTGAATTTTTCGATGCGAAGGTTATTTTTGTTTCTTGTTTCATACCTGTGTCTGCCACCATTTTTAGTATAGCAATCTTTATTATTATTATGTATATATAGTAATATATTTAAAATGTATATGCAGGGAAATGTCAATATACCCTTTTGATTAAATACTTCTCGGCACGAGTCAAAAGGTTTCATATTAGGTATATATAATTCTTATTATGCGTTTTTGGAGAACGAAGACTCTAGTCCACTCAGTTGTAAGGTCCCAACTGATTATGTTGAATGATAAGATCGGAGTAATATACTTTCAGGAGAGATGATTCATGAAGAGATTTTTTGAGTGTTAGGAAGGCAAAGCAGCTTTTTTGAGTTTGTTACATGTATTATTATCTATGTGTTCGATCCTCTTTATGTTATTATCGAGATGTATGCCTAACAATTTTGTTGAGCTTGATAATTCATGTTGATTGTTATTTATATTCAGATTGACCAGATTTGGTTTATTAATGCGTGCACTGTTGAATTGAATGAACATAGTTTGTTGTAGGTTCACCACAAGATAGTTTCTTGTACACCATTCATAGAATTGGTTCACTACTGAGTTCACTTTTGCATTAAGAGTACTCAGCGAGGAGCCCGTCACTATTATTGTCGTATCGTCTGCATTCATAAACACCTTTCCCCCTTCAATGAAGTCAGGTAGGTTTTTTATGTACAACAAAAATAAGAGTGGTCCTAAGATACTCCCTTGAGGGGTTCTGATACCTACATTATATTGACTAGAGAGATCATTCCCAATTTTCACAAATAATTACCTTTCCGTTACATAGGAAATTATCCAGTCCTTAATAGAACCCCGCAATCCTAACCGTTCCAATTTTCTTTTGAGTATGTTTGGGTTCAGCGTATTGAAAGCCCGCGTTAAATCAAATTAGCATTCATTGAGATATTACTGTTCAAAATAGACTCATAAAAATGGACAAAACTTTTGAAACAACCCAATATAAATTCAAAGTCTGACTTGTGGATTAATTAAAAGAAAATGATAGAATTTTGTTTCAAGTCTATTCACCAGACAAAATGTTTTCAAAAAGAAAAGAGCATACAATGATAAACTTTTGCTTGCCGCAAAGGAGTCATGTCTCCTGACCTTACAGAAAAATCTTGATGCCCTCTTATTAAAAACAATTAAAGAGGCTGAAAATGTGTTTGAGTACATACACATCAAAAAAGGATACTACATGTTTCAGGTGAGACTCTACAAGTGAATGATGATCATCCAGACGAGATTAATAGGATGTGATCCTCAAATTTCAACTTTTCAATTGATATCCCAAAAAATGCTTTACATAAAGTGTGAAAAATATATTTCTATTACATATATAAAGAGCAGTACCAACAATAAAATCAGTTCTTTACCTCTACTCTTCTCCTTTTTGTTTGATTTATCTCTGCCTATTTCTCTGTCCTGCATATCTTTCAGGGATACTTCAGCAAATGATGATATAGGCATGAAAGATGAATCAACAACAGGCCTTGCCATCCCTTGATCCACAAACTCTCCTGGCAAACCCCTAAAAATGTATTATTTTCACAACTGTAGAAGTTTTTTGAGTGTTTCTAATTTCATTCACTACTTTTGAAGTACAAAGTTGAGATAATTATGTGTAAAGAAAACTCACCCTTCATTAGATCCCAATAACTTAAATTCGGGAATATTCTCATATTTTCGCAACCACAATGGACTGTCATCAATTTGTTTTTTGATATGAACGCTGGCTTTGTAACAAAAATTGCAACAAAAATTCTGGAAGATACAAAAAATCAAATATACTTCATTCATTCAGAAAATATTCCGACAAAGCAATATTTATAGTCACCTTACGATCTGTTATATCATAAACTTTATTAGTCTTTGTTGATATGTAGTACTGTTTTTTTGGCATATCTGGAATCCTCTTTCCACATATTGGGTACCCGCACAATTTGGTAATTGCCCTTTCTTCCGTGATGTCTTGATAATGAGACTGATTTATATAAGGAAGCTGAAAAATAATGAAAATATAGTAACGTACTCAGTGGAATGAAAATACAAAATGTATATGCTTATACTCACACATCTAGTAAATATATCTGGTCGCAACTTTCCCTCGATGGAAAACTCGACAATTTTGAAAGCTTGATCATCGCATTGTTTTTTTCTTTGGAGGGAAATTTGATGAGCCTCTTTCCTGAAAAAACAAACAAAGAAGAGATCACTAAGAGTAAGTTATTGTCTGTAATAAATGCATTATTCCTATTATCTATTAAAAATACACAATTTTCAATGAGCCATCATAAGATATCCAATAACTACATAAAAACTAAAAAAAAAAAAATAGAAAAATGTTTCGTAAATGTTAGACAGTATCACAAATTACTGACTATATGTAGTTCAAGCAAAAGCAGAATGGAAAAGCATCTTTTCAAAATTGGTCCCCAAAATGCTCGACCCATCAAAGTATTTTATTCAAACATATATTCTAAAAATAATCATGATATTTGTAAGAAGAATTTAAGTTAGCAGAAGAAGTTGGGTTGCATGATTATTACAAGTATTGCAGCATAAGTTGATACTAAATATTTTCGTAGATTGAACTTGCAGTGTCAAATACCAATGAACAACTGTTACAATTCAACATCGACTGAGAAATGACTCACAAGAATTTCTTATCTTCGCCCTGCACTCATACCTTTTTGATTTTGCACATATACAGTCAGACTTTTACCAGAAAATTGACTGGTGGTCGAAGCTTTACAGCAAAGGCTCAGGCAAAGTTTTCTGGTGTTTCTCCACAAAGCAAGCTTATACAGAGGTAACACACTACTGACTAACTACTTCATATTCTGATACAGGTGTATATAGAGTGAGTATTTAGCAAGGCAAATTCTCATACCATTGTTGATAATAATAAAATGTACTTCAAAAGTGAGCATATCTAATTGCCATAAGGTGTTCAGTGTATTTCAATTGAAATTGGACAATTGGAATTATTTCTAGATAAATCGAATTCTAACGCCTTTTGATCTGTGAACAGTGGCAATCTGAGGTTAATCTTTCATCTATTAATAATAATGGCTATAAATTACCAAGCTCGTTCTGTAGAAGTGAAGGAAAATATGAGGTGACAGCTTCATACTTAAAACAAAATTTACAGTCTAATGAAGTAGTAACATTTGTGTACCAAATTATTTTGTAACATATTATGTTCTGCTTTTACAGATGATTAAATTCTATTCTATTGTATTCTATTCTATTCATTATAAAACGTTGAATCTGTGAAAATAGTGTCAAAAATGTCAATACGAGTCTTCTGGAATGCAACTGTTGAATAGCAAAATTATGATTATCCTCAATTATAGATTTTGTTCAGGAGATATTGAGGTCTTCTTTGAGCAACCCGAATCTCTTCTAACAAAACTGTGCTCATCAAAAACCACTATCATTCTGCTTGATGACTCAAGTATAAACTTTCAATATTCCTCTAATATACATACTTTCAATGGAATCGATAGTTTATTTTAAGATCTTGAAAGTAACTATTGATGACTATACAAGAGTAACCACTGAGTGTTCCAGCTGTATTGATGATATAATCATAAATATAAATTATACAGATGTTGATGTTCTTGAACCATGTCTATATGATCATCGAGGATAATAAATACTGATAAATGAGCCATCACACTAACAGACTTGTCATAATGAGATTACTTACTCAATTTGGAATTTTCAAAATTATGACATTGTTTATGACATATCAATTGGTAAAATTTTGAAATATCCACCGATCCTCAAGTTATCAGGGTATCATCTGCTCTAATAAAGCACTTCAGCTATTTGGAAACATATGTAGTTTCACTAAACTCCAAAGTGCTTTACTTGACTACCTTACAAAAAATGCATTTTATTCTACTGAAGATTTTCTAAAACTCTGGAATCCTATTATTGTATAATTACTTTATTTTACATGTACAAATATACAGATTTTACATTTTTAAATAATTTAAGCTGATCACCGTTCTTGTATCTTTTTAATAGGTCTACTTAACTGCTAACATATATACAGACACTGTAACTATAGATAAGCGCAGTTGCTTTATGTTCTGTTTTGACTAGTCTGATAAAGTTTTATATCTGTATGTATCACATGTATAAAATTTTCAATGATGAATAAATTTTTATTCTATTCTGATAAGCTTCCTAATTTCTTAGTGAGTATATATACAGCTTCCATGAAATCATGTGCTACCTTTCGGATAATTCAACCAAATGAAAACAAACCCTGTGTTTATTGGTTCAATGACTCCTTAAAAGTCATACGAGATACTTATAAAAACATCAAATTTATAGCAGAAGCTTCTAAAGTTCCCTTTGTACGTGTCACTATATTGCTCATTGAAGAAAGAATACAAAAAAAAATTTCAAAAATACTAAAAGATTGGCTTACAATAACTACATCACCTTTTCAGACAATAAATAAAAAACCAGTTGGAAATGAATCAATTTTAAATGGAACAGAAACAAAAAAAATAACTATTATAATACTAAAATTTGTCCTGAAGAATTCAATATATTTCTTTTATTATCAAGGTGAAAATTAAAAAAAAATTATATCTAACTGTGCAAAAAGTAGCAGGCACTAAATTTTCAGAAATGACTGACGTTTTTGCCTCAATCTGTCTCTTGCAGTAGCTTACGGACATTATCCCAAGCAGATGAGGAAAAATTATGATAAAATATATAGAATCACAACCTTGACAACAATGTTTTGATTTTAATGCAATATTTTTTGAGAATTTAGTGCCTACTATTATGGAATGATACATTCCATCAATTTTTAAATATTCAAAAGTGGTACCCACACACAAAAAAGAAAACATTCTGATATCGACAACTTTCGTTCAATCACTATAATGAGAATATCTCATAGAAATTATACTGAATAATCAAATAGAGAAATATTCTGAAAAACATCTTTCTGAACCACAACCAATTAGATAGACTTGTGATCCAGCACCAGACAGCACTGTTTTGACCTACCAGGTCTAATTGTAAGGTAAATATACATCACTAGCTGTAATGAACATTGTGAGATAGTAAATGATATTACAGTGTGAAACCTCAGCAATGCCTTTGAGTGTCTTCACAGAATTATTTTTGGAAAGTTATTTCACTATGACCAACAGCTCTACCAACAAGTTTCTTATAGTGATAATACCTCTGAATGGTGTACCTCAAGGTTCTGTTCTCGAACCACTAACTAAATGATATAATTGAACTTCAGCTCCAAAAAAAGTCTACACACAAGCCCTATCATACCGGGACTACCGTAAACATATTGGATGGGAAATTAGGTTGGCATCTTCAGCAACTCAAATCCAACTTGAATCACTACTTTCGCACAGGCATTGCTCTTAGAGCGCCTGTGTAGTTTTGTCCTAATACTTGACTAATACATCATCTAAGGGACATTGCACACCTCTATTTATTACACATTCTATAATTCTCCTACCAACTCTGTTCTCTCCCAACTCAGGACTCGAAATGATATTCACAACTACAACACTAGAGGCCTTATGAGAATTCAAACATTCTATATCTCAAAAAAAAAAAATCGAATATCGATCTGTACAAAATACTACATACAATGGAACTATTCCTTCCAGACAATCAACCAGTGTATACTACTTTCAACAATCATTGGTTGGATTTGTATCAGTCTTTACTTTTATGATGAGTTCATTAAGTTTTTCAATCACTACTTTCTGAATTTACAATTACTGATTAATAATCTATTATCAACATGAATGAAATGTATGAAATAAATTGATGAATCTAGCGGTTACTACGTGTATGAAAATGTATGAAAGTTTTCATGTTATCTGTGTGCTTGAAGTGGATTTATGTACCAGTCTTAAGATATATGTCACAAGGTTTGAATCATAAGAATTTATTTATTTGTTATTACTAAAAATCTATTACTCATGCACATAGAGATTATGAGAGTGTATATATCTGTGGTAGTACATGAATGTTGCTACTGAAAATTGCTGCTCACAATTTCTTAAGACTTGCGACCAATGACAGGTGCATTAATCCACCTTGAATCCATAAATTGGCTTCAAGGGATTAGGTTAATTATTTGTTTTGCTCATTTCACGAATAATCACACATTTTTTAACTCAATTCCTCGGACACTTTTGAAAAACTGAGTGTAAATAGTATCAATAAGCCAAATTGGACAAACAATTTATGATTACCAATAGGGTTGGAAGCATAATTACAATTACCTGATATCAACAGGATCTTCCTGTTTAGAATTTCTAGCAATTCTTATATAATCTTCTAATGAATCCTCCATGAAGAAAATGGGTCAATTCTAATAAAAAAAACTTTTCACTTTGCTGTCACTATCAATATGAATATACCCCTAATATAACCAATATTTCTTCTTCTTCTTCTTCTGCTTCTTATGGTCATTGCTTCCTGATTTCACCAATCACATCACACAATTGACACAACATCAAAGTCACAATATGAGCAGTGTTGCCAACACTGGGGATCCTCCTCTCTCTCTCTCTCTCTCTTAATTAGTGAACGTTGCTTCCCACTCAAGCGCATTTGTCCAGGCTTCCCCTATCAAATTGACATCAATTTGACAGAAGCTTCGTCGGGGGGGGGGCAACGGTCTTGCTCGAAGAAATGCCATCCCATTTTTGTCACACTTTTTATAATAAAAAGAACAATGTACTTTTTTATTATCGCCTCCTGCTCAGGAGACCTTCTGACTTTTTAACATATATATTTATTGGGTCGCCTCCTCTTCGGATTTTTGAACTCACATACATGACCCCTTTACGTGGTTATCCGAACCACCCGGCCTGGATACCGGCGTGAATAAAGGGGCCCTTAAACTCCACTTTTTCAAAACTTTCACCACATTTCAGTATTCATCACAATGGACTATCACAACACAAAACGGAGCCCTACGATAGCACATGGCATCCGCGTACCTTCTTTGTGGACGGAAGATATCAGCACGTCCATCCACTACCACGGCCAGTACGAGACTCCAACACTGGGGATGAACATGTCAAATATCGATTGTGTATTGCTTATTGTTCTGTTAAATAGGTTTTTATTTAAAGCTACACGTTCCGACATTTGATATGACGTATTGAAAAAATATTTCAATGTGAGATTACCGCTTGAAATCAAGTTTCTTTGTCCTATATTCTGTGGTCGAGATGTTTAATGTCATTTTTAGCAGTAAATTAAAATTATTTGGAACTTATCTGCAGTCGAGGAATTATTACGATATATTAATTAGATTAATTTATTATATTACGATATATTAACTAGTTTAATTTCATCATGTTCAAATTCAATAACCACTCCACGAAATTTTTAGGTTAACAGTAATTACCCAGAGATTCTCAAAAAGTTAAATGGTCCTATTCCGTGCAGAGTGTCCCTTCTGTATGGTATTGCATGGGATGATTGATTTAATTTTTTCTGAATATATCGTCCCTGGAAACTATTCGAAGTTTCTATAAAATTTGAAAGAAGGCTCATTGTTCGTGAAATTTCCATGAATTGTGGGATACATATGATGATTCAAAAGCACATACAATCCTAACAAATATAATGATAATAATTAATAGTAGTGAAGAGTGTTTCCCTATCCCTATCCACTATCATCAAGCCTAAACTGTTATATTATTTGACTGTTGACTGAACAATTCTATTTCAGTTTGATCTCAAACATTTTCGTGTAACTTGCTGCTATTGTCGTTGGTCGTTGGTGGTGTGGTTGAAATTCAATCACTACATAGTATAAAAGAAAGTCGTTTTCCGCTATTTGTCCCTAAATCAAATCAAATCAATCAAAAACTCGTAAGGTTTCTAATGTGATTTCGTAAATTAACATATTTTTTTGCGCTCAAGACATTGCAAACACTGCGCTGGCTGAACCCTACCGAGATAGTACTACAGTAGGTATTAAACAACTTTAAAAGGTCTACAAAAATTAATGATGGAATATGTGTTTTTCTTAGGGATAACGACAATAACCATTATTTATCCTCGAGAAATAATGGCTTATTTACGAAGCGATTTTGAGCAACACGGCATTAATCCTTATCCACCTAAGTACTTCAAATACATTGTGCATTCAATATATTGAATGCACAATGCAATATGGCCCTTACAGCATGTAATGTAAATCAATATTTAAGATATTACAGGTTCAAAATAAAGGGACATAGCGGTTGCGACGGTACCGGCCGGGGGACCGGCGGCACGTGTCTATAAATAGCGTGTCGAAGATTGCGCTTTGTCTTATAGCACTTTATGATCAGCAGCAATCGCACACGTTATATGTTTTTTTTTAAGGACAAAACACACGCACTACAGGAAAATCCTTAGGCACTCTCAGAGCGGTGCCTGCTCGAAAGTAGCGATTCACATTGGATTTGATTCGCTGGAGATTAAATCCATTTGGAAAAACGTTCTCAGGAAGTTTATACCACATAAACGCAGTTCTCCAGAAGAAAGAGTTCTTAAACAGTGAAGTTCGAGGTGTACTGAGTTAAACCTCAGTACACAGCCACAGTCCGTCGCGTATTTCTAATATGCACCGCTATTGGTGGAATCAAATGTGCCAAGTCACTTGAACACCTCCCGTGAAAGTATCTATAGAAGAGAGACACATCTCCAACCTTTCTTCGATGTTCCAGGCTATCAAGGTTGCACGTGATCTTCGCGTTTTCAATCAGGCGGATGGCTGTTTTCTGGATGGAATCTAGCAACTTCGGGGTATGTTTGGGGGTAGAGCTTCATACATGAGAAAAAAACTCTAGAAAAGGTCTGATCTGAGCTTTATAAAGCATCAAAAGTTGTTGAGGTGTGTACAGTTTTCTGGTTCGGAACAGTGTTCCGAGCTTTTGAGAAACAACCTTTGTAATTCCAGCATGATTGTGCCAAGAGTCCATTTTAACCCCCAACAAACTTATCGAATCAGAAAGCGGAATTGTCTGACCTGACATTATTATATTCGATTCGAGGACATTTATCTTCTTGGAGAAAACCGATGCCTAGGTTTTTGTGTCATTGAATTGAACCTGGTGACTTTTACCCCAATTTGAAATCACTTGTACATCCTAATTAATAAAATATGCAACCTCCTGCTGCCGGTGAAGATGTGCCTCCGTAGCCGATGTCATGGAACACATATGGAATGACGAGACAAGTGTGCTGTCGTCAGCAAAACAATATATTGGATTCTTGTTTTTTTTCCAATAAGTCCTTGATATACAATAAAAAGAGGGTTGGAGACAATATGGATCCCTGGGGAATACCAGCGTTGATAGTGAAAGTATTCGAGTGATATCCATCGACGGCCATTTGCAGTTAACGTTCTTTCAGGAAGCTGAAGAGCCATACAAAAAATGATCCGACAAGCCATAGCATCGAAGTTTGGCCAGCAAACCCTTATGCCGCACATGGTCAAAGGCCTTAGAAATATCAAGCGCAACAGCTTTTGGTTCTCCATGTTTCTCGATTGCGTTATTCCAAATATAGGTGACATACGATAGAAGGTCGCCTGTTATTCTGTGTTCGCTCAAGATGTGAAGCCTACCAAATATTTGAGGATACCAACATTATTAAAAATACGTAGGTCATTGATGGTATCAATATCTGACGCGCTCGAGTATGTTCATGCAACAGTTTTTTTTACATATTTAATAATCTATAGCAGCTTCTCCCACCGATGAAAAGATATATATTATATAACATTTTTTTCTTCTTATCATCTAAGCTTTGCAACCTAATAGGTCTCTATAACGCTCGAGTAAATCCCCATTTTGCATCGTGGGCTCCCCTGCTATTAGGTATAGATTCAGAAGATTAGCATATTCTCCATCACGGTCAGGAATCCTGGTTGGCTCATTTATAATCTGAGTAAGTCCGCTGCTGATTGCAAAAGCCTCAGCTTTGTGACCTCGTTCGTCGTTGATATTTGAAAATTTGAGCCATTTGATATTGTAGACATTGAAGTAACCGAATATGTGAATTTCAGCACTGGGATGATTGATTTGCAGAAAGTTAATGGTGGTTGCAGGTGAAGAGAATAGTGCCCTATATTGTGTATCGCTAGGTGATCGAGAAACGCAGCATACGAATTTGGTGCTCTTCTGTGATATTATTTTGAACCACATAACATCAAAGTTTCCGGGTTCCAGCATTTCCTCTCGTTGATAGGAGAGATCGCATCTGATAAAAAGGGATATTCCAAAGTTACGTCTGAATCGTGAGTGGAAGTCATAGCCGGGATATAGAAAATTGACGGAGTTTGTTGAAGCACCGACTTTGATTTCTGTGAGTGTAAGAATATGAAGACTATTATATTGCAGATGTTGGTGTACAGAGTTTATATTTCAGTTGAGTATTCTGATGTTGCAGAAATCGATTTTGAAGTTGCTAGTGGGTCTCTTAGCAACTGCGGTTACCATACTATTTCCCTGTGGACTAATATTAGGAAGACCCTGCTGACTGTCAGAAATAGTGGTTTTCGAATAACTTCTGCAGGATGATGCTCTTGAATCAGCCCCCACCTGGAGATCGGATTGAGGAGCTATTTTACCTCTGGAGTATTTTGACCCTAGAAGCGCCATCATGCATTTTCCTTATATTCCCACCCTTGAAACCGGAAACAATGGCACAACAACGAAACGTTAGCCTAAAAGCAACTTCACGATGTCTAAGCCGTTGCGATGGTAACTCACCGGGCGATGCTGGGAGGGACCAGCATCTACCATCTCATATATTTAGTATCAGCATTGCACCCGTGTGGAGCCGGGGCGAGTCGCTAGTATTACATAAGTCATACCTCCTGCAGAAAGGCTGGCGGGTAGATATGCTGACAAATTAATTCACTAATTTTTTACGCCCACCTGTGAACCTTAACTATTCAATAGGTGTGAGTGCTATTAGGTAAAAAATATATAAAACAACTTTCCAGTTGTAATAATTTATTATTGAAATAAAATGACAGCTAACAGAAGATAAACCATCAGCATGAAAATGTGCCGTAGAAATATAAATGCTCAATGCGAAGGTTCTTGCAAATATTCGGATAAGATTGAACGAGCCTGTAAGTTGAAGCTATTTTGCCCAATTTTCGTAAATCAAAACTTCCTGGTGTACAGAGTGCTGCACCACCACACAGGCCCTTGCAAAGAAAATGAAATTCCACAAATTTAAAAAAATGTTGGACATCTTATTTCATCTTTAACGTCTCAAGACGGAAACAAAATAACTTATGAATCATAAAAATTGTTTTTAAACACGTCAATTCTGAAACATTCTTCATTTCAATTCACAACTTCAACACTGATTCGAAACACATCGTTTATAATTTGTAATGCATAGTCTAGATGAGGCTGTACCTGCCGGTCACCTTTATTCCTATGTGCCCCTCATAGTCTTTACGCCGGAAGATGAGTGAAATTCGAATTAAAACATGGGGATCTCGGAAAAGGTAAGAATTACAGAAATGATGAATAGAAGGCATATTAGCTCAGTATAAGTTTTGCAACAACTAGGTCCATTTATTGTATATTAAAACGTAATATTTTGTAATTATATTTAAATATATTCATGAGGTATATTTGTAGCAGATAGAAATTATGTATTTTCATTCATGTATTTTCATAAATGAATTATTCATATAAATGGTTTTGTTCTTATTTGTAGCACATAGCTACAACGACAGCTCACGAGAGCTGTCGTTGAGAAAACTGATAACAGTTCATATATCATTTGTAGTGCAATAAAATAGTTGAAGCTTCCCAACTTTTTTACACTCATCTCAATTTTATGTAAAGTACTTTATTGATTAATGGTATGGTATACTGTTACCATCAAAATTTTGATTATTATTGTCATACTCTGACACCAAGCTCAGATATCTTTTGAGAAATCGTTTAGAATAGAGACAGGAATAGAATACATGCCAAACCAGTATAGAAATTTTGATGTATGAACATCTTCAAGAATCAAAACACGAGATAAGTAAAGATAACTTCAAAATCCTACGCCTATGTAATGACGGGAAAAAAATGAATTTTTTTGGAAGCCATGGAAATTATAACAAATCAATTGAAAACCTGAAATATATACCCCTCGATTTATGTAGGTCTGCACTCTTGAATTTATTTATTTAACAACCCATATAATCTTTAGTGTTGAATTTTATAGTTGGCTGGTTCGTTTAACTACCTGTCCTGCTATCTTACCTAAAAACTCCCGATATAACCGAGTTTTTAAATTTCACATTTTAGTTTATACTTGATACTGGAGTTAAACCCGAAACCGGCCGTGTAAATAAAATTAACTGGTGGAAATTAGACAAAAGTGTTTTTATTCATTTCATTAGTCTTTTAGAAACGATAGTTGTTGCCGACCGGTGTTTAATCCATTTTTAGTCCCCATGTAAGCTGTTACGGCAAACAACTGTCAGATCAACTACTCCCCTTTCTCGTGACATGACGGGTATTGAATTATATCAGAAGCATCCTTACGCAATGTTCCTCAAAGAACAGAAATCAAGTTACAAAGTTGAAAATAACTAGAATTTTGGCACCTATTTGTGCAATGTTCTTCAATGAGAAGATTTTTGCAGTGGTACTTGTAAAAAAACAATGAGTGATATTCTTTATTTAGTTGAGAATAACCACCTGCGTATATGTATGTTCCAATGTTGCATCTCAAAATGATCGGCTGGGTTGGACAAGCAAACCAATTCTTTTCATTCGTTTGAAACTCTCCGACACGCTTTCTAAACTTTGTTCGATTTTATACGTTTTATATTATTTATACAGTATGCAAGAATATTGCATTTTATTCAGTTGAAAAATCCCTTTAGCTTCTAGGTAACTTATTTTCAAATCGATTTCAAAATTTGAACCAGACAAGGAGCGACTTAAAACGTGGAACACTTTGAATACAAAATTTATAGCGTTTCATTATATTCTACATTACAACAAAACACGAAAACACCCATTCATTTTCCATGAAATTTGTTTTACTGACGAGCAGTTAATATCTTATTTATTATTCAGCAGTGCATGAAATGTCAAATGCTGACAAATAATTATGGATGCGCAGTCCTAAAAAATAAAATTATGAGACCCAAACATCGAAGGTTCCGACAAGGGTAAAACTACTGCTTCTTTTACACTCGTTTCGAGAGTTTCTGACAAAATATTTTACATGGGAAAGGGCATAAGTGATTCTCACAAGGGATATTCTATGAATCTCGTTGTTGGGCCTTTTTGTTGATGTCAATGTAAGCGATTATAGGTATTTACATATTTTGTACATTGAAATCAACCAGACATGATAAGAGCTTTTTAAATTGATGCCTTAATACACATTCATACACTCACGGACAACCTCACAATGGAGCCAGGCTCCAACTGGCGTGAGATGCCCAATGCAAATCAGTCGTATTCGAATCCTATTCGTATGAAATTTTAGAAAACTAGAAACAATAATCTTTTTATTCTCCCTAATTACTATTCTCACTATGGATACTTCTCATCCATGTCAAGATTTATGCGAGAAGCCAACCGTCTTAATTGTGACATTACAAGAATTTCACTGAATACCTTTAAAAAACAGTGTAGCAATAGAATTCATTAGTTAACCAGCTGGGATGTTAATGCTAATTTTGAGTTTATATATTATTTGAATTTTAGATATTTACATTGATATATGTCTACATTTATGCATAGATTAAGGTCAAGTTAGTTTTAAGGTAATACTATTGTGGAATTAACCGCGGTGGTAGTGCGCCCGACTCAAGATCGGAAGATCGTGAGTTCGATTCCCGCCTCGACCAAATATTTTTCTCGAGAGAATTTATCTGGTTGAAGCTGGAATGATTCTGCAACCGTGTTAGGAATCACACGTTAAAAGGTAAGACGTCGTTAGTCCTTAGCTCGCACAAGTTTCTCAACTTCTGAGAGTTGTCGTTCGTATGGGGGCGACAGCTGATTAACGAAAAAACAGATTTTAAACAGATTTTTTAAACTGTATTTGTATATACATACCTGCATTTTTCGTCACATATTTAACTTTTAGAACCTGTTTAATGATGACCATTCCTCCGGAAAGAATGAACGTAATTAGCGTCGTTAATTTACCTATAGCTTGAGACTTCATTTCATAATAACTTTTATTATTATACTCAGTATATCGAACATATTACTATACAGAATACTTATAACAAGACACATTCATCTGGCGGAACTTTGATGTTGATGCTTCAAGTTTCTGTGAGCTATATTTTCTGTTTGACATTTTAAAAGTAAAAAGTATCCCTTCTGTGTATTGTGTAATATTACCTAAAGTTTCCTATATAGTGTCGAGGTTCGGTGTTTTGTTTACGGATATAATAATTGTACCCGTAAACAAAACACTATTGTGTTGGGATCTATCAAAGTTTTCAATATCAAAAGAAAATAACAGCAGACAACAAACTATTCCCATGAAAGAATATGTTGAACCAGTATGGACGCTCGATGCGGTGGTATTTTGTATGAAGAAGACGTTAACCTTCGACTGTGGTTTAATATTCTCGCCTTTGACCCAAAAGAAATTCAGAATAATGAAGAATAATTGACAGATGACTCTGTCTGTAATTGAAAGGAGCAAAGACTATGGGAGAGAGAGAGAGAGATCATTATTGAAGGTTATGTCTTAGTTAAACGTCTATTGGTTATGTTTACATGTTTTTTTTCGAAATATTTGGAGGTACATTTTTTAAAAACATTGGAAATTTGTATTTGGGTTGACTTTCATCGCTCAATAAAATCCCCTTCTAATTTTGTATTCCCTTATGTACTGGAATCATCTGAAAAGATGTCTTCTCTTCCTGAAGACGGTAGACCAAAGCTGAAAGCAAAACGATTCAACAAATTCCACTCATCAGTGGAAACTTCATTAACCGATACTTCAAGTCATACTGGTCAAGACCGACAAGGATTGAAAAGAAAAAATGAGGAGTCATTTCAGATACCATCACAACCTAAAAAGAAATATGAACAATCAGCTATCAAGCCCCCAATTACACAAAATTTGGCAAATAAGAGGTTACAAAACTTGAAACGATATTTAAAGAGTGATGTGAAACATGGAAATTCCAGAATTGAAGATAGATCACAGGAAGAGAAAAACCAACACAGTTCATTTCAGAGGAGAGATATTAATTCTGTGAGTGTTTCTCAAGATACTTCCTGCAATATTTATAAAAATCTCAGTCAGTGGGCAAGCCCTCCACTGGAGAGAAACATGTCTCTTCATGAATATGACAAAGGGATCAATTCCAACAATGCAGAACAGAGTAGATCTGCTCAAGGAAAGCAAGAGTATGGCAGTTTCACTAACCAAGTTAGACAACTTATCCATTCAGACTGTACCAATCCACAAAGCCTACCTAATAATGATACAAAATATGGAAGTGAACCTCAAAAAATGTACACTGTACATCATACCCAAGAAGATAGAAGTATTGTTCTTTCGAAACATAGCAACTCGACTAGTCCTGTTATGAACTTTAAAGATTTCAGGGAATCTAAGAGATGTGAACAAACCATCAATGATGAAAAAGAGCAAGCTGTTACTGAAGGTAGGAGTAGCAGTATTTATAAAAATCTTGGCAAGTGGGCAACCCCTCCAAATACTATACCTCAAAAAAACTTAGCTGGTAGTAGGTTACAAAAACTTAAAAGTGTTCTTAAAGATGCGAAACCTGTAGTTGGAGACAAATCAACTAATTGTTCAACTGCAAACTCTCCCACTGTTGAAAATTCTGAAGAAAAATATCGATCTCCTTTACTTAGAGAAAAATACCGATCTCCTTTGTTCAAGGACACAGGTATTTCTAACAAAAGACACATAACTGATGATTTCGTTTCCGAATGTAGTCCTGCAAAAAAAATTGTTGTCAATCCTTCATTTTCAAGTCTTAGTAGATCTTATTCAAAAAATAATTTGAATGAAATAAGAGATAGAAGCACATCATCTGAAAATTTGAATAAAGATGCTGTAAATGTTTCTCAGCGAACAGTTAGAGACAATGTATCTTTAAATGAATCTAATTGTTCCACATCGTTTCAAAATATCAATTCAACAGTGGTACTGAATGACTTTCATAGGGAAAATAATGAAATACACAATTCTCCTTCAACACCTATTTCAAAGAGATTGAATTTTATTAGAAACAAACCAGACAAAAGTTACAACTTGTCAACAAATGCAAAGCCTTCTGTTTCTAATTTCAATACACCTTCCAAACTATCTCAGCCCCAAAAAGAAAATCCAACAGAATGCCTGGTCCTATCTACTGAGAATACAGATAATTTCAGTGAAAAGATGGCTATGACTGCTTTCTGGGTAAGCAATCTTAATAATGAAAACCTAACACAATCTCCGATAGAATTGAATTGCAAACAAGGTATAAACGTAGTAGAAGAAGTTAACAATAAAATTCAAGAAACTCCAGAGGATAATTCCATGGAGATGGAATGGACAAATGTAAGTAATTGATGATAAGCAATTTCCTGTTTTTTCTTTTTATTTACTTAGGTAGATTCTGATCTCAGATTTTCTTATCACATTGACTTTGTTGACGAACATTGAGCAGCCTCTAAACATTCAAACTAAAGTTGTTATGTTATGAATAAATTGAATGCTTCATCTTATAATGTTATCCAGATTGGTGCTGAAGAGGCAATAAGGCAAGTGTCTTATTCTGAAACATAGATGTCCTCCTCTGAGGATGTCAATGTTCCAATGAGTGACATTTTGTATCTCTTTCATATATTAAATTGTGTAGCATTACTGTGAATGGTATCTGATTCAATTCCATAATGATTAGAGAATAGAAAAAAGTATTTTTGTTTAATTCAATGTTCATATTAAAGTAGTTGTTTCCAGACAGGTTTTTCTCCTAGTTTGTATCTGAAAGTAACTTCTATGCATGATCTTCACATCTTTGTCAAGAGTTTATTTTGAAATTGATTTTTTTCCTTCCATTAAAAGTTTCCCACATTTTTTGTATAAAGATTCTACAGAAGAAGAGAGCCAAAAACGTTCTTTTCCAAAAACTAATCTCTCCTGAAAATATACCCATTTCATCAGTTCGGACTTCCATTTTCTAATATAGTATAAATTGATTGGAAATCTCTGAAAGAATCTGTAAAAGTTAAAAAAGATTATCCGAAAAAATAACAATTTTATTAAACAAAAAACACAATAACATTCAAAAATAATATCAATTCTTTAATGCTACTCGTATTTTTGTACAATATGTTTCGTTAGTCAATGTTTAGCTAACACAAACAAACTGGTTGGTTTGACTACTCGAGAGCATGCCACGTGTAATTGTGTGTGTGAAAAACATGGTGTGCTCTAATCCAAGCCACAAAAGGACATTGTTTGCCCTTGGGACTCATTAATAGTCATTACAAATGCCAATCTAATTGGAAATTGCACACTTTTAAAATTATTTGGCACATCTGTAGATATAAAAGTCTTCGGTCATATATTATTGTATGGTAAATTATTCGAGCTGGTAATGCCCATTTATAGCGAGGAAAATACTATACTTTTTCTATGGCTCACAACAGGAATATTTTCAAAAATATCAAGTTTTCAAGGATATGCCAAATGAGAGATTGTTGAAAAATGTGTTTTTCATTAACCAGCTGTCGCCCTCCAGAAGTTGAATACAATACAACTAGCCAATTAATGTTTAATGTGTACCTGAGTTTGTAATGAATGAAATGACCTGAGCTTATGTACCAGTTTCCACATTTGAAAAAATATTTAGTAATGTGGAGTTATTCAATTCTAATTGGTCATTCAGTAAATTACCAGAATTCTTTAATCTATTTATTTCTAAACATTATAAAAGACTTCAAACTTTTCTCTTCTGAATGTAACACGTCATAATCATTATTGAACTCATGTCCTTCTACTAAAAGATGGTTTGCAAATGTGGAATTGGTATTTTCATTTAAGAAACTAATTATGTGCTCTTTAATTCTTTGGGAAAAGATTCTCCCTGTTTGACCAATATAAAGTTTTGAGCAAGAGCAAGTTATAAACGTCTCTGAGCGAGTTTATAACTCCAAGATGACACAGTGTGTCGAAACAGCTATTAGCATTAAATGTTAGTGTTGTGTGTAAATTGTGAAATATTGTTTTCACCCTACCGGTTCAATTAAAATAAATTTACACATTAGATAACAAAACTGTAGAACATGATTTTATCATTTCAACTGGTTGGATGAATGAGCAATTTCTGCCAATAAAAACATTTATCATTATTATTATTATAAATTAGTCCAATTAGTGAAGTTCAAGTGAATTATTACTTCTAGGCTGAACCAGATAATGAGATAGTACAAAATAATCATAACGAAGAAGAGACAGATAGTAATACTGTTGAACAACCAGAAACTAAAAATCAGCCAAGTAAATCAAATGATTTATGTATTGTGGTAGATACGAATATTTTTATACATGGACTATCGAAAATCAAGGACATCATCAACATGAAAATTTCAGGTGAGGCATGTTATTCACGGATATGTACTTTCATAGAAATTCTCTCACATTTGGATTATCTTTTGAAAAGTGGTAATGTCCTTTATGAAACCAATAACCCCTATCAATAAATAAATATTTTATTTTTAAAATATGAAGTCATTTGAGGAAAAACAATTTTTGAATTCTCACCTATCAATTATTTTTAAGAAAAAATTATGAGATTAAGCAAAGCTGAGATCATTCAATATATTCTAAGGAAAAAATAAGAAGTTAAGAGTGAATAAAACAAAAAAAAAATAAGCAAAAAGGTCAAAGTTGAAGATGAAAGTTTGCTCATGCTTAAAGGAGCAATGAAGCATTTTCATATACTTTCTATTATATTGAGGGCACATTCAATAATACATCCTTAGAGCAATACAAGCTGCTGGTAAAACATTTTTGATGAGTATGATGGGAGTGCATTCTTCTGCATCATGTAAAAATTTATTCATAAGCGTTGACATCCTAACCCTATTAGGATATCCATAACTAGAATACCAGAAATGAGAATGAGATATATCAACCATTTTCAAGAATGACTTCAGGACACATGAATTCTTGAAGACTAAATGCTATATATTGAATATTTAGAGATATGTTCAGATCCAGAAAATATGAATAAAGTGAAACACTTGTTTTATGCCTTCTTAAAACAATGAAAATTTTATTTTTGTATAACTATCATTAAAAATAACATTTTCAATGGTTGTCAAGAGTATTAAATATGATGTTTACAAAGTAGCATGTTGAAAATATTTTAACAGTAGTGTTGAAAGTATTTTTAACGCGATTTTTTTCGATCAAATAGCAATAAATAAAACATAATTATTCAATTTTCAAGGAAGTTTTATTATGAACAATAGATATAGATACAATTAAATTCTGTTACAAATGTATATCAATTACATTATTATCTCTGAAATGAAATGAATAAAAACACTTTTGTCTAAATACCACTGGAAAATTTTATTTTATGACTGGTTTCGGGTTTGATCCCATTATCAAGTATAAAATTGATAATACTAATAATACTTGATAATGGGATCAAACCTGAAACCGGTCATGAAATAAAATTTTCCAGTGGTATTTAGACAAAAGTGTTTTTATTCATTTCATTAAAGTGATCATGAATTACCATAAAGTAAACAAGTCATCAATCACACTTATTACATTATTATCATTATTTATGAACATTAATATGAAAAGTACAATTAGAACAACTGCTGATATTATTACCTTGCGATGTTGAGGAGGCTTGTAAAACAATTGAGCTATCTGAGTTAACAATTTCATGGGCATTAACATTTAATTCTTGAAGTAAAGACGACAATGCTGTAACGCTGGAGCGTTGGGATTAATCTTTCAGCAATAGTCTTTTTATCTTTTAAGAAATAGATTGATCGATGTAACCCTCAGCTATTGTTGTAGACTTCCATCCTCCATGCTTCTTAGTATCTGTTATATTTGCTCCCGATTCTGCTATCAAAGAAGTAGAAGACCTTCTGAAACAGTGACCTATATATATTTTGGTTCCAGGAGGTTCAGAAACTCAGCAATGATAGAGGGCATTTCCTCAAATATGTTTATACCAACTGGGTTGGCACTCCATTTATAATTTGAGTATTTCAGAAACAATCGTTGATGATTGATAACAGAAGGGCATAATGCAATGTATTCAATAAAATAGTCAATGCAAAAAGAACGGCCTATTTTCGATTTTGTATTTGAACTTTGAACAATCAATGATTTATCCATTAATATACTGTCTTCTATTAATTTAATGTCTTCTATTAATAAATGGCACAGCTCTTCAAGCTGGCAGGCTTCATATATTCCGATAATAGTAGTAACTTTTATCTTCAAATATTTTTCATCTGACCCCCTCATTTATAAACCTCTGGACTTGTTCAAACGTAAGAATTTTTTATTTTTTGGGCCAATAACTTCAAATGCCCTTACCTTGAAATATTTGCTTGTATTAACACCATTTTTAACAAGCGCAGAAGACAGTTTCGCTTTTAAGTCTACACCAGCTAAGAAAATTAGAATATGAGATGTCGTACTGCTGTGCCGATTTTTTTTTAATTCAATTGAAGCTCTTTTTGCAACGTCTTCAATGTCGTCAGGAACACAATTCTTCACTATTGTTCTTCATTATGCAAGACATTAAACACCAGCAAGAACTTTAAATAAAACGCTTGAGCTGTAAACAATACTGTTTGTTGGTAACCAGTTGATTCGGCGTCACCTGACACGGCCACTTCACAACAAATACGATAACATGAAAACAGTTAACTGACAATGGATGTCAAAATGTGTTTTTATAGAAATATTACATTTATCTATTTTGTTATGAAAACAGGACTTTGTATGATATTTGTGTTAAAAGTAAGTTTTATTTTGTTTGTGAAATTGCTCAACTCGCTACGCTCGTTTCGCAAACTTTTTCACTCACAAAATTAAAAACCCTACTTTTAACACTCATATCATAAATAGATATTTCTGGATCTGCAATCATAAGCGTATTCCAGTGATGAAACCTTTGTTCCCCTTCTGAGATTTCTAAATTTAATTTTAACAGCGAGTATTCAAGAAACACTTCATTGTGAGATTTTCACTAAACATTTTTACAAAAACGCAACACGTCTTTCGGTATACAACAGCATTTTCAGGCGTGTCTTTACTAACTGAAATCTACATATTCAATCCTTTATATGTTTTTACAATTTGAAGTAGGTACCTGTAAGTACCTTATTTTTACCTAGCCAGTTAATGTTAAATGTGTACCTGAGTTTGGGAAAAAATCAATAAAGCTTAACTTGGTCGTTCAGTAAATGATCTGAATTCTTAAATTTATTTATTTCTAAATATTCTAAAAGATTAAGTATCAAACTTTTCTCTTTCAAATGTAACACATCACTGTCATGATTGAACTCATATCCTTCTGCTAAAAGATGGTTTGCAAATGTGGAATTGGTTTTTCCATTCGAAAACCCACGTTTATGCTTTTTAATTCTTCGGGAAAAAGTTTTCCCCGTTTGGCCAATATAAAGTTTTGGGCAAGAGCCACAAGTCAACTTATATACTCCTGATCTATCCGACACTGAAGTTTTGTCTTTTTTGTTTTTAACATATTTACTTCAACTTTTATTTTTTTCTATAAGCCACGTCCAAGCATTACTTTTTTTTAAACGAACAATGTTATTTGTGGGTTCACCAAAATATGAAAATGTCCTAAAGCAGGCGCTATCGTTTCTTGAATTCGGGTAGACCTGGTCTATGGCTTGTTTTTGTAGTTTTTTGGAAAGAATGGAGTCGATAATATCTACTTTGTAACTGTTGTTCACAGCGATTTGTTTCATGAAACTCTGCTCTCTCTCTGAAAATTACTTTCCGACAGTGGAATATTCAATAGTCTGTGAAGCATACTATTGAATACAACTACTTTATGCTGGTAGGGGTGTGTGGAGGAATTATGTATGACAACGTCTGTGTAAGATGTTTTTTGAAAAATTGCAAAATCATGTTTATTATTGATTTTTGTTATAGTCAAGGTGAATTATTGAATTATTTATCTCCCTTTCAGTGAGTGCCCCATTTTAACCTATTGTTTTTGAATAAATGTGAAATAAAGTACAATAATTTTGTTTTTTAGATTCAGTGCTGACTAGTCACATAAACATCTATATCAGAATTGCTATGAATTGTATTTAGATAGATAAATAGTTTTATTAATCTCCATAAATCATTTACATGACATGAGATAAGTCCAATGGTAGTCATAAAGATAAGATAAATATAATAGTTTGAATAGTCAGGTATTTACACATAACAACATCAAGTAATTGATGGTGCATACAATATACAAATATAAGTCCATGTTTTTCAAGTGTGTCAGAAAGTAGACATTTATTCAACACCATTGACTGAATGTATTCAAAAAAGGGACGAAAAACATCAAGTTACTCATTTGAAATTTGCTTTTTGTTCAATATTACGTTATATGTATATTTTCTATATTCAACTTTTTTATCCCAAAACTGTATATTATGTTTGCAAATCATCAAACACTCACTTGAAATTCGTTATTATTTTTTTCTTTTAAATATTCCATGAATGTAGGTATTACTATTACGATATGTATATATTTCCTATATTCAACACTTTCATCCCAACATGTGTTGAATACATGTTGGGTCAAATTTTAAATTATTTAAATCATAAATTCGTGAATAATATCAAATTACCAATTTTCAGGGCCAATTCAACTGGTATTATATATTCCTTGGATGGTTATAACAGAACTGGATTACATGAAGCATGATTGCTCACTAGACAGTCTTAAAAGAAAAGTAACAAATTCAGTAAAATTCATCAATTCACATCTGGAGGAACAAAATCCAAGATTAGTTGGTGAGTTTCAATTGAATATTATTCATTGTATGAGTATATTTTAATATTGTTAAATCTAGTAAAACAGTTTCATAAGTTCACTCACTAGGATCCATTCCAATATTTCCCCCAGACTCTATTTTTCAACAAAATCAAGAAATTGTGGTCTTTTGTGAATTTTTATCTCTAGATTCTACTGGGCTGATTAAAAAAATGTTTCTTCTAGACTTTTACACCACGTGCAAATAATATTATAACTTTTTTTTAGTAATAATTACACTAGTAACAAACTATTTCCGTTATTCAAAAATACAACTTACACACTTATACTTCACTTGTTTGCTATCGCCTGCTAATGCTATCTGAACTATATTGAAACTCTTAGCAACTTACCCATAAATTTATACAATGAAAGGCTCAAAGCTGCTCTCGCACCTTTGATCCAATCGCAGTTGACCAGGTTTACTGTCTTCGAATCCTGAACACAGATGACTGTTATTCAACCCGTGACAAATGTGGACATTACTCGTGATAATGGAGTTTGTCAACACGAGCTGTAGGCAAGTGTGGTACATTATTCGAGCTAGTAATGCCCATTTATGGCGAGAAAAATACAATACTTTTTCTATGGCTCATAACAAGAATGTTTTAAATAAGATCCCGAATGAGAGATTGTTGAAAAATGTGTTTTTAATTAATCAGCTGTCGCGATAGTAATATCATTAAATATCATAACAAAAAGCTTTTATTGACTGAAAAAATCTATAATCATATTTTGAACAATGTCCATGGACAGAATCATTTTTTTGTTAATAAAATTAATGGTGAAACTTGAACAGTTGGAAATCGTAATAGATATTAACGAGGATTCTATATCCACATAACTGGTACTGGTTGACTGTTTCATCGAATTTAAGATTTTTTTTGTAGTAACATTATTTTTCATCGAATTATCTATATATCTTTCCGCTACAGATGTTGACTTCCACCCTCCATGCCTCTTTAAAACAGTGATGCATCCACCTGTATTCACTAGCAGGATAGCATATTTATGATCTTCGAAACCAATGTCCAGTATAAATTTCTGGATTTGGAAGTTTTGAAAATGTTGCGATCTGTTTACCCATACCTCCGAGCTTATTGATTCCAATTCTTTGATTGGTGCAAATACCTTACTGATACTACAGAAAAAATGAATCTTTCAATACATTACTTGGTCGCAACTTGATATGTTAAATACAAATATGATATAAATGCTCTGTTATTATAAACTTCTGAACTATTTTCGTGTGTGATTTGACCTAGGACGCTAGCGTGCCTGTCTGGAGACCTAGCTTCTACTCCACATAAACCACCTCACAAATTGTCGTGACATAAAGCTATTTGAGTTTCTGTTTCTAAGTACTCTTATTTCATCAACCAGTGCCAAATAGAAATACATTTTCTGAAAATGAATCAATATTCTTGTTCTTTCGCCAATCCATGACAATTGTATATGAATTTTCACATTTTCTTCTTGATTTATTTGATAAAGGACATGTAGTCGTTATTTTTACCATATTACTAATTTCAGAAGGAGTACACTTGTTTTTATTTTCCAAATCCATAAAAACAATATTTTTTAAAGCAGGAATTGTTAATTCAATGATCAAATTTGACATATTAGAACAATTTTGAAACAGGTAAATTCTCAAGGCTTACTTTGTGAATGAAATTAATTCAAAGTTATAAATTTATAAAGTTATAAATTTGCTCATCTGCGATTGGTCTTTAGGTAGATGAATCTGGTCAACTAGAAATTGTTCAAAGGTGAGAGCTATCTGTCTTTTTGGATATAAATACGTCAAGAAAAGGTAGCAAAATTATAGTTTTTATATAATAGTCATAGAAAAAATGATTAAAAAAATCATATATTGATGAATACATTTTTGAAGACACCTCAGTTGAGATATAGTGTGAAAATAACCAACTTTGAACAAATTGACATAGTGAATTTTTGGAAAAATTCTTGCTTAATAATGTTTCAGGTCAAACGGTATATGAAATGGAAAAACAAAAATTTATTGGTAAAAGTCCTGATGATAAAATAATCTCTTGCTGTTTACAAGCTGCAGAAAAATATGAAACTGTGGTAAGAACTTCATTAACTTTTTCAGATCAAAAACGTTACACATTTTTTTCTATAAACATACATATAATTAACAGTGTATAAATACCGGCAGTGAAATACAGTGACTTTATAATAGATACAACCAAAGTTTAATAATCATGGAGATATCCACAAGCTATTTTGAAATAAAGAGAGATAAGTTCTTGTTTCCAAAGAAGCTAACATCAAATTGGTACTTACCCTGGGTGTAACTTCAAAATCCTCATATAAATGGAATAACCTATCAACCCAAAGTGGAAGAGGAATTCAGTAACCAAAGTAGCCATTTGAAAGACATTTTTTGTGAAGACGTCAATGTTACTTGCCGTTTTTTATCTAACTAACCTTCTACAATCTGAAAAGTAAAGAAAGCTAAATGGAAAAAAATAAAATTAATTCTCATACTTTTTTAGATGGCTAACGTTTCATAAAGTAATCCCTTTTTGTTCCCAAAACCCAAAAATTCACTTGTAAAAATACCTGTCTAAAACATTGACAAACATTAAAAAAATAAAATGTCCTAATATCATATTCGAGACTACATGAATACACATGAAGGATGTTTTTTCAAGAATCAAGTTAAGATCATGCCTCAGCAATGGACACCAGGTACGATCCATAGTTTATTCAATTTGTAGGCAAAATTTGTGAATACAAGTTACTGATTAATTGAACTCTTCAGTGTTTCATATTATGTAGTGATTTTTTGGTATGAACTTTTGAGTTTACCCTTTATTACACTTTAGCAGATTCTCCATTGATTTAGCTTTGTTTATTTTTTCGATTGTGGAAGATTAAATGCTCCAAAAAAGCAAGAACAAGTAGTTACTTTATAAACTTGTTTCTAAATGAATTATCCTATGGCCGGTTCATAATTAATATATAAATGAATGTAAGATTTCCAAAAGTAAGCATGGATCATTTTCTCTTTCATCATCTATGAGATCAACAGAAGGCTAAAACTATGAATAATCACCATAAATGAGGCTCTCAAAGACGGTTTGCTGCAAAGCCACGTTCCCAACATCGAACGCCAAATGAGATTTTGTCTTCTGCCAACAGGGACTTCCGAACTTTGACAATTGATAACGGTCATCTTGTTTCTTCTACATCTGTCAAATTAGTAGTAATTCATTCAGTCTGTTCTGCCAAATCACCATGGACAGATGTACCATTCAACAACACATGCAAATAATATAATTGTTTTATCAAATTGGGTTTTCTGTTCAGGCAACGTACCACACGCTTCACCCATTTTACGGTCGCCGTATTCGTCCTACCGAGAGGACTATTCGCAATGTGGTTGATACATTTGAGTCCACTGGTTCAGTTAACACCCGTATGTAGACGAAATGCATGATCTTCCGAAAATATCGCGGTTATATGCGGCGAGTGCATGAGAATCTGAATCAGTCGATTTCACGTCGCTCGCAAGAACTCTTCCGAAAACCACAACTTGGCGAGTTCTACGTCGTGACTTGGGCCTGCACCCGTACAAAATTCAACTGACCCTGGAACTGAAGATAAACGACTATAGACAACAACGTGTTCGCTGAATAGGCTCTGGAGCAGTTAGCAACTGACCCTAATGTTCATCGAAAAATCATCTTCAACGATGAGGCCCATTTCTGGATGAATGGGTACGGGAACAAACAAAATTGTCAAATTTGAGACGATACCGATCCACATGAGATCCAAAAGCGTCCAATGCCTCCCGAAAAAGTCACTGTTTGGTGTGGATTTTGGACTGGCGGCGTCATCGGTCCATATTTCTTTCAGAACGACTGTCAACGACGAGCACTATACGTCGACGATTACCAACTTCTTTTGGCCTGAATTGGATAATCTGGACACCAACGACATGTGGTTTCAACAGAACGGCGCTACGTGCCACACAGCTCATGCCACATTGAATCAATCAAGTCCAACTTTGGGATCAATCAGCCGTATATTGGTTAGAAAAATGACCATTGATATTTTCCGATTCCAGAGAGGGAGCCTGAAAATCAGCTACCAAGCCCAAGGCAGTAGGCGCGCAAAGGAGGGTTATAAATAAGGCAGCAGGCGCGCGTGATAACAAAAAAAAACTTTTTTCAAATGAAGAAATACATGTAAAGTGAGTTCGAATTATATCAAGGGACTACGTACAGCACCATCTGCCCGCGAACAGATAAAGCAATAATGTCGATAATCCTGAAGTTACAAACTGACAAACAAACAAACATACATACGTACAGGCGAAACTAATAAAAGCATGTTAAAAATATATTGTGGGTTAACCCTAAGAGATAGACATATACCATCGCCTTTTTTTTTTGTAGACCTTTTCAAAGTGTACAATACTGTGTAGTACGTCTATCTCGTAGGGTTCAGTTAGCATTTGCAAATTATCAATGTTTCTCTACTATAAACATATAAACTTTCCTTTTGAATCACTCTATCTATCAAAAAAACCTGCATCAAAAACTGTTGCGTAGTTTTAAAGATCTAAGCATACATAAGGACTTTGTTTTATACTATGTAGTGATATAATTCCATCATGATAAATTGATTTCTATCCAAAATTAGATTTGAAATTACAAACTGATAATAATTTTGTTTGTCATCTGTTATGAATATTATTGATTTCTATGAAATTAATGTTTGAAATTTTTGAGTTATTTGTTATTGAATGAATGAAACAACAAATGTTTTGTTTGTATTTTGTATACAAGATAAAGAAAATACTTTTGTCTATTTTATGATTTGTTATGACCGGTTTTGGTTTGTTATAATAGCTGTGTTAACGGAGTCATTTTTATCAAGTACTTTTCTTGGTTATTCACATTTTGCCTTCATTCGAGGACCGCCTGCCCGGTACTGACGATGTCCAATAGGTGATCTCGTAGAAAGATTAATTATAATAAAATAAAAATGATGATTATAAAAAGTAGTAAATAAGGAAACATACCAAAAGTAACAGTCACGTTTCCATGTTTCTTCAAACTTTCAATTAATGAAATATTTTGAGTCTGTTTTCTCAAAAGAAGGTCTGACTTTTTTCAGATATTACTTTCGAATGATCTGAATTTGAAAAGTAAAGCCATGATAAACCACCTAACTGCATGTTCAGAACACGATATAATAATGAAGATTTTATCCATTACCAAGAATACTAAGGCCCAGAAGATAATGCAAAAAATGAGTATGTTGTGCTCTTCTGTGATTTGTGAATTTGCCAAAGAAACTTATGGAGAGGTATGGTCGAAAATGAGTATGTTGTCCAATCCACCATGGTCGTTAGCGGAATGTTTGAAGCGCTTCAAGAAATATTGGGGGACAATATTCAAAGATAAACTCTTAAAACAGTTTACAAAAACCATAGATGATTTACTGCAGCTCTTCAATGAAAATAAATGTAAGTCCATTTAATTAGTATCTGAACATATAATTAGACAATTGCCCCATAAACCATTCTTCTGTATTATAGAATAAAAGCACTTCAAAACGATAGGATTTCAAACTTAACAACTTGTATGGTTTGATATTACAGTAGAATCTCACTAATCCGGAAATATTAAAAACCAGCAGGAATATTGGAATGTTTGGATTACTGGATTATAGAGAAAAAATTATGATAAATAAAATAGTGTCTTGTGTTTCTGTTTACTTGACATTTTTAACTACACACTATTCTGACTTCAAAACATTAGGTAAATACGTACACACGTGCGATAAGTTTTGAGGTTGGACTGCTAAACGACGAGCGCTTAGGCATAGAGGGAGAAAGCGTGGTTAGAGGGTGCTGTTAAAATGGACGTATCAGTCTATTGCAGTGCCGGATTGGTGAGATTCTACTGTATTTTATTTTATTTTTATTCAGCTCCATTAGTTTCGATGGTTCTCTGAACTATGAAGCGGCAAAACACTTGGGTTTGTTTCTCAAACTATACAAACAGTTGTAGGTTCCCATCAACACTGAAACCCCAAGTACGCCTTGATCAGTTGTCATGTGGTATTAGGATCAAAACCAGCACTATTGATCTAGTTCAAATAATTTTTTTATTTTTCAATTGAATCTTCAAAGTTATAACTCAAACCAATTTTAAAACTTTTATGGTCTTTAATTTTTCTATAAGTTTGGTATTTTGTAATCATTTCTTCTATAACTAGATCCTCAACCCAATAGAGAAAGAGCCACATTGTATAATTCTCTGTATTTAGCTGGACCTGTGCTTCTCAACTTGCTAAGCCTTTTTCAGTCATCTTCAATAATTTTTGAATGTGTATTCTATATTTTCTGTAAATACCATAATCGATGATTCATTAAATTTACAGTGTGAAGAAAAAATTCATGCTGATGATATTATAATATGTTGGGAAACTAAGGTTTGAGGTTTCTTTTTCTCCAGCTCTATACAAAAAAAAGTGAATGATGTAGTACAAACTGAATAGGAAAAAGTGTTTTTGTATAATTCAATGATCATATTAAAGTAGTTTTTTTGAAAGTATTTTTTCTTTCGTATAATTGAAAGTAGTTGTTTCGAGAGGGTTTTTTCTTCCAGTTTGTGTCTGAAAGTTACTTCTTTGCATGAACTACACGTCTTTGTTTAGAGTTTATTTTCGAATTAATTGCTTTCTTCCTTTCTTTGAAAAATTTCCACATTTTTTTGAATAAAGAAGACAAGTGGATAGCCAAAACTTTTCTTTCCCAAAAATTGGTATCTCCTAAAAATACACTCCTTTCAATTTGAACAAGATGCGTATGGCTGGGATTAATTCAAATAAGCAAATGAAATGTCATTACCTACTGTCATCTCTGACATAAGTAGATTTAACTCATTCGTGACATAAAGTCATAATTTTATGAATGAATTAAGTACTTCATCTGTGATGTTAACCAGATTGGTGCTGAAGAGGCAAATGTCTTATTCCAAAACATTGAATGTCCACCATTGAGAATGACAGTGTACCATGTAACTGAAATTGTAGCTTTTTCATTAAACATTGTGCAGCAATCCTGTGAATGATATCTAATTTCGGTTTCATAACGAATGTTCAGAGTACAAACTGAATAGGAAAATGAAACACACTGCGAGGAGAAACCAGCAAATCTGGAATAGCAGAGCATGTTTGGACTTACCAACATAACATCAAGTGGTCCCAAGCTGAGATCATCCTTAGGTAGGAACACTGGTTTAGGAGAAAATTCAAAGAAGTTGCATATATGTTGTCTATCGACGCATTCAGTTAAGCTAGCGTAGAGATACGCAACATATAGAAACCCATAATTAGGCGGAAAACGGTCAATTCCCGCTAAACGGTCAACTACCGCTATACCGGAGATAGGTGAAAAACTCGAATGACCTATAAATAGTCATCTCTCGGAGGAATCATCACCCGAAGACGATTGGTTCGTGAAGTAACTTGGCTTGAAATCTTTTAGTTTTCAGTTCATTTTAGTTAATTTTCCATTTTTTGCTTAGTTTTCATTTTATTGTAATTTCATTTCAAGGTTTTTTTATTGCTTAATATAATTGTTCTTTTCAGTCATTCACTTTAATTTTCAATTTCATTTGTTCTTTCGGGGATTTCAAATCATATTATAATATATTAGACAATGAAAATCTGAACTAATGAAATTTACCATGAAACATTGTCAACCACCTTCAAACATAATTGATCTTGCCTTTACGAATCAAAATACAATAAAAGTTAATAGTAAATTTAAAATTTGTTAAACTATAACGATTGATAGGCATCACAAATGGTCATCACTTTTCTTATAAGATATATGTAAATTTATATTTTAGTAAAATATCTTGAGGTGTTATATTTTTCTATTATACCGTCACGATTAAGCTATGATATTCTAGAACTCGATTATTTATATACAGAATACTCATTCATATTTTCAAATACAGAAAATAAATTATATCTCAGTGAATACTTATTCAATTTAATCAAAATAAGCGCCATTTGAATCAGTACACTTTTACAAATGTAACACAAGTCAATTAATTTCGTCAGAATAAAAATTGGTTGTTCGGTGTTCAATAAAGTCGACGAAGGCCTTTTGCCTGATCCTGATTGGCGAAAGTTCTACCGATGAGAAGGTTATCGAAGTTCTTGAGAAGATGATAGTCGGTTGGCGAGAGGTCTGGGGAGTATGAGGATAGGAAGAGAGGCAGAACTTCAACGTTCAATTTCTTTTCATTTTTGAACGGCGATTTGTGAAACGTGGGGACGGGCGTTGTCGTGGAGCAGGATCGGCCATAATTTTTTGGTACATTCCGTCGATTTCCTCACAATAAAACTTTGCTGTGATGGTTTGACCCAATTGCAAAAAGTTATAGTGAATTACACCAGCCGCTGACCACCATACAGTAACCGTGGTCTTTTTATAGTACATTCTCGCCTTTAGGAAGTGTCTGGGTGGTTCATTGGTGTCCAACGACTGTCCTAAACGTCTTTTGTTCTCGTAGAGAATCCACTTTTCATCACACGTGACGATCCGATCGAAAAAAGGATCGTTTTGGTTGTTCAAAAGCAAAGAACAGACCTCAAAACGTAACAATTTCTGTTGATTGTCAAATCGTAGGGCTCCCACTTTTTAAGCTTTCTGACATTTCTAATACGTTTTAAACCATCAAAAACCGCATGAGACCTGACGCCCAGTTTTTCCGCCATTCCACACATCGTTTGTGATGGGTCTGTTTCCACCAGAAGCCTCAAATCCTCGTCCTAGATTACTGTAGCTCGACTATGTTGGGGCTCATCTACGAGGCTAAAATTTACAGAACGAAATTTCGCAAGCAAACCAACGTCGAACAGCGCATTGGTTCAATTTGAGACAAATGTAGAGGTAATAAGCTGAAAAAAAGCAAAAAATTTCAAATTTCGAAAAAAAAAATTTACAGCATCAATATATAGAGTACATTGATGCTATCAAGCAGTACATATCACGACACAGTAAAATAAATATTTATTGAGCTACGGCGCTACAAAAAAATATTGCATTAAAACGGACAAAACTTATGAAATAAAATATATGATGTAATGCCAGATCATATTAAGGCAACCAAATCCTTTTTTTTTTCCTCATGAAAATGAATTGAAATAATGGATAATAAAAACCAATCGATTTTAATTTAAAAAGATAATTTTTTTATGAAAGATTATTTCTTGGGAAAAACGCTTATTGGCTTTTTTCTTCTCCATATTCATACAAACTTGGAAAACTTGCAAAGGAAGAAAGAAAACAGTCAAGTTCAAAATAAATTCTTTATAAAGACGTATAGATCATACATAGAAGTTACTTTCAGATACAAACTGGAAGAAAAATCCATCTTGAAAGAACTATATCAATATCAATAACTTGAAAATTACTTTCCCATTCAGTTTATGCTACGAACATTTGTTTTGTAATATCAACAGATATCATTCATGGGGGCAACACAATGTAATATATGTCTTGATATAAAATGTCACAATGAACACTATCATACTCAATGATATACTTTGGAGTTTTGGGACAAGACACTTGTCTTTTCACCTCATCAGCAACATATTTCAATATCAAAAATAAAGAATATTACTGGAGTTTCTTTCCCAACACCAAATCGTTATTTTTAACACCTCGACACGTGTTTCGATCACCAAGTGATCATCTTCAAGAGGAAGATTAAACTGCAGTTTAATCTTCCTCCAGTAATATTCATTACTACACCAAAGTTTCCAAACAGTGCACCATAAGTATCAAAAATAAAGTTCAACTTCTCTACAAATGAATATTTTGTAGAACTAATTTTTGCGTTCATTCATGAATGAATTTATTATATTATTAATCTTGGTGTTCCTATTACACTAATGTTTGGTCTAAAAGATTTTCTGAAGCAAAAGTGCAATAGTTCAAACACCAGTGTATAGGCATCTCGGTCTCAATAATTAAATTCCAAAACTTAGAGTAGACAATTATTGTTCATCATTTTACATCTTCAAACCATTTCTTTGATAATTCTCAAAATGTGTCATCGTTATACCTCAAATTTTGTATTAATATAAATTATGAATATAGACACTAATTGTAATTAAGGCTTTGTTGATAAATGAAATTAAATTTTCATTTCCTTTCAGATTTTCCTGACGATTCAGAAGATTACATCCGTTTTGTCAAATTATGCATTAATATGTGTATATTCTTGAAGGATATTGAAGAAATCAGAGGATCAGTAGAGAATGTATTAACAGATATTAAAAAATTTGGATGAATATTCATTTGTTTTTTACCTAATCATTGTTTTTTGTTATTCTGTTATAAATTATATTTTTGTATGAAATAGTGTATATAAAAAAATAATAAATTCAGTTCCTAATGTTTGACTTGGATATATAAAGATTTTTATTTCCTGTTACATAATCTAAACAAGTTAACAAGGTAGTGTGAATGTCATCGTTAATACTGATGACACAAAATTCACGTCAAATCATCGTCGTCCACAGAATCATCGTTTCCTTCTGCGTCTGCATCATTAGGTACTTCAGGCCTAATATTATTTAATAAATCTCGCATAGCATCTACTAAAGACGCAACACTACTTCTTAAATCGCCTCCCTCATTGTTTTCTCCATCTTCAGGTAAGGCTCTAGCACCCTCTTCTTCTCTATCGCTGCAACATTTAATTGAATGAATATTTGAATATAGTTTTTGTCAAAGGAAAATCAACATTCATTAATGCTAGGCATGAAGCCTTTGAAGTATACTAATCACGTTAGAGATACTGAAAACAACATTCAGATATGTATATTCTGTTTATATTCTATTGTGGTATATGTCCAGTTTTATATCCACTTAAATTTTTTATCCAATGAACAAACTTTTGTGACTTGCTACAAATATGCAACTGTATATAAAGTGGTTAAATGAAGTACTAAAAAAAATGATGAACATTTCAAAAAGTATGTAAACAAAATATTATATAATCGACTGCACTTTAGCTTAAAATAGTATTTCACTGATAATTTTGAATTACATTTTTAAAGTTTTTATATTACATCCAAGTGTATTTTACTTGTTAGTTATTTTTGTGCTTATGTTCTTTAATTTGTATTTGTATCACCGTGGGTGGTACATTGTAATATCCACTTTATTTACTTTGTCTACAAGATGTTGAACATTCTTCATATTCAATAAAGTATATGATTGATTGATTGAACCAAATGTCTCTTGCAGTGCATTAAACTCAAAAGAAACATTTAATAGTTCCTAAAAGTTTCATTTGTATCTATTGAACACACTTGATCATGGTGTATAGGCTTTCAAGGCCGGTGTCTAACAAATTGTTCGATGTTTCCGGGTTTATTAGCCGTGGTCTATAGGTTATTATACCTGACGTTTTGTCTGCCGCAGTAGCAGTAGAAGACAAATGTCTGCCGCAAGAGCAGTAGAGGACAAATGTCTTCCACAGGAGCAGACGAAATGTCAGGTATTAAAACCTGCAGACCACATTTGTCTTCTGCTACTGCGCAGTCTGTCTGCCGCAGTGGCAGACGAAACGTCAGGTATAAAATCCTGCAGACCACATCTAATAAACCCGGAAACATTGGATAATTTGAAAACACTTTTTATCATCAGATGTTTAGTCATGTGGATGCTTAAATAGCCAAACACTATTTTGTCAATGCAGAGAAAGTATTTTCATTAGATTCATTTCATGCCAAAGGTTCCAATGTATAAAGTTGTTCTTTATTTATTTTAACTATAATAATACACAGAATGTAATAATTATTCAAACCATCCTAAAAATCAATAAGTCAATAAAAAATTTCAACTTTTGATCTGAGCAAAAGATCAATCATCAGTGGATTTATGTTAAGTCAAAAGAGACATGGTGAAGGGTTTGTAGGGCCCAAAAAAATCTACTGGATATATGTGATGAATGCCAGACCAATTATTAAGAAAAATTGCCTGCCTGTACAGTAAAGGATTCAGACGAAGTTCTTTGGTGTTCAGAGATAGGATTCCCAAGCCATAAGTACCACAGTCCTTCAAGACCTACTTTTCTACATCTATCTGGAGAGGCTAGATTAACAATGCACAGAATTGTGCATATTGCCAATTGCACAAAACAGGCTTGTGAAGAGTGTAGCAGACTACTGGTTGTCGTTTTAAAGTCACAGCATTCTGGGATTGACTTCTGATTTGATGCCTTCAACTGACAACTGACTAGCTCTACCTTAAACAGTCCTAATCCCGAGTAGAGAAGATTGGATTATCGGAGATGAGGCAATACTAAGGCCAGACAGCTGTTGGTTCACAGATGATAATGTCGAATGGTTCATTGCCTATTATTTCTTATGAATCAATCGATTTGGACAATATGAAGCACTTAATATATTTCTTCACAGCACATTGTCCGGCAGATTCTACAAATTCATTGACTCTGAATAATTTGTCAACCTATTGTTCGGAACCTCTCATATAATTGATATGTTCTAGACAAACTAGTATGCAAGAATATCGAATTCACCTATGACTTGCTGGAGTATATAAATTCAGAGCATTTATACCAAAAGGAACTTTGAGGAAAAAGAAATTTGTTGAATTGACAAAATTAATTCTATGTTTCAGTATAATTAAATGTGTTTTAATAAAATATCACTGACAATGAAAGTCTGAACTATGGCAAATTATTTTCAACTAACTTCAGAAACAACGTTTGGTAAGTTTGGCTTTCTACTTCTTCATCGTTGAACAAAAAATGTGGAAAACTTACAAAACAAGGGAGAATGGAAGTAATTACAATAAAAACAATTCACAAAGATGTTTAGATCATGCATTAGATACAAACTAAAAATAAAAAACCCTTTCGGAACAATTAACTACTTTCACTTGAACATTAAACACAGAAAAACAAAAAAAAAAAGAGGAACTTTTAAAACAACTACTTTCGTAGTAATATATATGATATTAGTATGAAATTTCACTTAAATGAAACACTATCATCTTTAATAGTGTACTTCACAGTTTTAGGACAAGATACTAGTCTTATTTCCTCATCAGCTCAGATATTAGATTTTGGAAAAAACGTTTTTGGTTTTCTACTCTTAGAAACATTTCCTTTTCAATTCAAATGAAATTCCTATGGTTGTGATTAAATTGATTAACCGTATGTTAATACGGATTGTCATCGTGACAAGAGCAGTGTTGTCTCTTCTGGTGACAAAGTCATAATGTTATTAAAAAAAAAAACTGATTCTTCTTCCAATGTTTTAATGTAATTCAATGTTTATGTGAAGGTAGTTTTTTTGAAAAGGTTTTTTCTTCCAGTTCATATCTGAATGAATAAACTTACATTTTTTCCCTTTTTTGTGAAGAGTTATTAATTTTTTTTCTTCCTTCCTTTGGAAGTTTCCCACATTTTTGTTCAATGATGGAGAAGAAAACTAAAAAGCTATTTCCCAAAAAAATATTTGTTGAATATTTGAAAATACCAAAATCACGAATTTCCTGTAATACTAAAGATTTTTCAACACTAAAAGTCTTTCAGTAATTATTTTCATATTTGTTTATACTCTTCTAGTAGTCCTTTATGAAATATAACTGTATGTAATGAAATTACTTCCATTTATATTGATACCTTTTCTAATTTCTAGTAAAATTATTTACCCAATTATATAATTATTTTTTAATCTCCAACACACATCCAATATATTAACAGAAACTGAAAATATACAAAAGAACTGTGGAAGTGACTGCATACTCTGAAGAACGCACTACTGAAAAAAAAAACTATACTTACACTTCTAATAAATTTGCATTAAAAGATGGTAGAATAGATCTAAAAAATATTCCTAAAGGGTTTGCGTTACTATTTGCTAGCACAGGCCTTCTTGTTCTCGTATAAAGATTGATAGAATCTTTGGGGGGTAAGGGGTCGAAACTCATAACAGGTCCACTGTTTTCCTGAGAAAAAAAGTACAAGTTACTTCACTAAAAAATAAGATAAGTTCTTAACCTACATCAGTCAGGGGAGATACACCTTTTAAATCGGACAGTAATATATGGCGAGATACATTTTGTGGAAGGGGTCCCGAAAACCTTTTCATTCTTTTTGTTTCACATTCCTTAACAATTACATCATTTTTTTCTACCCTATCTAGAACTTCGTGCACATTTTTCTCCAACCAAGGTAAAAGATCACTGTCTTTCCATATATGGTAACTTCTGTTTATATATAACAGAATCAGCTGGTTGAGAGCCGGCGGTTGCCTACAACAAAAAATAGTTGAAAATTTTGATGTTTTGCTAAAATACAAATGTTACCAACTCATAAAAATTATAAAATTTGAGATTTTAGAATTTTCAAATATCTACTAAAAACTTTAATAGTATAAAGTAGACGAGCAGCACGGTTTCTCAACAGAACACTTTTGATTTCAATTGAGATATATAATAATGTAATCAACAAATCTGAAGTACTTTAATATCAGCAGTCAATGCACAGTCTCGCAGATAAAAAGTTTTATTCATTAATGAAGACCTGGAGGAAAATTTATAATAGCTTAGGGCAAAAGTAACCATACAGAATCGATTCCAAAAAATCCTAGTAGTCAGTTTTCTGTAGGAAAGTAAATGCGACAGTAAATGCAATTTATAGCAAAAAATAAAAGTAGTTTAGTAAATCAATTTACTCAAAATATTATAATGTATTTAGTAACTCAATTAAAAATGTATCCTATTTGGATTGTATTCATCTTAAATAAACCAAACCGTTTATGTAGGAAATATCAACTTACCTCTTTTGATCATCTGCCGTAACAAAGTAAGTATGATTAGCAACTCTATTGTCCATTTGCACTGTACACTTCTCAAGAAGAGGTAATAGTACTCCAGGGAACATAAGCAAAGCATCCTGCAGCAAAAGATCTGCTTTTGCACTATCACCTAAGTAAAAATAAGTAACGGCTAGAGAATAAGCAAAATTAGGTAACTGTAAAAGATTTTTAGTACTGTCCCACTCTGCAACGAAATCAATAAACCATTGATACTCTCTTGAGCGAAGAGCATAAAAATCGATGGCAAGTATCACTCCTAGAGGATCTCCATCTGGGTCAAGAGCCAAGAGTAATTTGCAAAATTCCAACGATGTTCGATAACACGCCTTCCCACCAAGGAATAGTAAATGCTTGAACATCGTTATGTACAAGGCCCTGAAAAAATTAATTTGTATCACAAGATTCAATTGCATTTAATTGAATATTCAAAAACTTTTGAAAATGTCTTTGGCATGGCGAACCTTGGATAACTAGTAAATATTTATTTTATTTATTTATTTCAACGGACAAGCCAATTTTTACAAATATCTTTTTATAAATTGTACATGTGCTTACAAACTAAAGATACATCAGATGTTTTTAATCGATTTTTTGAAGGATAATAATGATGAATTAAACAATTCCAGGTTTAGATGGTAATGATTTGCTGATTTCAATATCCTACATATTGTTTCATTCTGACCATAATTGGTTCTACAAAAAGGAATTTTAAAAATATCACTATTTCTGGTTCTTCTATCATTCACAGAGAGAGTAGTACAAAGCTCAACTATTTCTGGAGAATCAATATAGCGGTTTAATACTTTGTGGACAAACACAAGATATGCTGGAAAATTATGACGTTTGAAGTGCGGGATATGAAATCATTGTCGCAACCTGGTATTGTAATGTTGATGATTTAAATTGCGAGCGGTCATTATATTGCCTATTAATCAGATTAAGCAGACTGTCGTATTGAAGAAAAGTTCGTTGTGCTCTAGAGGAAAAGAACATTTCCAAACATAGACAATTAATTTTTATTACTATCAATATTATTGCACATAAGGCAACAATCAGAAGTGTATTAAAATAACTTTAAAAATTATGTTACTGTTTTGATTTGTGTCTAGACTGGATAAAACAACTGTTAGAACTAGAATTAATATCAGAAATAGAATGAATATCAGCTGTACATTGAATCATGCTAAATGCTTCCAGTAAACTTCTACTTTATTTAGTCAAGGCAGAGCCACGAAATCTTGATTTTATGGTCGTATGATCATTCTTAGGACGTGTGGTCTCATTGATCGAAAAGAATACTGGTATTGGATACTTGAATGCTTTTATTAACTCATCTATGGGTAACCTCGTATACATATTTTATAAGTCAACATTATTACTGATTAATTCAAATTAGCTATTAACGTATTAATAGAACGGATTCAAAAAACACTTTATTGTGAGATTTTCACTTAACGATTTTACGTTGTGAAATCGTTGAGCGAAAATCTCAAAAGTGTTTTTTGAGTACGTTAGTTATGGATTTTCATCAAGTATCGGCCAATTCCATCATATGTATCAATAGAAACTTTGAACATTTAATGTCTTTTTCCTGAGTACTTTTACTGGATACTCAAGTATTTATGTTTGACTCTGCTATGTTTGACTCTAGAAAAAGTGTAATACTACTAGGAGAGATTACATTTTGTATAGTGTTCGTAAATATCGATAAAAGCGTGATTGTTTCCTGGTCTTACCTATTTTCTTGTCTCCTGTAGTCTAGTCTGCAGTTGCCTTGTGCTACATTGAACAGGGGATGATAAGCATATTCCAAGATATACAAGGCACGCTCTATCAAGTCAGCCGCCATTGCTAAATCTTCGCTCAACTTACATAAATCGGAAAGCTGAATCAATGCATCTACATGGCACTGATGGTCATTTATGATGGCAACAATGTTATCTGGATTCAAGCTTTCAACTGCATCTAAAAATTTATTCTGTACTTGTCTGTAGCTCTGGCTGTGTTCGTAGCTGAAATACTGGATTCCATTTTTGTTTTCGATATAGTTCATAGACAGACCCGACTTCCCAGCATTTGGGTAACTGTCTCTACAGTTTACCATTGTTATCGGTTTGGCGTGACCTCTACCGCCAGATCTGTTTTTACGTTTGCTGGAAATTTAAACTGAATCAGTGTTTTGAGAAACCTCACTTGTCTACAAACTAAAACTTGTGGCAAAACCAAAAGATGTTTCAAATCCTGCCAAATGTTAATAACAAGAACATTCTCAGGTTTGCAATGCTTTCTTAGCCAAAACAGTTAGAGTAAGTAGATCTGCATTAACATTATACAACATAATTAAAAAAAATAAAAATCGATTTTTTTCGGACAAGAGGTGTTTCTCAAACAACTGATTCATTTTTCGTACCTAACAAGTTCCTAAAATTATACAGCTTATCACAAAGTTTATCAACAATTTTTCGGAAAATATATATAATAGTAATATTATAAGTGAAAACAAATATATCTTCTCTAGACAAATCATCAAAATCTGATTTATACACACATCGGAAAAGTCTAGGGATATTTTTATAACATACTAAATATCATAAAAATAAATGCATGAGGTCGTTTAATTTCGATTAAATTGGTACACTCGACCACCCTGTAGATTTCTATGGCTTGAACAAAGCCTGCAAAAACGGTAACTAATCTTTCATCAAGTTTTTTACACACTGCGGTAGAAGATTAGAGTGGTGTCAAGAACATCAAAACTGGGATGCAAATGATTGGGCCACAGTTTTGTTTGCAGACGAATCCAGATTTGGATTTCATCCAGATTCTCGTCGAGTAAGACGAGAGAGAGGTGGTACAGTAATGCTATGGGGCGGAATCATGATCGGCGGCAGAACCGATCTCGTTTTTCCAAATCGCTCCCTCACAGCTCGACAGTACCTCGACACCATTCTTCTACCTATCGTCCGTCCGTTTGCTGGTGCTGTTGGTGAAAACTTTCACCTAATGCACGATAATGCTCGTCCACATGTCGCGCGTCTAGTGACTGACTGGCTCACCAACGAAGGAGTTGATGTATTGCCATGGCCAGCACAATCACCGGACCTGAATCCCATCGAGCATGTCTGGGACATGCTTCAACGAAGAATTACTCCGCATATGGGGAACATTCACACAACGTTTCAATTGAGAGAGCTTTTAATCGCTGAATGGGCAAATGTACCTCTACAAGACATTGACCATCTCATTTTGTCGATGCACGATAGATGTAGGGCCGTAATAAGCCAGCGTGGAGGCCATACTTTGTACTGATTCCAATTTTTTTTGTATTATGATTTTTTTTCGGGGTGCCAAAGAAGAGCCATATTTTTTTTTAGTTTTGCTTATATGCGCACTCAGTATTTTTGACCATTTAATAAATTTTGTTGTAAGTTACATTCGTTTAATAATCACCCGTCAACTTTTTTTTCCCCTAAGCGATCTAAAAAAAAAAATTATTACCATTTTTAAAAATATCCCTAGACTTTTTCGATGTGTATATATTAGTATTGAAGAACTTTTGATAAGTTTTTGTCAAACATACAATGTGTCCTAGATAGGTAGGGCCTGCATAGGAAAATATAAAACTTTAAGAGTTACAAAGTCGGTTGAATAAGGAAGCTTATGCAAATAACTTTTTCAAACGATTATAGTGATCAGTGAAGTTGTCGGCAAAAGAGCTATTTACTATTTTGTCTAGACCACGAAACATCAAATTACAAATCTGTGAATGCCATCATCATTAATTGACAAGATGGCTGCCGATAATGCACCTATGTTCCTGATTAAAATTTGGAACATAATGAAAAATCAAGTGAAAATATAAATTGATGGATGTAGCTGTTACTACGTGGTAGGAAATCATAATGGAGAAAAAAAGAATTGAAACTTTCTATGTTTGTTACCACTTTTATTTGTAACTAACGTTATTGTAGTTTCATCCTATAAGGACATTTTCAAACTTATACATTTAATGATCACTGGATTATATGGTTCACAGCATTTGCCAACTAGTCTGTTATATTCCTGTATGTAGTATTCCTGTTATATTCCTGTCTGTTGTATTCCTTATCACCCAGAAAAATTTTTGTAGAACAAAAAAGAAAGTTGTGAAAGCGGTGAATTTCAGAAAACATACTTGCCCTATTTTCATTGAAATGGAGTATCTACTGACACTTGCATCTATCTACATGATATTGCATGTCCATGAGAATATAAATAAACTAGTAGTTCTGAAATTCATGAAATAGAAATCAGAAAAAAAGGTTTGTTACGTTCACCAAAGATTAAAATGTCAATAACAAACCACCAAACAGAATATCTTCCATTAAAAATATACAACAGCCTACCAACATAATGAAGATTCCATTGTGGTAAAAAATAAAGCTAAAGTAAAACGTCCGTTGATAAACCAGGCCTTCTATAACATTATTGATGTGTTTCAACATGATTCATTAGTTGAATTGTGAATTGTTTACATATCGGATTTTATGAACAGAAATATGTTATGTACCTAAGATTTTATGCATGCATTTTTGCATTAATTTATATTTTTGATATGCCTACCCAAATTATGTCGCTTCTTTAATAGAAATTTGTATTTGAAGGTAAATGAAAGTGGCAATGAGAAAGTGTTTTTTGTTTTATAATATCTTCATAAATAATGCCAGAAAAAATTGTAACAATATTGGTGAATTTTATTCTTTTCCAATATCTCCAGAACTGATTGCAATTTCCTAAATTTCTATATGCCCTTCAAATAAGTTCTGAAATGGGTGCCTTTTTTCTAATTTAAGCAACTTCCTATCTCTCATGATTTCCGATTTTCCCATGTTGGCCCTTTCTAGATTGGACACAGAGTAGATCAATGTTTATCCTGATGACAGTCATCTGAAGAAATTCCTGTTTTTAAATCTGATTAAATATTACCATCAACATATAAAGGTATAGCTTCTGAAATTAAGTTTTAATATTAACTTGCCCAACTCAAAAACTTTTACAAAACTAATACATTTAACAGTCATACAAACAAGAGACTACACACACACACATTCTAAAAGTATTATCAGATGCTTTTCCAGTTTTCAATTTGAGTATAGATAATGAAATATTTCCAATAAGACAAAAAATAATAAATTGATGAATGTAGCTGTCACTACGAGGTAAGGGATCATCGTGAAAAATAACAAATAAAACTTTCTATAGAAACATGGAAAGTTTCAATTCTCTTTTCTTCATTATGATTTCCTACCACGTAGTAATTGCTACATCCATCAATTTATTGAAAACTTTCTATGTTTTTTTACCACTTTCATTTGTAACTAACGTTACTGCAGTTTCTTCCTATAAAGACATTTTCAAACGTTTCTAACTTTTATTATATTCGTTAGAAATGTGGAATAAAACATAAGAAACTTAAATTCTCATTTTTCACAAAAAATAATGTTGGTTAGATTTTTATACTATATTCAAATTAATCAACTAGTTACTAATAAAATGACCGAAAAACTAGTAGGCTAAGAAAGTCCACAATACAAACTGAAATCAGAAACATTTTAATACATCTTGATACGTTTTTCTGCAGATAAAATCACGAACTCTACCATGGTGAAAAATCAACTAATTGAAATTCTATTTGATTTCATCATCATAAATGCTTTCACAAAAAGTATAAATTTCTACTGATATGTAAAAAGATCATCCTGTTAGGAATAAACAAAATTCCTGTCTTTGAGTATATGTGGTTGGTTTCTATATGACTTTTTCTGTCAGATGGATTTTGATGTTTGTGGTCATTTGGTAGTAAAATAGTGACAAGTGAGCGTGACAATTCCTCTTATGAGAAGGCCATCTATGTGATCAATAAAAAACTCAAATTTAGCACATTTAAGGAGAATAAAACACTTGGAATTTTTGACCTGGCCTCACAAAAGAGATCGTAACTCTTAGAGAGTTTGAAGATTTTGTTTTAACTTTTATACCACATAAAAATAAAACTGGCATGGATTTTTTATTTCAGCCTGGGATGACACAATTACAAATCTAGAAAAAAATAACAAACTTTTTTTGTGGAGGACTCAATATTTTCTACTGTTTTTTGGGGTTTATAGCCTACCACAATCTGAAAAAATTAAAGCTAACTTTTCAGTTTGCTTATATTTCCACTTCAGCAGATTCTCTATCGATTTAACTTTAATTTTTTCAGATTGTGGAAGGTTATAAACCCAAAAAAACAGTAGAAAATAACAACATATTCGGAAACAGATCGGTTTTAGTAAAATAGGGATTAGAAGAATAGGGGTTGAATCAACTTTTAGTACAGGACTTTTACTGCTGAAGAAATTGCTGCCAGATTTGCTCCGGCAAATTCGAATAAATCGGAGCTATTTAAATCAGGTAAACTCACTGGTCAGTTGGAATTACTTTAGATCCAAATATTCTCTTCAGCTCGTTGTTTGGGTTGAGGTGCTTATGTTGAACAGATAAAGTGTTTTTACGATAACTTGTTTTATCCTGTTTCACATTTGTGTGGGAGGTAACTTTAGGTACATAATTCTCGCCTAGCAGCCTATTCACTTCTCGCACTGATCTCTCAACTTCATCAATCTGAAAAATTAAAAAGGCTTGTAAATTACAGAATTAAAGTTATATCTGAGAAAGATTCTCATGATTATCGTTTTTCAAATATAATCAAGTCGTTAACAATATGCAGGGTGTCCAAAAGTCGATGATTAAACGAGATGGGGAGATAGAGGTGGCCTTATCTGATCTATAACAACTCATGACATTAACCCTATTTTTAAACCACTCAACTCCAAAAGTCAAAGTTGTCAACTGTGTAATTCACATTTATAGATGAACTAACCATATTTATATCCTTCAAATTATTTCATTTTCACTATTGAACACTTACATCATCATTATTTCCATTAATAATTTAGTACAAACTTAAAGAACACACTGGCATCATTACCCACATTCCTGCAGTAAATAATAATTGGATCCGAAAGTCATGCATGTGCTCTAAACATATCTAACAATCCGAAAAACAATGTGCAACAATCCTGCAAACTAGAGTGAAACAAGAGCTTATTCTACTCAAACCTCCAATTGATCAGAACTATCATTCTTTTATTAATATTCCTGATAATGTTGTCATTCAAACTCTCTACGAAGTTCCTACACATTGCACATTGGCGTTATTGGAAACTTATTATCATACTGCTATTATTGTTAGTACTATCATTATCACTTTCATATGTTTGTCCATTATTAGAAATTATGGATTTTTCCCAATATTTTGGAAGGTATGTTAACCCATCAGAAAAACTTTGATTTTCTAAAAATCAAGATTTTTTCTTCTGATCCAGTTTGTTAGGTGTAAATGAAAATATTAACGTGATTTTTGCTATAGATATGTCTAGAGAGTGATCCCTATAGGGACCAGTAATCATTAATGTCATAGAATGTCATATACGATTATAATGAAGACTACTTGTGAAGTCCAGGAAAAACTGTATTGTTTTTACAAATATCTCATTCATTTATCATGGGATAGTTTGAAACATAAAACACAAAGTTCAATATCGCTCTGAGAATACATCATTATCGTCCCTTTGACAGTTTTTGGTGCTACAATATGCAACACTTTAGTGCATATGAAATATTGAAGATCTTCTGCTTCGACAAGTTTGTCTTCTATTTCATGGATACCATCTTTTTCAACAGTTTCTCTATATTCCTCTAAGTTAGTTTCTATATTCAGAAGGACGCTGAACTTGCTGTTCTAATGAAGGACAAAATGTTGGATCATCTGAATCTTCCTGATTATCATAAAGTTCATCTTCATTTTGGAACGAGAAATAGATATGTTCATGAAAGAGCTTTGCCTTAAAAAAAAAAGTGAACAAATTAAACTTCATAATAATAATAAAGCCATCCCTAATGCATATGTTTCTGGAACCTGTAATACATCTGTGGAGCAAAGAATCATGAATCCAGATCATAGAATCCCTAAAAATAATATAAATCTTGTTTTAACAGATGATGCCCTCAACAAACCCAAACCAAAAATTGTAACCATCGCAGGGTACCATGGTAGAGACCTTGCTATCCTTGCTATCAACGATGTCGAATAATTTTGTGGTTGAGGCAATAATGAAACCAAATGCAACTGATACTGAATTAGTGAAAACTGCACTTGAGAATTCCACAAACCTAGCCATGCAAGACTTTGTTGTTTTATGGCCAAGTAAACCACATGTGAAGTTGACTGAGGAAGTTATTCAAAAGCTAATGCATACGGTCCCAGTAGTTCTCACAGATATTATCTCTATTTTAAAAAAACTTCATGCGAGAGTCATACATTTTAGACATGTTATAGACTGCAATCAGGTACTAGGCAGAGGTGTTTTTGACAGATATGGTCGTATAAATAATAAAGGGAAAATAATGTTAGCATCAGCTCTATACAAACATTTTCAAGAATATACAATTATCACTAATTATGAAGACGAAAGTACAGTTAAACTTGTCCAATCCGCTTCTAAGTTAGAAGTAGCCAAGGTAGTGAAAAGCTTATCAACTCCAAACTCCTTCTCTTGAAAGTTCTTTTTTATGAATAATAATGGATCTACCTTCACCTTTTCTAAAATTTCCATATATCATCAGAACATCCGACGTTTAGGTAATAAGAACTTACAATTATATTTAATTTTTGACAAAGACTATAGTTATGATTTTCTTCTTATGTCTGAACATTGGCAAAATGAGGATGACTTGATGTTTTAAAGATGAATAATTTTTCAATATATACAGCTTATTGTAGAAAAACATTAGCTCGTGGTGGTGTAGCTTTATATAAAAATGATAAGTTTGCCTCAACTTATGAAGTTTTAGATTTAACCGCATTTTGTGTTGAACATGTTCTGGAATGTTGTGGTATATGGTTAAAAAAATTTAAAATAATTTTAATATGTTTATACAGACAACCTGAAACCAACTTTACGTCTTTTCTGGAGTTGTTAAATGGTCCCCTATTGAAATTAGGTAAGGATGGTATCAATGTTATTATTGGTGGGGACTTCAATATTAATTTTAGTGTTGAAAGTCTTAATTTGAATAATTTAATTTGAATTGATAATTTTCACGCCTCTAAGGATAATAATTACAGTACAGCAGTAGTAAATTCAGGTTTGTCAGATCATTACACACAGTTCATTGAGATACCAATTCAGATTGGTGAATGTCATGCTGGCAATAACAAGATTGATATTTTTAAATACCAGAGAGATTTTTCAGAAGTCAATAACTCCAACTTTTAAACATTCTTGGAAAATGAAGATTGGCACGATCTTTTAACTGAAACATGTCCCAATGCAGCAACGATATTTTTTACAGAACTATCTTGTACTATACTGAATTATCTTTTCCTATGAGACGCATTAAATCGGGGTCAAATTATAACAAAATCATAGTACCGGACGAAATTATCAAACTAAAAGATTTGGTTACATTATATTCTCAATTAGCGAACGTTGACGCATCATATAGTCTAGTTCACGTGTACTTTTTTTTGTAACATTTTTCAGCCCCGTCCAAAAATTACGACCAAGGTGTCATTCGATTCGTATTTTTTCCTAGAAAGTTTAAGGAAAGGTCCGAAAACGCGCCAATAAAAATTACAAAAGTTATAAACAATTAAGTGAAAAAAAAATGGGGCTTTAGTTTTTTCTTAATATCTCGGAAAATTTTCAAAATTTTGGAAATTTGAAAAAAGATTTGAAAAGATCAATGAATTTGACTATACGTGAAATCTTTCACGTATAGTCAGTGGCCGTATAGACTGGCCTGAACGAATTGTTCCTTTAGATGATTTGATTTATAGCCAGTCTTCAAGTATGCCCACTGACTATACGTGAAAGATTTTTTTCCTTTTTTTCCTTCTTTTCCTTTTACGAGGAATTGGGCAAATTTGGATATGCAGTTGGTTACCTCTCCGAGATATTAAGAAAAAACTAAAGCCCCTTTTTTTTCACTTAATTGTTTATAATTTTTGTAATTTTTATCGGCGCGTTTTTCTTAAACTTTCTAGGCAAAAATATGAATCGAATGACACCTTGGTCGTAATTTTTGAATAGGGCTGAAAAATGTCACCAAAAAGAGCTAAAACGAATACATGTGAACCAGTCTAATATAGAGATATCAGCCAGCAATTAACAAAAAGATACAGGCAACAATTGCATGATTGGATACCTACTAATATTATTGAGTAATGTAGTCATGAACTGAGTTTTCTCTTGGCTTATCTAATAAATTTGTCAGTAAAAAAGGGGAATTTTCCCAGACAAACTCAAGGCTGGGCTTATAAACCCAGTATATAAAAAAGGTGACCCCCCACTCAACTGAAAACTATAGAGAAATAAGTATTTTATCAAGCTTTAGCAAGCTTCATCAGTTGAATATAAGAAATCAACTGCTTTCATTTTTAACTATGAATAAGCTGCTATCTTCAAGTCAGCATGGTTTCACGAATGGCAGAAGTACTGAAACTGCTTTATATAGTTTTCAAGAAAATGTAATAACAGCCTTGGATGGAAAAGTCCAGATTTGTGGGCTATATATTGACTTTTCTCGGGCCTTTGATTGTGTTAATCATGGCCTCTTATTAATTAAGCTTGAGCGTTATAGTATAAGGGGTGTAGCCTTAAATTTATTGAAATCATACTTAACTGATAGATCCCAGAGTGTAATCATCAACACATCTCAGAACCAATCTCTCATTGCTAAGCAGGGCTCAAGGCTCAATTCTTGGACCTTTGTTATTTTTAATCTATGCTAATGATCTCATTAATTTTCTTCTTGACATCTCTAAAGTCCAAGTAATATCATATGCTGATGATACAAATCTACTCATAACTGGTGAAGACACTACTGAACTTGTGATAACATCAGAAATGATATACAATAAAGTAATGGAGTGGTCCGAAATGAATCTTCTAACGGTAAATGTATCTAAAATCTCTTGATGAAATTAACTTTGAGGGGAACTATGGAACAGTTTCAAATTTTTAAGGACAATGACATGAATGTATATGCTAGTGAAACGACTAAGTTGCTTGGACTAACAATCGACTATAAATTGTGTTGGGAACCACACGTCGATATACTTTGTAAAAAGTTAAGAAAAAATTGTTATGCGTTAAAGTTCTTATCAAATCATTGTCACGAAAACATGCTTTTAATCGTTTATTATGCAAACATCAACTGTCATCTGCGATATGATATTATTAACTGGAGTACTTGTACCTCTTGGTCACGTGTTTTCGCTCTGCAAAAATTTGCTGTGAGAATTGCTGCAGGACTAAATTGGAGGCAGCCATGTAGAGAGGCTCTTAAGCGACTAAAGATCTTAACTTTGACAGGCTTGTATCTGTATATATGTATACAAACATAAAGATACCTTTTTCAATAGAACAGATCATCAATATGGCACTAGATCCAGAAATCTTCTTGGCCTGCTTGGCACAGAACTAACCTATATCCAAAAAGTCATTTATATTTGGGATGCAAAGTTTTCAATCACATCGATGTCTCTATCCAAACATCTCCAAATATTATTATTTTTAAATTCAGACTTAAATTATTACTTATTGAGAAAAACTGTTACAGTATTAGTGAATTTATGACATAATACTATATTTTATAACGATGTTTTATTTTTAACAATTAAATGTTTCATTTGTGCTGTTGTTTTGAAATAACATTTATTATTCGTACTATGATACTTTTAACTTGTTTCTAATATGTTCTTGTTGTGTCTTTTTTAATTTAATTTTTTAATAACTTAAGACTGTGTTCATATCATTTGAATTATTTTCTATATTAATTATGACGTTTTTGTCAGTTACTGCTTGAATGTATTTATACACTTATGCTTTTTAACTGAAAAATAAAGATTTATTATAATTATTATTATTTTGGTTTCAAATCATATTCTAAATTATAAAAGAAATACAAGACCTCTTATTAATGTGAGAAACTAAACCGACGGTCTTGAGCCAGTTTTTTATAGTTTGGTTCTCGATAGGAACAGCAAATTTGAAGTGTGTCTTCTAGGTGAGCGTCTGTTAATCTCGAACAATATTTGTTTTTCAAAAAATTCATCTTTGAGAAAGATGTTTCACATATGTATGTTGAGCCAAACACAGTGGCCAAATTGATAGCTAATCTTTTACAATTTTCATATTTTTCTTGGACATGTTTGCCCCAAAATTCTTCAGTGGATACCTTACTATACATTTGCAAAGACACATCTTTTTGCAAACCAATTATTTCCATTTGAAGTGATGGCTTTGACAGATTAAACAACTTGGCAGTCACATCGGTCCATTTTGCCGCTGCATCAATTTCAAATGGAGATTTAAGAAACAGAGATAGCTTACCTATCTCTGCAGTCTTACGATCTTGTAGCAAATTCGTTCTTAAGATCGGCCAGAAATTTTACAAACTCTGCAATGTATTCTTCGGAGGTCTCCTTTTTAAAGTCAAGAATTGTCGGAAAATTAATAAATTCTTGTTTAATGATATCTTCATCAAAGATATCCAGCTTACGAGGAAAAGCAGACACGCTTTGTATCAGATCACATATTAATTTTCCATTTACTTGTAACTCTGTATTGACCGCATTCAAATATTTTAAAATATCTTTCAGAAAAGCCACAACCAGCCTATTGCATTTTTTATTATAAAATCAAAGTGCTTTCTGCCTCCCTGCGTATCCAAGTTTTGCAAGAAGGGGGATACTTGTTCTTTTATTAACCAGAAACGTTCAATAACTTGATCTTTACTTAGCCAACGAACATTGTTGTGTTGTAGTAAGTCAGAAAACGCAGAATCTTATTCAGAAAGGAACTCTTTGAAATGCCGGTGCTGAAGATCAGAATGGGATCTCATAAAATTAATCAACGTAACTAAGTTGTCTATCACTTCGTTGAGTGTAGCACTAAGTTTTCCACAAAGGGCCGCCTGGTGAATTATGCACTGATACGATATTAGACCTGAATTTTTATCTCTGATTCCCTTTACTACACCTTTTTCTTTGTCAATCATTGCTGAGGCCCCGTCAGTTGAAAGCGAAACCATTTTATCATAACTGATGTTATATTTCGTAAAAAAATCATCAATGGCCTTGAATAAGTCTTCTCCTCGAGTGTTAACCTTTCAAGGGCAATATTGCTAGCAACTCTTCCCTATAAATCTGACACTCAATGTCAAAAAATCTTACGAACATTGATATTTGTTCATCATCAACAATGTCACATGATTCATCAATTGCTATGGCTTAGCAAGGTGCCTTTTGCAGGAGTTCAAGAAGAGTATTTTTAATGTCCGCAGCTAAAATTTCAGTTCTTCGTGTATTACTTCTCGCTGACAATAGAATACTTTGAATTGCAGAGACATTTTTTTTTCTTCAAAAAGTGACGTAACTACTGCCAACATACATTCCTTCACTATCTCAGAATCTGAAAATGGTTTCTGGTGTTTATTAAGTGTCCAGCACACTCGTAACGCTGCTTCACTAGTAAGTTTGTACTCTTTTCGTAAGAACTGAGATATGTCTGAATTTTTTCTTTACGAGCCTAACTGCCAAGAGGAAAGTTTTTGTGGAATTGCTGATCACTTGTTTTGTAGTGTCATTTCAAATTTCGACTTTTAACAATAGCGACAGTTTTATTGCATATAAGGCACCCTGGAACTGCTTGAGGCCTATCAGGCAGCGTAAAACCATATTGTTCAATCTATTCTGTGACATTTTTGACTAACAACTCTTATAAAAAATATATATTCCAAATAAGTTATGTGTTTATAATATATTCTTAGGGCAATTAACTTTCATAAATTACTTATAGCACATTGCAAATAAGGGAGATTTGAATAAAATATTGGTTGTTGGTAGGTGAAAACATTGTTCAGTTCTACCACTGATTCTTAGCACAATATAAAAAAATCTACAACATTCAAATCAATTGCACAAAATTAATAGCGACCAACATGCTCATTTATTCAGAGTCTCAAAGATTCTCTGAATTTGAAGATCTTATATCAATCTGAGACTTTTTCAATAGGTGCTTATTTACAATGACTGTTGGGATTATTGAATTTTTTTGGTTACTGTTCAATAGACGATATTGAAGAAATATTTCATTTGGAGCACATTTCTGATTCTCTATTTAATCATTTTTTGTGTCAGCTATCAGCAACGTTTGTAGTATTCATTTTTGAGATTTACTTGTGGTTAAAAGTCATTTTCCAATAAAAACACCATATAAATGATTATTTTGTTAGCAGCACACATATTTTTTTTCTGAATTGTCTACTCAACTCTGTGTATTTGTCATGAGTGGCAGTTGTCATATATGAAGTTGATGTTTATTTTATTCATTTCTGAGTATTATTTAAGTACTGTTTTCATTGTAATTATTTTCCAATTAGTATTCTTATTTGGTGGATATCGATATCATCTATTGATATAGTGAAAAAATACAGGGATATTTTCAATCCTTTATTCAAACACAAATTCAAGCGGATCAAAGATGTTAGTTAAATGTAACCAATGATTTGCCTTTGTTCAAGGGCAGCACACCCTATACAACAATGTATTCAACAAAAAACTAATGTGATTAAATCCAGATGCGCAAGGGTCAAATGAAAATATTTTTTAAATTGAAAGGGGTATATTTTTTGAGGGATTAATTTTTGTGAAAGATAGGTTTTAAAATCGATTCCCACATTTTTCTATATAAAGATGGAGAATTAGAAAACCTTTCTTTCCTGAAAGTAGTTATTTAATGTGAAACTTATTGCTTATTTTATGCTAGTTCTGGCCTGAGAAAGAAGATTAGCAGATACATTTCTAGCAATCAATCTACTTTTTTGTAATTTATTGCTAAGGGAATTAATAAAAAGAGTATAATACTCACATCAGCATTGTCTTCACTGCTTCGTTGAGTACTGACATGTTTGCCAGATTTTTTCTTCTTTTTCTTCTTTTTTCTCTTGATCTCATGAGGTTCTCCTTCACAAGACTTAGCAGCCTCTGTTTCATTATCGTCTTCCTTCACTTCACTTTCTGAATGAGACTGTTGATTCAACTGAAAAACAAAATATCAACATAAGTTAACATAGTTATATGACTAAATCAAATATACCAAATCATAACGATTGATATTCAGTTGCTTTTTTCGAGCACCTCCTGTAACAGGAGTATCTGTCTCAGTATCTGACACCTCCTCAGCAAATTCTTTTTCTTTGTCTCCTTGAAGTTTTCTTAACACTCTAGATGACATATCGATGCAAAGTTCGGAACTAAACAATACAATTCAATTACTCAATTTACGATTACAAATAATCGGCATTAGTACTTAAAAAATATTTAAATGACATATTATGAGTTTTGACGTTTTAGTTCAGATTGAAAAGAAACAAAAGATTATTTGACATTGACATAAAACATATGGGCATTAAAATTCTGTGATTGCCTTAGACAAGGAAAGATATATCTAAGGTGATTGCTTGCGCCCATCAGCTTTCAGCTAAAAATATGGGAGTTCAAAAATTCAAAAGGAATTTTCTGATTGCGTCAACCAGTAGGAACGCCCTAACTTTTCGAATGAATCAATTGATGAATTCATCAGATCAATAAGTGGACTCGTCGATGAATTAAAGAATTGGTCTAATGTGGTAGACTCTAATTGTTGAATCCAAACTAGGTCCAGACACTAGATAATAATTGGAACAGTAATCTAAGATAGTGTCTAAATATTGAAGACGATATCTAAGAGAACACCTCTTATAATTAGAAAACAAAAAGTTTGATTTTTATTTTTATAAGACCACCCTTCATTCGTTACATGTTTAAATTTAATAATTCAGTTGTTTGGGGGGCAAATTTAAACAAATCATACAATTTTGCTTTCATTTCGAAAAAACTTCTTAAAAGTATCTTTTACTGACAAATTGAACATCTTATTCTCCGAAAAAGTGAAAACTTTAAAAGAATGTTAAAGAAATATACATTTATTTCAAAAATAAAATAAAAACCGGAGCGACAATTAATTTTTATTGTTGTTTTTATGTTAAAATATTTGTTGATGTTTGCTATAATTTTTCATGTTCCATGTTTGTTTCATGTTCCGTGTCTGTTCCATGTTCCGTGTTTGTTCCATGTTCCGTGTTTGTTCCATGTTCCATGTCAGCAGAATCTAGGCATTCCGAATTTTGATTAAAAAATGACAGACGACGTAACCTAACTATAATTTTAATAATTTTATTCAGTCTTCTTGTTTACATTAATTTGTATCAGTAATTCTATTAGGATTTGGAATGAAATTTTTTTGTTCCTAACACATATTTTAGAATCATGAGGCTAAAACATAAAAAAAGAAGGATGATGAGAATCGAAAATAAAATATCCTCTTGTGAAAAGGAAGATGTAAATGTAACTGAAGAAACAGAAGAAATGAAACCTGAAGCTTCCACGAGTGAACATGGTGAATCCGTAGAAGGTGAATGTGTCGAAATAGCAGAAAAACAAATAAAAATATGCAGACTTTGTCTTGTCTTTATTGATGATAGTTTCACTCCATTGGATAATATTCTTGCCATGCTTCAAATTGTACTTCCAGAAGTGGTATGTATTACATTCATTTGATCAAATATCGAAACTAGAAATTAGGTACAAACAATTTACTCGTTACTAAACTCAAAGATGAAGTTGCAAGAAATTACATGATGTATGAATTGAAGAGGTTATTTTGTATAATGTTTACTGAAGAGCCTAGGGACAAGTGTCTTAAGGCGAAACATCTATGTATACCAGTGAGGATGACAGTGTTCCATGTAAGTGCAATTTGTTACCATTTATTTAAAGTAGAACTCATGTGAATGATATCTGATTTTTATTCCACAACGAATGTTTGAAATACAAATCAGTGTTCATATAGAAGTATTTGTTTTGAAAGAATTTTTTTCTTTTGTATAATTCAATGTTTATATGAAAGTAGCTGTTTCAGGAGGACTTTCTTTCAGTTTGTGTCTGAAAGTTACTTCTTTGCATGATCTACACATCCATGTATAGAGTTACTTATTTTCAAATTGATTACTTCCTTCCTTTCTTTGGAAGATTCCCTCATCCTTTTTTTTGTATCAAGATGAAGTAGTAGAAAGCCAAAAACTTTCTTTCCCAAAAATACATGATGTTTATTTTATTTGAATGATGCAACTAATTTTCCTTTATTTTCACTATTTTAATATTAATGTGAGTCACAAAAAGGATTTGAAGCTTTATAACTTCTATTTAATTATATGCGAGCGCTTTCGACAGCTGGTCGTGCTATCATCATCTAGGCTCTACTCAAACTGAAAGTGTCATCCTGTTGTATGTCCTTTTATACGGTCCGAACGCCTCAATGCAGGTACTCCAGGTTCTTTAGGTAAATTTGCCTGTATTAGATAAATTAGAAAACAGAATCAAACAAAAAATACGGAACAAGGATCAAGCCACCCCAACAGACAAAACAACACATGATGGACAGCATTTACGTACGTAGGATACCAAACCAAAAAACTAACAAACGTCTTCAAGCCATTGAACATCAACAAGCCAAACACGAAAATAACACAAAAAAAAAACAGCTATGAAAAAGAAGAAGACAAAAACCAAAACGGGGTATACAGCATACAATGCTCAGACTGCAACAAATTCTATATCGACCAAACCAAGAAAAAATGATCCAAAGGTACGATGAGCACAAAAAGGCATACATAAACCCAATAGTATATAAATCAAACCTCGCAAACAAAACGAACATAATTTCCCCCCACCAGAGAACATAAAACTCATAAAACAAGTCAATAAGGGAAACCGTATGGACATTTGGGAAAAGTTAAACATCCAGAAATTTAACAGTCATAAATCACTTATCGAGGAACAAGTACAAATCAAAACACAACAAGACCTAACATTCAATATATTGAACAAATCAATACACACTCCTAGAAACAGTAAACCTAGAGAAGATCCAACACAATGAAGTCTGGTAGTTTATTAAATTCTTGGAAACCTTTGAAAAATAAAGAGTTCATAGTACTGCGATAAGCAGTGCTGCTAATGTGAATGTCATTTTTACCCCGAGTGTTATAAGTGTGAATGTCTCTATTCAATATTATAAATGTATGAAAGTAAACAGGAGCCAGGTTATTCAATATTTTATATACAAAAAACATTGTGAAATAATACATTATTTTTTCGACTGAGAACCAATTAAGCGTTGCTAACATAGATCTTATGGGGGTGAGACGATTAGTTCTCAGAATTATTCTCATGCCACGATTTTGAAGTTTTTGTAGCATATTCAGCTTAGTAAGATCAAACAAAAACAGGGCTGATGAGCAATAATCAAAATGCGGTTGAATAATTGAATTATATACCGTGATTTTTGTTTCGGTTGATAATTCCTGGGTTATACGAGAGAAAAAATAAAGTTTTTTTGAAATTGTTCTATGAATATAATTGAAATGTGTATTGAAGTTCAGAAAGTTATCCAACTGGATGCCCAAATACTTGATATTCGATACAATTTCAATTTGTTCATTATTGATGTTTAGGTTAAGGCTATTAATATTAATGGTATCATATCTGTATTTACTTGTGAATATCATAGCCTGAGTTTTAGACACATTCAATTTCAATTTATTCAAACTCAAATACTTGCTAATTGATTGTAAAACATTATTCATTTTTTGAATAGCCGTATCTAGGCAGACAGAATTCGCATTCCACAAAGAGGTTAATATCATTGATGTATAATAGAAACAATAATGGGCCCAAAACACTTCCCTGTGGAATGCCAACATCATTATCTAACTGAGACGAAACTTCAGACTTGAAACGTACCCTTTGGCTACGTTGCTGGAGGTAGTTTTTATATGGCATTTAATATGGCAGTTAATTGTAACGCGGACTCGCGTTTTCAAAATCCTGACTGATTATTCATTAAAATACAATTTGACTCAACATGATGTAATAACTGATCGTATACAGCCACTTCGAGTAATTTTTCGATAGGTGGTAATGTATTGATTGGGCGAAATTCATCAGCTTTATTGGTATTAGGAACTTTTTGAATTGGTACAATAGTGCTAATTTTAAAACTTTGTGGAATTTCACCAGTAGTTAACGATGTATTAACGAAATTTAGAATAGCATGTCCTATAGTTTCAAATATCTCCTTTAGCATCCTACAGTTCAATATTTCATGAATAGAAAATTTATTTTTCATGCCGCGGATTATTTTTCGTAAGTGAGGCATTGTGAGTACTTCAAATTTATCGAATGGCATGTAGGTATATATTATTATTTAAGTTGGTCCAGTCTTCATTAATATTTATACTATGAACTATACTGTGAATGCTTTCAATAAAGTAGTGATTAAAACTTTGTGCTATTTCTAAGTTGTCTTTTATAGTTTTTTGCCCATCTAATGTAGGTATCAAAAATTATATTGAGTGGAGTGTTCAGATCATTTTTATTAACTAATTGAGGGAAGATTTTATGAACGAAACATTTCTCATAGAAACATCATTCTCATCTTACAAAAAAATTGAAATGAAATGAAGTGAAATGATGTTGTTATGTGTTAGTATGAGAAAATGTTGTTATGTGTTAGTCAAGACAAAGAGTATTATATTATTTAATGTTGAAAAATTTCAGGTTACATACACCATTATAACAACTTCTACAGATGTTCATAACATGACAGATGGGCACACTAGAAAGTCACCTAATCCAGTACTGACAACATAAGAGGTAAATCACACTGTGCTCAAATAATACAATTAGAATCGATATTTATAACAAAAAATACCATAGATACATTTTTGAAAGATTTTTTTCATTTTTCCTTCTCGTCCTTGGAGTTGTTCTTGAATGTCGTTCTGAACTGTATCTGGAGCTGTTTTTATATCAAATTTTAAAACATAAGAGAAGTGCGTTTTGTTAGTGGTGTTGTTAATCAAAAAGTTTCCCCAATTTTTCTAACAGAAATGTGATAGCAAATTGAATTATAGAAAATAATTCTTACTCCGATTTCGATATTCATAGTTATTTTATGGTGTAAAAATTTCTAATGTGTGAAGTATGACTAAAGTTTGTTGGACATTTTCCAACGTTCAAGTACCTGGGCATATTTGAAAAGTTGAAATTGAAAAAGGAAATATCTTTCTTGAAAGATTCTTTTTTGCATTATACCAAAACACCAAAAACCAAAAAGCTCAATATGAATTAGAAAAATAGATTCTTATGGCTTCAAGTATTTATTTCGGTTCGTCGGTTCGTCGAAAAACATTCACCATAATTATGATTTCGAATATTCACTGAATTTTAGACTGACTAAATATAATTTCCCTAGGATGGAAATTTTT